CTATTACAGGTAGCGTTCCATGTATTATTTTTTTATAGTTCAGTGAGTTAGCACAGACTGAACACTACATTAAGGAGTACCTAACAAAGCTTCAAGACAATTCGCCATCGCATGATTCATATCATCTTTATGGCAAAGATCCGGTCTAGAACAAAGTCGGAATGTCAGTCCAATGCAAATGACAGAAACATACGATAACACAGAAAAATTACCCGTGAGAAAATAACATGTAATGGTCCAACTGGAGTTTCTGAAACGACAAAAATGACACATCAGCACATTAAATTTCCAGACTCACATTAACCAAAGGAGGTCTGAGTTCTAGTATGAAGATGGTTCACATGAGCAGATGGTATAATGTCAGGTACTTTATGACATTGCACAGGGTGACTGTAATATTAACTGGAACGCTAACTGCGCCGCCATCTTTGAAGCAAATACTGATGATAGTATTTAACAAATTAACAACGATATACATAAAATACAGTAGCACAAATGACCATGATAAATTTTACCTCACAAGATTATGTAATATGCCTAAAAACGCAGATAAAAGGCATCATAGCTAGCTTAAAAATGGCCTCTAGCCTCTGTATTGGAGTTATAGCGTTCCAGTTGATATTATAGTTCAATGTATTGGTGTTAGCGCTCCAGCTAATATTATAGTTCAGTGTATTGGAGTTAGCGCTCCAGTTGATATTATAGTTCAGCGTATTGGAGTTAGCGCTCTAGTTGATATTATAATTCAATGTATTGGAGTTAACGCTCCAGTTGATATTATAGTTTAATCATTAAACTTTAATGTATTGGAGTTAGCGCTCCAGTTGTTATTATAGTTCAATGTATTGGAGTTGGCGCTCCAGTTGATATTATTGTTCGCTGATATTGTATCACGGACGTTGGGAAAAGAGCAGTCATCGCATTTGGGTCGTTATATTTAGTATAACCAATGAATATTAGCCATACTATACTCTATAGAACGCATGCGTAAACCCAAGACTTTGAAATCAGCGAAACGAAGAACGAACGATTTCTTTCAAACGATGTTTGTAACCTTCGATTCGTATAGAAAACAAAAGGCTTGTTGCCTTCTACACGACATAGTATGAGCCAGCCAGTTCTCCGAAGTTGTTAGAAAGGTACCTCAGCAATGTGAGCCAAATGTTTATTTTGCACCAACGAAGATCTGTGGGCTACCAGTCCCCCCTCAGCCATGTCGGGAAACAAGAAATACAAATGAGAAGTGCAGATGAATTCCAATATGGCGTCTCCAAGAAATTCCAGACGCTCGTTGTGATGAATGCTGGACATAAGGGAGACAATAGCGTAAAAAAGTCGAGTATTAAACAACTACATGATAATTGAACCGAGTAGGTAGAATGGGAAAGACAGTTTGTTTTCAAAACGAGTACAGTACCTCAAAGACACAACAAAAAGTTTGAAAGACTTACAATGAATGGCTACCGTCGAGATCTTCCAGTTTCGACATAGTGTTGATGAGCTGTACAATCCCTAAACACAATATCATGCTTTTTTAGTTGTAATTTCGACTGCATGTTTTGAAAAATCGTAGGTTACATGGCAAAAGAAGAAAGAAAAAGGAGGGCTGATGGGAGATGGTGAGAAAGAAAGTCGACACCCTATCGCAGGTAGATTGCTTATTGATTTCCATACCTTTCTTCCTACGCTGTGACAAACGTTGCGTCTTATCAGCATACCTGGGTTCTTTAACCCCACAGTTTGATAGGCTGTTTCGGGCATGATCAGCATTCGTACCGTAGTTCATGACGTATGATGGATGCGTAAGAGCGAGCTGAAAGACAAACGTGTAAAAGTACATATCCGACTACAATAAATTGTACAATACGTTCATTGACCAGACTTAATATCGACTTGAATGGCTATAGACTCAACAAAACCCACACATTATTTTAGGTGGTGCTCCCTTAAAAAAGCAAAAGAAAAAATCGCTTGAACTTATGCATTCTATAACATGGGGAACAGTTCTACGGACATTTGTTGAAAGAGAATCATATTTGTCACCATTCCCATACTCTGAGTAAATGTGCGCATGACACGAGAGCAGTAACTGACCTGTAAAAGAGATCTATCTTTAAATGTGTAAGCCAAGCGTTTATCCAAACTGAACAAGCTTAAATGAAAGCGGACATGATGAACCAGAACAGGAAGAACCATTGCATGCTGAAAACAGAAAGTCGACATACACAATTCACGATGACGGCCTTACGGAATTATGTTTATGACGGGGAAGGGGGGGGAGGGGTAAGGAAAAAAGTCTCTTGTTCTAAGGGCAGTTTAGGGAAGGGCAGCTTAAAAAACAATGATAAAGAAATCATAAAGATATTTTATCACAACTCATTAAGTAGAGCAACGAGTTATGTTGGAAAGAAACTGGGCCCTAAAAACCTTCATTATTACCGCTATTTGAGTGAAAACAATTAAGAAATAAAAATTTTTTACTGTGTTTGCACGAGCTTATGCAAACCGAGGAGACCTTTGGGAGAACTCGAGAGCAGATCAGTGCAAGCCCGAGACCGAAGGTCAAGGGTTGCACATGCTCGAGAGTTTTCACAAAGGTCTACGAGGTTTGCATAAGCCTGTGCAAATACGAAAAACATCTTTTATTTCTTTTATGAAATAACAATAATGCCAATCAAATAAAACGTTTTAATATTCTTCTAACGTGTATTCATGATTGATTTCAAACTCTCTTCGATTGATTGAATGATTTGATTGGCCGTGCTCAGATCGCTTTGCACAGGCTAATGCAAACACAGCTCTACACCAATCAGCGCACGCGTTTCATTGTGTTTATTTTATAATCTATGTTAAAAACAAAGCCTGTTATATAAACTATGCACGCAAAAACTCGTATCCCACTGAGCGATTGCTGTAACCTACCGGTGGATAATGCAGGGTAGAAGAGGATTGTGGTGTTAAAATGTATCAGCATATACACCGTGGACTAACAAACCTGAGTGACATCCGAGTTTAATCCGGTTTTCATCATGTCACGTGCGCTAACACGAACACAACAACTTCGTCGAAGTGAACTGAAAAAAAAGAAATTTCGCTGCCAATGCATTATCTGCTACTGCAAGCCTGTAGGTCAGCGTAAAATGTGAAGCAACAGTATCATGTTTGAAAAAAATATTAAGGCAGAAATTATATTATTTTGATTTGAGTTTCTTCTTAGAGGATTTCTGATAAAAACGTACTCTTTCATTTTCATGTTGTCCAAAGTCAACTGGAAAGAAATGATAGTTTGTTGATCAGTAAAAAGAAAGCAAAAACATTTCAAGGATTTTCAATTTTCGTTATTCACACAAGGAAAGGGTTGTACAGTTGTACTCGGGGATTCGTTCATATTTTAAATATGATAAAAACAACGACAGGCTTCGGGTTTATGATCTCAATATTCAGGAAATTCTTATGGTCGATACTCGAATGTGAGATATCTTAGAAAATGTTACATCACGTATCAGACTTCAAAAGAATGACAAAAAAAAAAATACAACAACGCCTTTATGGTTTCTCTCCTGGTCCAAGACGAAACACTACGTACTAGTAAGCTTTACCTTCAACTTGATTAGGCGTAATCGTTCATTCTTAGATACTCCACGGCTGAAAACAATACATTCGTACATATAAATTCGAACTACCATTTCATTAAACATTTGCTTCAATTAACAAACATTTCACGCCCCTAAATCGCAAACTTTTGCCATAGAATATTAACATAATTAACATAGAGTAAGTCATCTCCGATGGTTTTGGAGCAAGCGTCAAACGCCCCCCCTCCTCCCCGAGGTATTTTCAACGGTGCAGGGGGAGGCAATGGCCTCTTTTTTGTAAGATTACATCATGCATCGGCAATCACAATGGCAAAAAGTGCTTTAACCAACTTACTTGTTTTGAACCACAGATCTCAACTTTAAATACTTATTTTTGAGTCTTCGACATCTAAAAACACGAGTAAAGAGACACAGTTAAAGAGCAAAAGCTTACTTTTCCCAATTTATCGAAGAGTAGGATCTTTATTAATGTATTTCACTGAACTGACGACGTAAGTAAAGCTGCCTTACTTTGGATGTCCAGAGAAACTGAGCTGAACTGGTCTTATGCCCTTGTGAACAATCATGGCTTCACCCTGAGAAATTAAAGACAAAATTTTTTTAGGGAAATATGTCATCAAGCGTATCCTTATGACAAAGTTTGCAATTGAATCAACTGCTGAAATAGACAAAAAAAAACTGGGGGAATCTTTATGAACATTATGCTAATATATGATTTCGCTTAACCGGTCAATGAAAAAATACGGCAAACATGTATGCATATTTCAGACACAAAAATGTACAGATATTTCTTTCACATTGTGAAGAAATCGTCTATAAATAAAAACAAGTGCCCATATTGCTACGAAAAGCTGCCGTTTTTCTTATTGAGATTTTCGAACACAACAACATCCTTAACGCTTTTTGGTGATGCCGAACACAACAACATTCTTAACGCTTTTTGGTGATGCCGAACACAACAACATCCTTAATGCTTTTTGGTGATGCCGAACACAACAACATCCTTAATGCTTTTTGGTGATGTCGAACACAACAACATCCTTAACGCTTTTTGGTGATGCCGAACACAACAACATCCTTAACGCTTTTTGGTGATGCCGAACACAACAACATCCTTAATGCTTTTTGGTGATGCCGAACACAACAACATCCTTAACGTTTTTTGGTGATGCCGAACACAACAATATCCTTAACGTTTTTTGGTGATGCCGAACACAACAACATCCTTAACGCTTTTTGGTGATGTCGAACACAACAACATCCTTAACGCTTTTTGGTGATGTCGAACACAACAACAACCTTAACGCTTTTTGGTGATGTCGAACACAACAACATCCTTAACGCTTTTTGGTGATGTCGAACACAACAACAACCTTAACGCTTTTGGTGATGTCGAACACAACAACATCCTTAACGCTTTTTGGTGATGTCGAACACAACAACATCCTTAACGCTTTTTGGTGATGTCGAACACAACAACAACCTTAACGCTTTTTGGTGATGCCGAACACAACAACATCCTTAACGCTTTTTGGTGATGTCAAACACAACAACATCCTTAACGCTTTTTGGTGATGTCGAACACAACAACAACCTTAACGCTTTTTGGTGATGTCGAACACAACAACATCCTTAACGCTTTTTGGTGATGTCGAACACAACAACAACCTTAACGCTTTTTGGTGATGTCGAACACAACAACATCCTTAACGTTTTTTGGTGATGTCGAACACAACAACATCCTCAACGTTTTTTGGTGATGCCGAACACAACAACATCCTTAACGCTTTTTGGTGATGTCGAACACAACAACATCCTTAACGCTTTTTGGTGATGTCGAACACAACAACAACCTTAACGCTTTTTGGTGATGTCGAACACAACAACATCCTTAACGCTTTTTGGTGATGTCGAACAAAACAACATCCTTAATGCTTTTTGGTGAGGCCGAACACAACAACATCCTTAATGCTTTTTGGTGATGTCGAACACAACAACATCCTTAATGCTTTTTGGTGATGTCGAACACAACAACATCCTTAACGCTTTTTGGTGATGCCGAACAAAACAACATCCTTAATGCTTTTTGGTGATGCCGAACAAAACAACATCCTTAATGCTTTTTGGTGATGCCGAACACAACAACATCCTTAATGCTTTTTGGTGAGGCCGAACACAACAACATCCTTAATGCTTTTTGGTGAGGCCGAACACAACAACATCCTTAATGCTTTTTGGTGAGGCCGAACACAACAACATCCTTAATGCTTTTTGGTGATGTCGAACACAACAACAACCTTAACGCTTTTTGGTGATGTCGAACACAACAACATCCTTAACGCTTTTTGGTGATGCCGAACAAAACAACATCCTTAATGCTTTTTGGTGATGCCGAACAAAACAACATCCTTAATGCTTTTTGGTGATGCCGAACACAACAACATCCTTAATGCTTTTTGGTGAGGCCGAACACAACAACATCCTTAATGCTTTTTGGTGAGGCCGAACACAACAACATCCTTAATGCTTTTTGGTGAGGCCGAACACAACAACATCCTTAACGCTTTTTGGTGATGCAAATGTTAAAAATATACTGCCGTCAATGGTTCATGGTAAGGCTACCTTGTTGGTTCTTTCAATGTCATCCACCCTGATCGAGCTGGGTTTCTATGTATAGTAAAATGAACAATAAAATGAATAAACAAAGACATGGGACAATATCAAAAAAAAAGCAAAAAAAGAAATGGCTGTAAATTAACACATAATTTTTTTAAGTTTTAACATAGTTAACACAAACAGAATCGAAGCGCCGAGTCCTTGCAAGTTTCATTCCTGCTACGTAAATATTATGGCATTATCATAAGCAAAGAAAAAATTACATAGCACGACGAAATTTGCGGCGTTGATTGCGTCACTGAACACAGATAATAGTCAATCTTACCCAGCCAGGTTTCATGACAATGCTATTGACACAAGAATCAACGTATTCTTTCCACAATCCTTTCTCCAGACTCAATGTTTCCTTAAGAATAACGTAGTGAGCAATTAAACAAGAGTAAGTCATATTTCATGACTTTTCCCAAGTTTGACTTTTGGTGCAACGAGTTATCGGTTTCTAATCATACTTTGCATCGTGGACAGATTTTCTGGGCGGTGCAGGAGGATGCCAACCCCCCCCAAAAAATATCAGATTCCACCCCCTAAATAAATTGTTCGTCCCTGCCAGAACCATTTTAATCCTCGAAGTTTTATAAAAACAAATCAGTAGGACATTTGAACTTAGTTTATTCTGGGCATTTTTATTATTTTCTATATAATCTTTGGTGACTGCTCTACCCGACCGACCATAACATAGTCACTCCCTAACTTTCTCATACGTCACTTCCTTACCAACTAACCCCCCCTAAAATTTTTAGCTATACTATCTTCGGTGACTGCTCTACCCGACCGACCATAACATAGCACAGTTTCTACCCCCCTAAATTTAGGGGGGGTCTTGGAATTTTCAAAAATGCCTTCTAGGGGTGGGTCGAAAAAATTTTGAATTTCTAGGGGTGGGTTATAAACTAGGGGTGGGTATGTCTATGTAGGGGTGGGTTCCGAGATTTTCCCTATTAGAAAAATTAAAAAATAGATGAAATGCATCTATGATAAAAAAAATTAATAACTTCAAAGTTCAACATCACTCAATTTTTGCCCCCATGTTATTGCATCATCTATCTTCATATTACCCTATAAGGGACCAAAAATATCTCCCTAATTTGACACCATGTTATTGCATCAGCCATTGGCGAGTTTGGTGAACTTGCTTGATTGACAATATTAGTGAATACATAGACTTTATCAGTGTTGTATATAGTATGCATAGAGAGACCATAAATAAGTCTAAAATCAGCTTTCCCGTAGAAAAAAACGAATTTTTTTCGGCTCGTATGTAGGGGTGGGTAAGGAAATTTTGGACCCAAATGTAGGGGTGGGTTACCAATTTGGGGTGGGTATGTCTATGTAGGGGTGGGTTCCAACCCCTCTAGAAACTATGCATAGTCATTTCCTAACTTTCTCATACGTCACTTCCTTACCTGCTAACCCTCCCTAAAATGTTTAGCTATACTATCTTTGGTGACTGCTCTACCCGACCTACCATAACATAGTCACTTCCTAACTTTCTCATACGTCACTTCCTTACCACCTAACCCCCCCCTAAAATTTTTAGCTATACTATCTTTGGTGACTGCTCTACCAGACCGACCATAACATAGTCACTTTCTAACTTTCTCTTACGTCACTTTCTTACCACCTAACCCCCCTAAAATTTTTAGCTATACTATCTTTGGTGTCTGCTCTACCCGACCTACCCTAACGCAGTCACTCCCTTTCTTTCTCTTAGGTCACTTTCTTACCGCTTCACCCCTTAAAATTTTTAGCCCTCCTACCATAAAAGTATGAAAGTCCTTTCATGCTTTGCATTTAGCAAATAAATTCTTAATTTTACATCGATATCACAAGAAAATAAAGCATATTATGAAATAACCTCACCTCACTTATTAATGGCTTATGACTTTCCAAAAGATATTTCCAGACACTTCTCATTGACAAGAGTTCGTATTCCTGTGGTCCATTATCATTCTCTATACAAAATACACCGTCAAGTTGCGGTCATGCAATGCATGATGGGTAAATCGATAATTTCAATAATTACTAATTATTTTGACATCACATTCGGTATGGCGATTACTATCATGGATTGACTGTCGTCACCTTCCTTTACTGGTAAAATTCTAAGCTAGTCAAATCAATACATGATCTTAATATTGTAAAACAAACAAAAACGAAATGTTGTGACTACGACGGTTGGCATAATTTGTGGAATGACAGGCCTTTCGTAAAAAAGATACGCTTTATCCGGTAGCTTAGGAAGCCATTGGAGTCTAGGTGTTTGGGCAACCAAAGTTTTTTAAGTGAGGGTGCCCTTATTGGAAAGACACTCACAAATTCAGCTTCTTCCTTGAATGTTTTTTTTTCAGTTGTACTAACTTTTCAAATCGATATAAAGAGCTTTCACTCAGACATGATGCAGTCAGAAGAAAACTGTATAAAAATAACTAATATCAAGCAGTTTCATAACTTCCATTGTGTGTGATCATACAGAGGGCACATTGAACACTCACAACATCTAAAAGCCTTCAAAGCCTTCAACCCCCCCCTTATTTCCAAGACCTGCAACGTACCACTTATTCTGCGCGTAAATCTTGGTAAGAAGTAGAAAAGATCACAAAAATTGCTGTCGTGATCTAAACAGAACAAATGCATCATGCAGAAAATCATTGATCTAATGTTATAGAAAAAAATGCAGCAAAATACAAACAACTCGACCAAATGAATGTATTCTCGTTCTCAGTCCTTAGACAAATGAATGTATACTCGTTCTTAGTCCTTAGACAAATGAATGTATACTCGTTCTCAGTCCTTAGACAAATGAATATATACTCGTTCTTAGTCCTTAGACAAATGAATATATACTCGTTCTTAGTCCTTAGACAAATGAATGTATACTCGTTCTCAGTCCTTAGACAAATGAATATATACTCGTTCTCAGTCCTTAGACAAATGAGTATATACTCGTTCTCAGTCCTTAGACAAATGAATATAAACTCATTCTCAGTCCTTAGTCAAATGAATATATACTCGTTCTCAGACAAATGAACATACACTCGTTCTCAGTCCTTAGACAAATAAATATATATACTCGTTCTCAGACAAATGAATATATACTCGTTCCCAATCCTTAGACAAATGAATATACACTCGTTCTGAGTTCTTCGACAAATGAATATATACTCGTTCTCAGTCCTAAGACATATGAGCCTATACTCGTTCTCAACCTTTAGACAAGGGAATAAACTTGTTGTCCACATTGGCATTGACAGCCATTAATTAAATCCAGTTATGTAAATCTTTCTGGACTCATCGTGTAAACAAATGATGTATAAAGAAATGAGCAATGATGTTCTGAAAATTATATAGCAGGACTAACATATGCCTGCAAGTTTACGACACTGGTTCTCAGTCCTTAGACAAACGAGCAAACTCGTTTTCGGGACTTGGAATAACTAGCCACCAATGCCACAGTGTTCAAATTTCAACAAACTTCTCTGTAGGCAAGGGTGCAGCCAGGGCATATACTTAGTCGTGCTATGCAAAGTTTCAAGTGTCATCTCACTGTAAAAACAACACATTTCTAAAGAAATAATGATATTCTTCAATAGACAACTTGCATTATTACGTCACTTAGTCGTGCTATGCAAAGTTTCAAGTGTCATCTCACTGTAAAAACAATACATTTCTAAATAAATAATGATAATATTCTTCAATAGACAACTTGCATTATTACGTCACTTAGTCGTGCTATGCAAAGTTTCAAGTGTCATCTCACTGTAAAAACAATACATTTCTAAATAAATAATGATAATATTCTTCAATAGACAACTTGCATTATTACGTCACTTAGTAGTCACGCATATGAAAACATTGCAATATGGCCACCCAGCGAAAGAGAGTATACTGCTGTTCTTAGTCACGTTTCTGAGTCAAGAAGTACAACTGAAGGCCATAGTTCTTTTGAGAACTCTTGCCCGGGTCTGCAGGAAACTTCTAGTTCTGAAAGTCGCGGCAAATTTACGTTGGACGATTTGATATTCGATATTTAAATCGATTGCCAACTATTGTTCCGAAAGCCACAAAACCTTCTCAAATTAAAACTCGTCCAACTGAAAATGAAAGAATTAGGACAACTTTTGTTGGAATTAGCAAACGCTTGAAACCAAGCAGATTATTTTCTCAAGTAAACTCTTCATGCAATATTGCAATGTTGTCATTTGCGTGACTGCTAAGTGACGTAATAATGCAAGTTGTCTATTGTCAAAGCGGGACTAAAACTTGCAGGCTGGCCATGCTACAGCATGCAAATAATTACCTTTCACTTGTCCAATAGTCCAGTCGTATAACTCCAGGACATCGTGAAAAAGAAATCTTGAAAACAGGTGAAGATCACGAACATCGAAATTCTGTAAATGTATGATGAAGAACACAAAAAATTCAATGCATGACGTCACGAACACGCGAGCCATGCGAATCTGACGTCACGAGCACGCGAGCCATGTGAATCTCACGTCACGAACACGCGAGTCATGCGAAACTGACGTCACGAACACGCGAGCCATACGAAACTGAGATTCTTAGTGGTAAAAGCTTGAATAATACTCACGTTGGGAACTGGTTCTTCGATAAAGAGTATTTCATATTCAAAGTTGAATCTCGTAAAAAAGCATTTGGGAATTGCATCAAGAGAGGAGTGGGAGAGGAGGGAGAAACCTTCAAAGATATACGTGTTTCCATTACATTGAATTTTTGTTGGATTTTCAGTCTAAGAAAAGAAAATGTATGTTAATACATGTTGCTATATGTATCGTTTCTTTTTGATGAAGGTTTATGTGTAAGCTGCTAAGGAACATACTTTTTATTGATATCACAACAAGAAAACGCATGCGTCGATTTGTCTATATCCGAGTTTGCTTTAACATGTGCAAATCGATCTGAGCTCAATCAATTATTAAGTCAATCAAAGAGAATTTGCCAATTAATCATCAATACGTGTTACGGAAAAATTAAAACATTTGTTTTGAATTTATCTGTTTCGCATTATGATTTTACTGATTTTATAAAAGAAATAAAAGATGTTTTTCGTGTTTGCACAGGCTTATGCAAACTTCGGAGACGTTTGTGAAAACTCTCGAGCCTGTAGAAACCTTCGGTCAGCGGTCTTGCTCTGCTCTCAAGTTCTTCCAAAAGTCTCCTCGGTTCGCTTGAGCCTGTGCAAACACAGAGTAAACATCTTCTCGTAGCTTATCAGCAAGATCGATGCTTACGAATCAAATACAAAATACATATGCAGAACGTGATCAAAACTAATATTCTTTAAACAGTACTTAAAAGTACATCACCAAACGAAGTAATTTTATTTTCACTTGGAATTGGCTTTGAAAAGCCTCTTTGCGGTGAATTCAATAAATATTGTATTGCACTGTATGTCTGATGCCACGCAACTCACTTATACAAAGGATTCATAAATGTTTGTAGGAATCTTACCATGAAATTGGAATGAGGGTAGACTGTGATCCAGTAGTGATGTAGATGTTTTAATTCGTCTTCTTCCATTGATTTACATGGCTCCGGCAACTGAAAAATCACAAATGCTGGTAATGCATAAAAATAAAGGGAAAAGACAAAACCGAACACCTTTTCATCGGGATAAATATCGTGAACGATCCATTTCTTTTGATCTTGCACACTGCACAAACATTTCTTACCCTGGTTAACCTAGAAAAACAGACGAGAAAATGTACGGTTGGATGTTACCATATTTCACACCATGTTGATCTCAAAAAGGACAAGGAAAGGTTATTCGGCAAGAGTAAATAGTTGCATGCAATGTCATGCTCATTATCCATCAACTTCTGAAAGATGACATGCAAGCCATAAAAACGGTAAACACATTTTTCTCAACTGCTAGATGAAGAGCAAAGAGAACACACGCGCTCTGCAATCAGGATCAATTTTCACTCAGGTAAAATCCAAAGTCAATTTGAAATTTCTATAACATGAAAGCCACCCTAATGTCACCATATTCTGTAAGAAAGCCACCCTACAGTAACCATATGCTGTAAGAAAGCCACACTACAGTAACCATATGCTGTAAGAAGAAAGCCACCCTACAGTCACCATATGCTGTAAGAAGAAAGCCACCCTACAGTAACCATATGCTGTAAGAAGAAAGCCAGCCTTAAAGTTTTGGTCATGCTATGTAAATTTTCTAGCATTATCACAATTCGCTACTTTAGATTTATATTGCTTTTGCAATGAATGAACACAGAAAATCGCATAGCGGGACTAAATTTGCGGGTTGACAACGCCAGTGGGCTCAAGTACGAAGTACTAGCTTTTGTACATTGTCAACGGAAAAAAAATTAATCGCAAGTGAGCAAATCAACAGACATGAACAGGGCAAAAACGTAAGTTTTCGCACCTCTCCTTTCACGTTGTACCATAATTCAGAATGCAATCTCATAAGGCTATCTTGCCCACGGAATTTCTGTCTTTTCGATACAGGATCATCGGGTGCGCTGCTGTCGCTATCACTTCCCTCAAATTCGATATCACTGTCGCTGACGTCATTATCATTTGCGTCATCACAGTGAAGGAGATCGTGGACAAACCGAGTGTCGTCATCGCTGTGGTCGGAGCGCGTGCAATCATCAGAAACTAAGGTTTGACTAAGTAAAGACAAAAGAAATACATCTATTGCGACATGCATATACATCTATTGCGACATGCATATACAACATCTATTGCGATATGCATATACATCTATTGCGACATGCATATACATCTATTGTGACATGCATATACATCTATTGCGACATGCATATACATCTATTGTGACATGCATATACATCTATTGTGACATGCATATACATCTATTGCGACATGCATATACATCTATTGCGACATGCATATACATCTATTGTGACATGCATATACATCTATTGCGACATGCATATACATCTATTGCGACATGCATATACATCTATTGCGACATGCATATACATCTATTGCGACATGCATATACAACATCTATTGCGACATACATATACAACATCTATTGCGACATACATATACAACATCTATTGCGACATACATATACAACATCTATTGCGACATACATATACAACATCTATTGCGACATGCATATACAACATCTATTGCGACATATATATACAACATCTATTGCGACATACATATACAACATCTATTGCGACATACATATACAACATCTATTGCGACATGCATATACAACATCTATTGCGACATACATATACAACATCTATTGCGACATGCATATACAACATCTATTGCGACATACATATACAACATCTATTGCGACATGCACATACAACATCTATTGCGACAAGCATATACAACATCTATTGCAACATGCATATAGCTACAACATCTATTGCGACATGCATATACAACATCTATTGCGACAAGCATATACAACATCTATTGCGACATGCATATACAACATCTATTGCGACATACATATACAACATCTAGTGCGACATGCATATACAACATCTATTGCGACATGCATATACAACATCTATTGCGACATACATATACAACATCTATTGCGACATGCATATACAACATCTATTGCGACATGCATATACAACATCTATTGCGACATACATATACAACATCTATTGCGACATACATATACAACATCTATTGCGACATGCATATACAACATCTATTGCGACATACATATACAACATCTATTGCGACATACATATACAACATCTATTGCGACATGCATATACAACATCTATTGCGACATACATATACAACATCTAGTGCGACATGCATATACAACATCTATTGCGACATGCATATACAACATCTATTGCGACATACATATACAACATCTATTGCGACATGCATATACAACATCTATTGCGACATGCATATACAACATCTATTGCGACAAACATATACAACATCTAGTGCGACATGCATATACAACATCTATTGCGACATGCATATACAACATCTATTGCGACATACATATACAACATCTATTGCGACATGCATATACAACATCTATTGCGACATGCATATACAACATCTATTGCGACATACATATACAACATCTATTGCGACATACATATACAACATCTATTGCGACATACATATACAACATCTAGTGCGACATGCATATACAACATCTATTGCGACATGCATATACAACATCTATTGCGACATACATATACAACATCTATTGCGACATGCATATACAACATCTATTGCGACATGCATATACAACATCTATTGCGACATATATATACAACATCTATTGCGACATACATATACAACATCTATTGCGACATGCATATACAACATCTATTGCGACATGCATATACAACATCTATTGCGACATACATATACAACATCTATTGCGACATACATATACAACATCTATTGCGACATACATATACAACATCTATTGCGACATGCATATACAACATCTATTGCGACATACATATACAACATCTATTGCGACATACATATACAACATCTATTGCGACATGCATATACAACATCTATTGCGACAAGCATATACAACATCTATTGCGACATGCATATACAACATCTATTGCGACATGCATATACAACATCTATTGCGACATGCATATACAACATTTATTGCGACATGCATATACAACATCTATTGCGACATGCATATACAACATTTATTGCGACATGCATATACAACATCCATTGCGACATGCATATACAACATTTGTTGCGACAGGCATATACAATAACCAGGACAAGCAGACAATTTTAAGTAAAACAAAATAAAACAAATTCCGAAAACAGACATTATCTTGAATTTCAAAAAAACGAGATGTCCGTTTTCGGAATTTGTTTTATTTTGTTTCACATTTATATACAGTTGGGACAATCCGAGACTGGGAATAATCGATTCTGACACAAAAACCAAAACTCAATTGATGTTTGTCTTTAGTAAACAACCACATCACTAATTCACAATTTTACGTAAATCAACCAAGACACGCCGTCCACTTTCAAGAAGCAACCATAACGATGCAAAGGTTTCTACCTATCCAAGTTTTCCTAAAGCAACATTCAAATTTAAAAAGTGCGTAACAGACATTTCTGTAGAGTTGAACAAAACTTTGTTCACACAATATCATCCAGGAAAGCACACAAGTGCATCAGTGGAAGACCAATCAAATAAAACGTCACTCAACAACAGACGCAAGCTGGAAATTTCAAAAAGTCCTGCTGGACGAAACATTGCATCAGATTATGAAAAACAGATTCATCCACCCGTGAGAGCTATTTGAAAAATCGTTCTTGTCAAATAAGCCTCCAACACGGTTATACCTAGGGTCCCAAATTACATATTCGTAAATATGTATCGGGCAGGTTAGTGCAGTCCCGACGGAAGGACTGTTGGCGTCAGTGTTGACTGTTGTTTCGACAACCATAGCGGCGATCATTTTCAATGTTAACTGGCAACTCCGCGAGTAAAGATACACCGGCGTTCAACCCGTTCACTTTATTACCACCGTTCCAAAGTTACCCTTGAAAGAACTGTAAAAAATAAATGACGTACCTGATGGTCGGCGGTTCAGCATTGGCAAGCGCTTTTTCTTTACTCAATAGCTCTTCGAATTCTTTGTGCACCCGGTTCGCCTCGTCGATACATGCATTTGATGACTTTTCATAAACGAATGTTCGTTTCACATGCGGTTGCGGAAGGCAAAAGCACTTGAGTGCACGTCTGAAAAAAGACCTGAACTTTATACGCGCTACACATCCAGGATAGTCAATAATGCAATCGTCAATTGTGATTATAAAGTTTTTGTGTATAGAGACACATCAGTGTGTAGTGTGGTGTATTCTCAATACAACCAACATATATATACCAACTTTCGTCAACAAAACAGTTCATATATATTTACTACAGTTTGTATGAACGAGACTACAGGGTATTCACAGCAATGAAGTACCCTCCAATGAAATCAGACCATTTGTTGCAAGGCTGTGTGGTTGCATCTCAATGAATTGCAAATTCACTATAACTTCCCTTTTAACTTCGTGGCGAAAATAAAGCGAAATACTTGTACCACAGAATAAACATCTAACAGAAGGCCCACTCGGCTAAATTCGTGGCGTATTTTCTCACTACGCATGCGTGACTCCCGAGCAAGATACTTTCACAAAATCAATATGGATTAGTATTGCACGAGAATGTTATTTTACTAATAATTCACGTTTAAAGCAAACATTTGCCGAACTTTTTACAAGGAGTTACCATCTTGGGAAGGAGATAAGGTTCCAAGCTTTTGTAGTGCAAAACGCTATATTTGTAAAAAAACTATATTTTCTATTGCTACCTAGCGGAAGTATCTTGCTGGAAGGCGAGGGACACGAACATCAAAGGTTCCGACTCGAGTGGACCTTCTGTTAAGATATCTATCCTGTGCTTGTACATTTTAGTGTCTATGTGAAACATTTTACTTTACTTTAATCTGTTATAATTATTCCGTAATTCACTCAACTGAATTCCCAGAGGTTGACTTTCCAACCCTGCTTTACAACAAACGGTTTCATTTCAAATAAAACAAAAACAATATAACGCGCGAGTTGATTGGTCTACAGTTTAGTTTGCATTAGCCTGTGCAAACGTTCATATTACATGGGTGGCTTCTCTGAGGGTGCGGGGAGGGGGGAGGGGGGAGGGAGGGTGCGTACCACTAAGAAAAATACGCAAATACATATTTCATAATACGACAATTTTGGAGTATTACCTTGCACATTTTCATCGACACGTTAAAATTGAAATTAATTACTAAACGCGCATTCCTTCACAAAAAACATTTAAAATTTTTTTGAAAAGGTACTAACACTTTCATTTCGCAAGGTTTCACTCATCTCTAAGTCGAAAATGCGCAATAGCCGAGGCCCTTACAACTTTAGCTAGGATAAAGATGCACAATAGTTTATATGCCCCTGTTGCATTAACCTGTGCAAACCAATCAGTGCTCAACCGACGAAAACAATCAAACAGAATTTCCCCATGAACACAATTTAGAGGAAAAATTTAAGCGTTTGTTTAAAATTTATGTGTTTTGCATTATTGTCGTTTTACAAAAGAAAGAAAAGATGTTTTTCATGTGTGCACTGGCTTATGCAAACCTCAGAGACGTTTGTGAAAACTCTCGAGCATGTGTAAAAGGTTTCCTCGCTTTGCATAAGCCTGTGCAAACACAGTAAACATCTTTTACATCTTAAAAAAGGGACCTTTTTGGAAACCCTGTACGTTGAGAGTAAGCATCCTCCATTAATAGAGGGGATCAATAAAAGCGATATAACAGAAATAGGTAAAAGAAGATCGAAGAGAAGCACCATCATGATAAATCAATTAATCTCCTTCGTATCATTTAAAACAGTACCAATGGCGTAGTCAGCCCACAAGTTTCAGTCCTGCTATGTATATTTCAGAACGATATCATTAATCATTTCTTCGGTCTTGGGCGATTCTCCCGTCACGCGTGCAACATTTCCATCACGCGTGCAACATTTCCATCACGCGTGCAACATTCTCCATCACGCGTGCAACATTTACACTGTAATTCTGTTACTAGATTCTCGATTCTAAGCGTAGACAATAATCAACACTTCCCAAAGTATAAGGTATTCATTGTGACCAAGGGGAAACTTTATGTAAAAACATATGCTGTTAATGTTTTTCAATATTTCTCTCAAAGATACAAAGGCGAGTGAGCTACATACGTCTCGCGAGTCACCCACGAAAATAAACGTTTCCCACTAAGGTTTCTTGATCAACGTCACACTTGGTGAACATTGATATGGCAAAGTAATGAAAAATACATGAAATACTTACTACATCAAATAATTCGACGCACTAACATTATACAACACATTACACAAATAGTTCTAAAATATTTCCATGTAGACTCGACCTCAGAGAATCGCCTTCGGAATCGCGGTGAGTGAAGAAAGAAAATTTAGGACTAAATTATAGGCCCAGTTACGCCAGTGAACAGTAAACTTCTCGTCTTTTTCAAAATACATTTTATTTTCACGGCAATCGCTGGTTAAAGTAGTACACATGCTTACTTTGCGCAACGCACGTCATAGCAACGTCACAAAAGTCCTTCAAAAATGCGCGCTACGTCCACACCCAAGTTTACACTAAACCAATTTCAGCCAATTGCATCGTTTCACACAACCTTGATACATAGTTATACACTTTATAAGCTCACTACTGTCAAAAATACAACGTTGCCTTTCGACGATTATCGATTTCCATCGGCAATACATACCTTGATGCATCGCTCAAATCATCGTCCTTCTTCCGAGGTTTATGTGAAATGTCGCCTTCGGGATATCGATCACGTGACAAATAACTTCTTCTCAATCTGTCTCCGGTCGACGACGTCCTATGGGAAGATAAAGACGGAGAACCTCGAGGAGACTTACTTCCGGTCCGTCGACGTTTGTAGGAATATGGCTTCATATGAGTTCGTCGTCTTTTATCCGAATCCTTGGCCTCAGTCGACTGTTTTTCATCATTTAGACAGCGTTCTCGGCTAGCTCTCCGAGAAACTTTATGTCTTTCCTCGACAAACAAGGCACCCTCTTTACCAGGCCTTTCAGTTTTAGAGCTACTTTGGCGTTTGGTTATCGCAGACCTTTCATATCGATGTTCGCTTCTTGCTGGACTTATGACATTTTGTAGCCGAAATCGCCTTCCCCTCTCATTTTCGCGACTTGATCTCCTTGAGGAAAACGTCCGGGATTTTGACCTTCTTGATAAACGCACATGGGAAGTCGATCGTTTAGACGATCGAGTACGGCATCTTGACCTCATGGGAGAATGTCCACCGGAACTGGAAGGTGTAGGAGAATGTCTCCTGGTATAACTACGAGGAGAGCGGCTTCGGTCAATCGATCTAAACAACCCTCCAAAATATGTCTCTCTCTCGTTCAAGTTGCCAATTTCCTGGCTGTCACGTGATTCTCTAAAGCTCAGCCAATCATTTTCCTCGAATTGTGAGGATTGATAATGGTACTCTGAACGAGGTGACCGACATTCAAACTCGTTCCTCGAAATAACCTCTGAATTTAAATGTCTATAAGAGTCTTTGTAGACCACGTGATCATCCTCTACTACGGGCAACAAACTGCCCGATCGTGGGCTATTCGAATATAAATAACTACGTGGGTAACCAGGACTCACGTGACTTTCACCAATGGTTTCGTTTTCATTAACACAAAAGTCAGATTCGCTACGACTCGAGTGAAAATCAGGATGGTAAGAGCCTACGCTTGCAAACTTATTGTTTTCATGCAATATACCACCAAAAAATGTTCTTCTTTCGTCAAGGTCGAAATGGCTTTTCCTTTCACGGGATGAAACACCAGTTTTGCCTTTCTTTTTCGATCCTCTTTTTCTTCGCTCATCATTCTGTGAAGATCGATCTTCGTCATTAAATAAATCTGCATCATCGAGTTTGCATTTATTCGAGTATGCTGCCTTCATCGGTGAAGCGAATTTTTGAAACTCAACAGAAGAAGCATTGAAAGAAGCAAGCTGGTGTCCAGTTCCCCCTTCATTAGAGGGAGTGGATTCATTAACCAATGGCTGTAATGAAGCAAGCTGGTGTCCAGTTCCTCCTTCATTAGAATGAGTGGACTCATTAACCAATGGCTGTAAAGCACTTTGGTGAGCATCAGTTAAATTGATATAATGTGAATCATCATGACTTTGTACTTTGGAGTCGCTAAAAACAGCTTTATACTTCATCTTAGATTGAGTATCTCCAGTAAGGAGGATATTGTTGGTCAAAGATGTATGATGATGCACCACAGTATGGACATTTGAATTGTCAATGTTATGATGCAGAAGTGAAATTCGTCCTTCGCTTCCAGCATCGGTTTCGCTCAAATTTGATTGTGTGTTTCCAGTGAGAAGGATATTATCTGTCGTTAATGTTCGATGAGGTATCAAAGTCTGGATATTTGGATCATCAAGATTATGGTGCAGCAATGGTGTTCTATGTTCCTGTTTAGTATAAACTTGATTCGAACCAGAATGAGCATTCCCAGTTAGCATAATGTTATTGGTGACTGAAACAGATGGTTTAAATCTTTGCACTTCCGAATTAGCAAACATCTGCTGTTGGGTGGCAAAACCTGGATTTACATTTGCCAAAGCAACTTGACCAATGTGAGGACGAATTTCACCAGCACCAATATGTTGTAGATTTAGCGGTATGACATGATTGTCAGTATTCTGAGGTATTGGAACAGTGTGTTGAGTAGCAAGGGGTACAACACCATGATTGTTTAAACTATGGTTAATTTGTTGTGGAAATGGTATGGTAGGCACATGACCTCTGTTGAGAGGATGCACAGTTATATTATTTACATAAGGAGTCTTTGGTCTATCAATATTTGGATCATTGCAAGCACTCATGCTCGAAAGAGAAGTCATTGGTTTGGTGTACAAGGCAGATTCAGGTCGAACGACTGAGGGCAGCAAAGTCTTGCCCTCCAGTCCAGTTCCGTGCATCTTTAGAGCACCAATAATTTGAATTGGATTGCCATCTTCCTGTTTTCAAGACAATTTCACACTGTCAGCCATGTGCCTGCACTTACGCATCATGAACAAAAATATTTATATATTTTACAATCACAGCGTGGAGTGGTAGGCAAATTATTTAGTTTAGTTCCACGTCTTACATTTCTATTTTACATTATTTATCAATTCCATTTACTTATAAAAAGCTGCTATTGCCGTGCGAAACCTTGTCAACACAGAAAATGAAGAACGATGTAAATATTTTGTACATTTTACCTTAGACTTGGACTCCGAAATATATTTCGTAGCTGAATGCATATTTTTGAATATTTTTCCCAAAACTCCTAAAAGTATCGGAAAGGTCGCCAGTTACCAAGAAAAAGACTTTCCATGCGTCCTTATGGTAAAAAATCGCCAAAAATATACATTTGCGGCTGTTGGACTGATGGCAAAGCTGACACAATTATTCGCCATCTTGAATTTAACCGCGTTAAACTGGATTACTGGAAACTAAAAAACGCTTTTGACTTGTATTCTGCTGACCGTCATGCCAAAATACAGTCAATTCACAATATTGAATAAGCTATTAGCTATACACTAAACATTGGATAGTTTGTGGTTGATTTTTCTATTTTCCGAATTATTTTCCCAATCCACTCACTCGACACACGGAACAACTATCCCCAAGTCAACGTTGGCTCAATAGCTCCACAAGACTGAAGTTGAACACATCGTGGAAACCAGCTTCGCTTGTCGGGGTCAGCGTGTTTAAACAAACTTATTCTATCTGACAATCACTTACCAGTATTATGGCCAGGATTCGCAGTATTCTAAAGTAATTTACCCAGAAAACAATTTTCCACCAATTAAATTAACTCGTACTTTTTTTATCGATCAGTAAAAGTATTTCAACGAAATGATGCCATCATCATACAAATAACCAATTACAGAGTTAGTAAATATATAAATACAAAAAATTTGAGCATTCACTTATAATACACAATAATCTGTCAACGTGTAGAACAGCTTACTACAATATAATTTCCACGAATGCCACGCAAACTCGTATTACGTATTACATTATATATAAATATTATAATATTAATATAGTTAAATCTCCTTCTGTGCTGTGGGTGAATGTGCTAAAGTTTGGTGTCTTCTGCTTCGATTTCGTCAAATGAAATAAGATTTTGAGGTGGCTATATAGTAGAAGACGATAAATTTTTTGAAAAAAACTTCGTTCTTCGATAAAATGAAATAAATGCATTTTAAGAGACCATTTTCATTGATGGTTGAATGATACGTTACCTTGTACAGCTCTCTTTCGATTTGATCTTTAAGTAAATTATACCAAGTCTGCGTATTGATGTCTGTCTGCGAATAAAATCTGTAAATGTATCCTATAGAAAAGAAAAACACACACTTAGAAAACAACAGCTGCATCAATCGATATTGTAATCAGATCAAAGCGAAAAGTTCAGCTCAAGCGGACGTAGTTAGTTGGCTAAGTGGTACAAAAGTGTTTACAAAAGTTACAGTACATACGAGTAAAACAATACATGCAAGAAAACTATTTGAGCAGTTTTTTCTACAAAGAAATGACAACACGAACGACTCAAAATAATACGAAGTCCCCGCTCCATGGGTGATAATTATGAAGATGCGTTGAAAGATATAATGTTCCGTTTTTTTACCACTATCTTTGTTTTCTAGCTGGAAGAAAGAACGAACGTTGTCTCGAAGTAAGGTAATTTTCCAATCTGTCAGTAGGAAAGGTCTTCCGTGAGCTGTCTGTTTATACTAGACAAAAATTGTTGATGTAAGCAATCAAGAACACAACCCTATAAGATCACTAGACTTCGTGGTTGCGCTCATATTAGGGAGCTTTAGCAAGAGTACGACTACGACAACGAGTACGAAGTTTGACCGTGTAAGGGAATGGCACGAGGAAGTTTGTTGTCGTTGTCGCTTCGTCAAAATTTAGTTTTAGCTATAAACAACAGAACGAGCCTTTTTATTGTGAAAAATACTGACGTTAGAGAAGCAGCTACGGCTCCATTTGTCAATAATGATATCAACTAATCGGTAATACTGATTTTGCGAGAACATAGGCCTCTTTAGAATGAAAAATCTTCACTATTTTAAATTTTATTTACGATATATTTATGCTATTTTATTGTTTGTTCTAAAAGGTTCTACATTAAAGCCTGGATGCTCGAAAATAGTACTGTAAACTAATTTCTTACACAGTGAAAAATATACCTACTTTCTTTGCTTAAAAAGACATCGTAGTCGCGACTACTAAGTTTTTACAAAACATCGTACTCAGATTGATGACGGCTACGTGTTGTTGTTGTCGCAACAATGTTTTCGCGCCAAAATGACGTAGTTCGTACTCGTAGTCTTTGCTAAAGCTCTCTATTGATCGAAGAACGCTAGTAGCTACATACCGAGTTTCTGACATTTCCAGACAGCGTGCGACGCGGACGAAAAAAGTAGAGATAGCTTCCACAAAGGCCGACCCAGTATCGTTTCCACGATGAAAACTGTAACACAAGAACGGAGGCATGATTATTTACAACCTTTGTAGGGCAAGCCAGGAATGACGATATTTACCGCTGGTCGTTTTCCTTTCTTAAGGTAAGCTTTCCTTTTTAAACAATCTAACATGACAAAGAACGTGAAAAAATTCAATTGCTTGTCGAGAAAACTCGCACGACATAGCAGGACAACTAGTAAGTGTATATACTTATTCATTTATATATTCATTTATATAAATATGGATAATAGTTTCTTAAGGATTTCAACATACATATATCAACATTCCCCTCCCCAACCAACTATCGAGCTTGCTACACCACCGTTTATGGTCGAAACTTAGTTTTGGATGTAAAATTTTCTTGTCATTTCCGGTTCTGACTAATGGAAAAATTCATTCTAAATTTTACCTTCCCATCTAAAGTTTAAATTTTCAACCAGATTCGTTTCTTCGCTGAAAAGACAGAAATTACAACGTCGTTACACGACCATGGAAAATTGCCATTCTAACAACACGCTAGTCACCTGGTTTTACTTTGGTCGGACCGGATACTAAGATCAGTACTCTCTAAACGAACATGAAATTGTTACATATCGAGAAAGTGATATGTCGTGTTTGCTAAATCTCTCTAATAAAACGATTGCGCTTTAAAATTCTTTATGCATAAGGTCAGCATTCGAAATCTACTTCCTATTGGCCATAGCAATCACTGACCTGTATAGAAATTTAATAGAACTCAATGACACTACTACAGTGCTAACATTGCTATTGAACTCGTGCCCATGCTCCTCACCTGACGAAGACGTGCTCCAATGCAATCGGCTTCCGTCAATAGGATGTGTTTTAGGGGAGACTTGTGAGGACGTGTCGAGCGCTCCCTCAGAAAACGGATCGGTCTCGTTCGACTTGTAACTGAACAGGCAAAAATAGAAAAAAAATTACAGTACTGTAAAATTCAATTATTTTGGAATGATAATCAACGTCCACTGTACCTGAGACAACTCATTGACGATGACAGACGATTGGAGGAAAATATACTACAGAAAATTACAAATGCTCTCAATGATCATAGTAAACATGAGTTCGAAGAAACAGTAAAAAAACAATCCACAACTACTATAGATCAGAGGCTATTCTCAGGAGGAACTGGTGGTTCAATGTGATCAATATCAAAACAGCTTTCGCTCCGAGGCCTTGCTCGGAGAGAGAAGATTGCTGATTACGTCTAATCGAGTTAAATCGATCCGTGCACAAGATTAAACATAAAATCAGCAAACGCTTACTTTACGCCCAAGCTTGAAGCTTTGCGATGACCCAGTTGAACTTTTGTCGTTGATGTTTCAGGAATATGAGAGCTTTTCCTCACATAGCTTGCAGATCGCGGCACTTCCGGTACCTCTAAACCAACTGATAAAATCAAAAAGGAATTTTAGTCATATACGATGCTCATAAATTATGCATGAGCTTCTTATTTCGTCATGTTTTGTGCACCGACCAATTTTATTGGATAGTTGTCGAGGGCTGAGCTTGACAAATTCTTAGCGAACGAAGTAACACGGACCTTAGATTAATGGGGAAAAAAAAACAAAGCAAAAATACGATAAAAACAAAAAGGAAAATTACATAATGGCGATTGATCTTTTGTGTTTGCCAGATATTTGTTGGGTAAAAGATTTGACTTTGACTCCTTGCACGGTTCGATTTTCAACGACAGCCTGTATGAAATCAACATAGATATAAATTTTCTACTTTAAACTACAACACACGCTTAAGTGCTAACAGTTTCCAAACATTAGGTCCTCGGTCAACCTAACTGACCACCTAATGTACACAAATAGAAGACAATCTATAAGCTTCAACAATTCCAGGCTTATGTGACCAGCAAGATACTCGTACATTCAACTAGTATTAAAACAGCGACTTATATACAGATAAATCTTTATTTCAATACAGTGCGTCAAGCGTACGGCTATAAACAACAGAGTGTATAGACATTAAACATAACTGACAAGGAGGCCTAAAGCCGTAATCATCGTTACCTCGTATTTTGGCCAATAAATATAAACATCCATGCACAAAAAAACACAACACGATACATGAGTTGTGCTCAATCTCAAAAGATCCAAAAACCATGCTTTCATACGGGTCCCTTTTTCATAATAATTAGCATAATCTAAAACCTATGCATCTCGATCCTACACAATCCTTATTTGCGAATGTTGTAGTCAGACAATCAAAAAAAAAAAAGGAACGCGCTACAGTCAGTTATTCGGAGAGTGGAAATGTATATTGCACATGACAAAACTGGATGATTTGATTGGTTGATGTAGATAGTCCAGGTTACTACAGTCTTGAGAAGACACGATAAGGCGAACTTGAGATTTACTCTTCACTTGACTCTGAAGAGGACAACCGCAAAGTATATCGAAACGTTCGTCAAAACAAACATCAACAGTCCTTTCTTCTGAGGACTGCATTGAACAGGATGATCTACGTCAACAAACACGTAACGGGACACTTTGGCGGCAAAGTATATCGAAACGTTCGTCAAAACAAACATCAACAGTCCTTTCTTCTGAGGACTGTATTGAACAGGATGATCTACGTCAACAAACACGTAACGGGACACTTTGGCGGCAAAGTATATCGAAACGTTCGTCAAAACAAACATCAACAGTCCTTTCTTCTGAGGACTGCATTGAACAGGATAATCTACGTCAACAAACACGTAACGGGACACTTTGGCGGCAAAGTATATCGAAACGTTCGTCAAAACAAACATCAACAGTCCTTTCTTCTGAGGACTGTATTGAACAGGATGATCTACGTCAACAAACACGTAACGGGACACTTTGGCGGCAAAGTATATCGAAACGTTCGTCAAAACAAACATCAACAGTCCTTTCTTCTGAGGACTGCATTGAACAGGATAATCTACGTCAACAAACACGTAACGGGACACTTTGGCGGCAAAGTATATCGAAACGTTCGTCAAAACAAACATCAACAGTCCTTTCTTCTGAGGACTGTATTGAACAGGATGATCTACGTCAACAAACACGTAACGGGACACTTTGGCGGCAAAGTATATCGAAACGTTCGTCAAAACAAACATCAACAGTCCTTTCTTCTGAGGACTGCATTGAACAGGATAATCTACGTCAACAAACACGTAACGGGACACTTTGGCGGCAAAGTATATCGAAACGTTCGTCAAAACAAACATCAACAGTCCTTTCTTCTGAGGACTGTATTGAACAGGATGATCTACGTCAACAAACACGTAACGGGACACTTTGGCGGCAAAGTATATCGAAACGTTCGTCAAAACAAACATCAACAGTCCTTTCTTCTGAGGACTGCATTGAACAGGATAATCTACGTCAACAAACACCTAACGGGACACTTTGGCGTGAGCCATTCACTTTATAAAGTTGCATGTTTTCCAACTGTCGTTTATACACACGGTTGCGCTCCTTCGCGTGGCCGCAATCGTTGTTTAAAGTACAACCACAGAATAAGAACATACAGAAGAGTCACTCGTGTAGGAACCTTTGATGTTTTTGTCCTCGAGCATGTCGTGCCGCGCATGGTGGCCGCCATTATTCCAGCTAGATGATTAGGGTTTTTGACTTTTTCCAAACCTTTAAAATGATCCGAAGTCATTTCTTAAGCCAAAATATACTTGAATTTATTATTAAGTATTGACGTGATGTAATTTTAATGGTTGGAAACAAGTGAGAAATCTTAATCATCTGGCTGGAATAATGGCCGACATGAGGACACGTTGTACACCTGAGTGACCCTTCTGTATAATCATTATTCTGTGGTACAACGAAGTATTTGTACGATGTTTCATGTAGTCGTGCATGAAGTAGTAAGTTTAGAAATTCAAAAACAACCCATGTTGTAGAGTGAAATCGAGGTACATAAAAATCGCTTTGCCAACGCATGTACTTATAATTTTTGCCCACACATCGTAAGACGTTTAAGAGGGGCATCCAAAGCACAATTTTCTACAACGAAGCTGGGGTTTGAAATTCAGCCGAACATTAAATACATACTGATAGTTTCTGTCTTCCATAAATTTCTGAAGTTCTTCTATGTAGTTTACGGACTTTAAATAATTCATTATGCAAGGCACTTCCTCTATATCGTCTGAAAAGAACGCAAAAGCTATATATATAAATATTTCCATGATTTCGTAATAGCACGATTGAAATGATGCATTTAACGTAAACGACAACTTTTTTTAAATTCTTTATTGCAAACATGTTTCGGCAAACTTATGCCATCTTCAGTGCGGTATAATGAATGAATATTTGAATGTGTCCACACTCCTTCTTCTTTGAAACTAAAAGAAGTACTGTACATCAAAAAACTCAAGCCTTATCTTAACAAACAAATTCAGCATGTCAATATTATCTTTAACTTGTAAATACTTAACACCTCTAATCACTACATAATTGTAAATAACTTCCGCTTCCATCCCTTTTGTCTATACACATGTCTTGTATCAGATTTCTTTATATATTAACTCCATTTAAATATTCATTCATTATACCGCACTGACGATGGCATAAGTTTGCCGAAACATGTCTGCAATAAAAAATTTAAAAAAAGTTGTCGTTTGTGTTAAATGCATCATATATAAATATATTATAAATATATTATAAATATAAAGTTATCATCTTTAAAGTTATTATATGAATATATTATAAATATAAAGTTATTATCTTTAAAATTATTATATAAATATATTATAAATATAAAGTTATTATCTTTGACAATAATGATATGCAGGGAATGGGAAATTCATTAATGTCACTTTGGCGATTATGATGCACATAAATATAATACAGATGATTCACACAACAAAATCAAAAGTTACCGTAATTGGATTGTTGAAATTCTGCAATGACACGGATAATATTGTTCATCTAAACAAACGTGAATTCAGAGAGAATCAAGACTGAAAGAAAATCAACAGAAGCACAAAGATGAACCTTGCTTCAACGTGAAGACAGTGAACCAGGGATTGATTAAGGGGAGGGCTGTGTATGGGGTGCGCACCACCTTTGCCCTGGATAGAATCACATAAAACACCTCCAAACAAGCCGCTGAATTAAAACCCAAATTAGACTGTCTGACTGACATCTTATAAAAAGTAGAGCACACACTACTCATCTACAAAATCATTCTGAATCCATCATAGACATACCTTCTGATTTCTGTCCTTATCCAAACCTCCAGTGGTTGGATGGATTGAATCGAGATAGGTAAGATCGGTAAGATACATTCCTGAGAAAAAAGTCATTAATTTAAGCACGTTGTGGTTGTGTTCGCATGAACAACCGCGAGGGCAGTATCCTGAAAGACCCCAGAAATCTCACCCTATCAATTACTCTTCTTAATCGAGCCCTACACGTCACGAAGATCTCAATGATATCAAATCGCATATTTCTTCAATCAATACATCTTCACATGAAAAGCCCAATCATCTTCATCTCACCAACTGATCTCTATGTTAAGACAACCTCTTTATGAAAAAGCAAGTCATCCCACTCCGCTAATTTGTCTATTTAATTTGTCTTCACATTTGTCTTCGCCGCCCTACTGATACCTTCATTTAAGTATCATTTAAGTAATAACTGTACTTAAAGATCCCCTTAGTCCACCCTCAGTGACGTAGAAGAGTTGATAATGGGAGGGTACATATTCATACATGCATTTCTTCTGCATTGAGTACATACGAAATCCATTATTTTCTACAGATTAAGACAAGCATATATGAATTCGTGTCCCCCCCCCCTTCCCAAAAAGTTAAAGAGTTCAATTTAGCCTGCATGTTTATGAAACGCCCACTCTACTTCAAAAGTAAACGTACCTAGGTAAGGTATACAAGGTAATTTTGCTTCATCCAAGAGATTACGCAACTTCGACCTTTAAAAAAAGAAATTCGGTTTCAATGAGTAGAAAAATGTCCTCGAACGCTCGCTTAAGATCGACTGTTAACGTATTATTTTAGAATAAAAAATTCTAATTTGATTCTACGTAAATGTAAGGATTGGCAAAATCATACTTGTTTTCCGTAATGGAAAAAATACTATCAAGCTTTTCGAAAGTGAGTTTGTCTCGTCTTTGCAACATCTAAAATGAAGAAGTTCAAACTACGCGTGAAAAATAAACTTGAAGACACATAATTGCGAAAATCCCACTGTACAGCGCATGTGTGTTGCTAAAACCCAGCAATGGCTAGGACTGTTCAATAAATATTAAAAGCAGTGTAACCATATACGCATACTTATTTACCAAACTCGGTAGGATGAGCTTAAACACCCCCCTGTTCTGAACTTTGCACATGTATAAAACAGGTGGGAGAGTCTAAACTCATCACACCAAATATAGTAAAAATAATTGCATATTTTGTCACACTGATTCAAAAGTTGATAGTTAATATAAAATGAGTTCGTAGCACTCGTCCTTGATTCAAATGCAAGGGACAAACAGTGCAGTTGAACTATTTAGTGCAAAGATTGAGTTAAAATTATCAGCACAAACCATCCAAGTTTGTTCTAATCTGTAGACTGAAGCACTTTGAAGTCCAGAGAGTATCGCTTTTGACGAATGGAAGTTTTGCAAATCTAACAGTTTCTAAAAAAATGAGGAAAGAAGTTACATGCAGATATGTCCAATGTCAAAAAAGGTGCAAAAGAGAAACTATACGTGTGACCGACGATTTAGGTGTAAACATGTCAACGCTCGGTTCTTGCACTGCAGTTTACACTTCCAAAACAATTAACGTTATCGCAATAAAGCAACTAATCAATTACACTTGTTTACATTTTTTGGTAAGCCAATTAGATCACCCTTGAGTGACATATTGAGAGAAAACGATAATGGAAGCGATGACATTGTTCAAAGTATGCTCAACAAATCATTAATCATAGGTTAATCACATGGCTGTCCGACAAATCAACGATAGTTATGGGAAGAGGCGTAGCCAACCCTTAACTTTACGTTTGCTATGTAAACTTCAGGAGCGGTTGCACGAAGCCTGGATAGCGTTATCCACTGTATATCAAATTTTTCTGAACGTTCATAAAATCTCTTGTAGGAGAAAAATATACGATTTGAACTGTGCAATCACCGAAAGAAAATATTGTTTCGTAGATTACAAAATTTCTTTGTCATAAGAAAAAACTAACACCTTTTTTACAAGTTTGAAAATTTTCGCTAGCCAATGGATAACGCTATCCAGGCTTCGTGCAACCGGCCCCAGGGCATTATCATTATTAATTTCTTCAGGGGGGGATTAATGCTCATTTGAAGGAAGGGTGCGGATTTACCAAGGGGGATACATCTTTATTATAGCTAAAGTTGCAGGTTGCATGGACCTCAGCCGTTGCGGATTTTTCGACTTGGAGATGAGTGAACCGTGCGTAATGAAAATGTTATTACCTTTTTAAAAAAGTTTTACATGTTTCTTGTTAAGGAATGCGGATTTAGTAATTAATTTCAATTTTAACGTTTCAATGAAAACGTGCATGGTAATACTCAATTGCAAATGGTGGTAGTGTAAAATATGTAATTGCCTTTGAAATGAAAAGTCCTACTTTTACTTAGTCTTACTGTACAATTTCATAGCCTCTAATACTGTTATACTAAGCGTCTAATATACGTAATACTATTTTAGAATTTTCTTTGGGGTGCACACTCCCCTGCACCCCTAGAGAATTTTCTTGGGGATGCCCACTTCCCTGCAGCCGTAGAAAATTTTCTTGGGAGTGCGCACTCCCCTGCACAATTAGAAAATCCGCCCCTGCATTTCTTTAAAAATCTATTGTTTTTCCCGTTGGAGAGCGCAGAAAAACTTACGTGGCAGGACCAAATTTGCAGGCTGAGAAAACCAATGGTTCTCAAAATATAAAAGACATTCGATTTTCTTTGTGAATACCTTTGCTACTCTTATAAACAGAGAAAGCACTTCCGCCCGAGTTTTCGTAAATGATGCGTTGAGGATCTCCTTAACAGCCCAAAAGCTCACCTATAAAATACGTCATACAAAGTTAAGGTTGGTGACTTAGGTACATCACCACAATTTTGCAAGTCAGCTGTAATGAAACATCCCTTCCCTCCCCACCTCAATACATCGAAATGTGTAGTCTGATGGAACAAATTACACCAATTGGATGAGTTGATCTTTGTGTAAAAATTCGAAAATCGACCGCGTAAAGAAAGGCAATTTTGTACTGACAAATACAGCAAAGAAAATATAAAACATACACAACGAAGTTAAGAAATATGCAGAAAAAATCTAGTATCGGCTTCCGTTGCTTGTGTTATAATCGCGTAGGAAAGAAAAAATTCAACTAGACCACCGACCCTGTGGTGGACTCAAAGGTTTGACATTTTTCAAAAACTCAAAATAAAATAATATCCACATCTGAATGAGAACGACGTGAGATGTTTTAAATCTCAATATGGTATAAAACGTTTATCAACTGTAACAATCATTGTTTTCCCAGTACCCTTGATACGTGTATTTCATTACATCTGCATGTAGCTCGGAAAATACGTACGTGATTAAATCTTTTGGTCATCTCCACAACATTTGGAGACAGCTCGCGTTTATTTTTCTTATTCCAACCGCACGACGAGAGTTCCTAAGGGAAGGGAAATAAAGCGTGTTTTCCACATGACTGTGAATTTAAACTGGAATGCTACATAACTTGATTGAGGCTGTATGCTATTTCAAATCCTGCAAGCATATAATTCAATTGAAATTGTTTTTGTGGGAAAGCTTTCAGCGGCATGTTGTGCTACTACACTTTTGACTCTGAAGATAATTAACGCTAAGTACGTCGAAACGTCAGTCATTATACGAATACCAACAGTCCCCATAAGGACTGCACATCAAATTAATTAGTTCTCACACTGCCATGTAAACAATGAGAGTGCACGGAGTAAAGATCGAATAATTAGATTTGTTCAAGAGCGGCATTAGTAAATTTTCATTGTCGACGTGAAAAAGAAGAAAAATTAGTAGTTTCCATACGGACATCGGCAAGTTATATCGCCATTTCACGATCTTAATGGTTTCAAATAAAAGTTTTCAACATGGAAAAGAAACAAGGCTTCTTCGGATATTTTACCACACACAGAAGAACAATGATTGGGAAGAAATTCTGACATAAAGGAAAAAACAAACTCCAAAAGACATCATCTTGTAAACTCAAGATTCGAGATATAAAAGCAAGAGACAAGATTTAAAGAAACACTTCGACTTTATTTCAAAGTCATTATCAAGCTAAGAGAAATTCAGACATACCTCGGGTTTTATGGCTTTAAAAACAGGAATATCCATCAACGTTATTTGTCTCTAAAAACACAGAAAATACACAATCATCTTCAAAGATAGCAAATTGTGTTGCTGTTTATAGCAACCCAAACTGACATCTTCCAATTCTGTTTTGAGTAGCTACAACTACAAATTTAGCATCCTTTCTTAACAAGAACATTTCTAACTGGTATGAATAAGCGCTGGGTGTTAAATAGAACATTTCGAACTGGTATGAATAAGCGCTGTGTGTTAAATAGACGAGATACAAATCATTAACTAACAACAAGCAGTTGGACAAATAAAGGCTTACCGTAAACCTAAGGTGCTGGAATACTATCGTAAAAACAAATCCCAGCTCTGTTTACGTACACAAATGGAGTGGAAACTCTTGTTGTAAAAAAGGAGTTTTTAAAAGGGTTTGATAGAAAGTATTATAAAGGCATGGGATATTAGGTGGCTGTGACAGAGACTCTGTTTTTTCTAATTTTTCCATTTTGACGAGAAAAGCATCTGGCGGCAAAATGTAAACAGTGGAATTCCACCGGAACCCCCGTGTGCAGTGTCGGGACCCCCGCATACGATATCGAAAACGGTATAAACAGAAAGGGAAAATATTTTTGTGACGCAGAAAAATAGATGACAAACAATCTTATAAAATCATCATCATCAAACTTCAGAGACTCGAGTTTAAAAACGAGAAAAAACTAGAGACACAAATTTCAAAGCAATATTTCTACTGAATCTTGTTTTATATACAGCTTGAATCTTGAGTCTACAAAGGGGATGCTGCTCAAAGTATATTTCTTGAAATCGTCAGTCGGTAAAGGATTTAAAATTGTACATTAGTTTCTACAATATGCGGGGTGTATAAAAAACTGCACCCTACAATTTAGATAGCAATCGACGCCAATTACCATGGCAATGTCTGCGCATATTGAAATTCCAAGCATAAATTTCTTTCATTGACGTTTACGCCTCCTTAGGGGGTCAAATACTGCTGAATCATGCAAATTCTAAACGTCGGATGATTTTAAACGACCGTCTGCCAGCTGACTTCGTGAAAGTGACGACTCGTTAGAAAAAATGTGTGCGATTATAGGAATTTGCGAAATTCCTTCGGGAATACTCATAGATTTCTGCAAGGATCTGATCGTAACCACTGACCTCAATAAATGTAGAAATTTCGAGATGGCGAGTTTGATTTAATCATGTAGCTACAATGCTTCATTCCCATGAGCCTCTAAGCAGCTTAAAAACTTTGCCGAAGATTATTGCAATAGGATTTTTTACACATTATAACTATATTGTTTTAGGATTTTGCAATAAACTTAATGGATTGCAATGGCTTTTACCGAAGCGTACACTCCTTGACAAAATTTATGTTCACATTTGCTCACGAATGCCCCCAAGCAAAGCTGGCTTTTACTGAAATGTACACTCCTTGACAAGATATATGTTCACAATTGCTCACGAATGTCACGAAGAAAAGCTCGCCTTTATAATTGCTCCGACAATGAAAATATTTTAGTGATCATACATTCACCGAAAAAACAATGATTGATACTTTTAGTTTTCTAAAGAAATGAATAATAATATTCATGAAAAATTTGCACGGTGAGAAAAAAATTGGGCTGGTTTTGAAATTTGCCTCGTCACTTTGTTGAAAACTAGAAATTTGTTAAAATTTATAGTTATACAAACGAAGTGCCGTTAGGTTTGGGGCGAAATACAACACCCCATGTAATAGAGCGAGATATTTTAAATATGAAAATACAAAGCGAAAACGTCACAACACACAACGATACAAAGCATTATCAAATCAATCTAATGCATGCTGATGGGAAAAAAACCTGTCTTCTACGAGCACAGTCGTAGCCAATTTAAAATGATCTACAAGACAATTGTGCACAGAATATAACGTTTTACGTAATGAGAATTGGCGCTGGGTATTAAGGAAGGTTTGAGTTTTTGAAATGGTAAGATTGTTCATAGACCATTAATGATTTAAGATTGACAATAATTAACGATGTTATTTAATTCTCAATAACGAAATTTCAGATTGCAAATAATCATTATGAATGACGTCGAGCCAAGCATGTGAAATTATCAGCCTTTTACAAACATCAAAAGCTCCACAGGGGGGGTGAGGCATAATTGAGTACAATTTTCAAAGCTTTGAAATCCTTTTCACACAAAAGCGTGAATTCTAAATTCGTAGCTGATTCACTTCGCCTTTAATATTCCTGTGCAACGCTTCCTAATCAAGTTTTTCAACAGCTTTTCATACCACGACAATGTTCACATGCAGAAATTCAATATCCCAATCATTAATGATTTATCCACTCAGAATTTTTTCCCGCCGACTCGATGAGCAACAGTGCCGAACGAAAATATAAATGAAACACGCTCTTCGGTTATTAATTTCTCGTTTTGTATCAAAATACATTGTTAAAAATTTACGTTAAAAAACGCAATTTGGTTTTAAATTATAGCTTTTAGCCAACGTAATTGCAGATACAAAAAGCTTAGAAGCTGACTGCATGAGCAGAGTTGTGCCGCCTCTTTTGTTCTAAGGCATGAGATCAAAGTCATCAAACACTTCAACACATTATACTTTGATAATAACCAGTTTTTCAACTCGAATACCGGAGATAACTCGCTTCACATAATCTACCTTTGAATTCTACATGATCGTGACTATGAGGAAAATGTCGACGATGGGCTAAGATTCTATTTCTATGACTTCACCAACCCTATCACTGACTCGTTTAAGATCAAACGGAAAACAGAACGTCGCGTTAAAGTTGCATGTGAAGTGTAATGCGAATCAACAGCTTTGCTATTTTCACCATTTTTTGGCTTATGTTTATGGATTATAAATATCTGTTTTAGACGATTTCGGCTCGTGTCGTCAACAGTTGATCGCATGCCGAGAAGCATGGACATCGATAACACAAACGTAGACATTTCCTACGTAAATGCGGGGGCCATTTGAAGGGATTTTTTTTCGAAATTTGGGATGTTTTACAAAAGAATTCTTTTGACTGTTCGACATGTTTCAAATATATGTTCTTTTCGACGTAACATTCCTAGCGCAGTTGCAAATCAATATGAATAGAAAACTTATGGACTGAACTTTAAATGAAAATATCATGTCAGTGAGCAAAGAAACTCCGTCATCTTTAGTCAGTGATGAGTGAGTCGAGCCTTCAAAAATCATATTCAACACGTCACACAAGTCTTGTAAAGATTTCTTCAAAATGGCAAATTCAATGTTGTAGTTATTTGACAGATGTGGTTTAACCATAGAATTTCAACATAAACGAAAGTAGTTTCCTTTGCAGAAATGCAACACTAATACCAAACAAATCCGTAATAGTATTACTCACAGCAAAATCCTCTGGGTCAACTTTGAGAATGTCGAAGACAACTTCATCAAAGCTTCTATCATATATAGATGAATAGGCGGGCGCATCTTTCTCCTAAAAAATGATCAAAATACATTGTTAGGTAATCAAACATGACTTTATACTGACAATGAATGCAAAAAGTAAATAATAAATGTATGTAGTGAAGACCTTTAATTCAAAATAAATATATCGATATTTTAAAGAAAAAATCAGGAAAGGTCACCACACAAAAAAGTTTGCAAAACATAAAACAAGCAAATTTCTCATAACATCATAAAATCTGTTTTAATTCATGGAATTTCTACCATTTCTATTGCAGCATACTTGACTTCAATAAATACCAAGCAAATTGAAATCTGTACACAATAAATTCAAATGAACATATTTTCTTGAACTAAGTCAGGAGATCATACACATGTAGTCCTGCATAAATGCATCCATACATAAAATTTCAAACCATAATCTCTGATACAAATTGAAGCATACAATCACAAAGATTAAACGATAAATACACAACATGCAAAATCAGATTGATAAATACTTAATCACAAGTCTTTGACAGACACAACAATAGATTAGAGTCACATGTTTCTCAAGCATATTGTGCAACACTTCTGATACTGGGCAGGTATAAAAAGTCCTTTTAAAATTCCCACATTAAGATTTATATAACACAATAAATATATCTATGTGTACCACTATTTATAGATCTATAAACATGTCGGCTGTATAAAGTATAGTGATTTGGTAAGGAAATTCTTTTGCAAAATAAAAATGCCTCATCTCTGAGATTTGCTCATAAAGATGGCTTAGTTTAATGTAGGACAATGCAAAAATTTATTTCAGCTAAAAAAACTGTATTTTTAACAACAGGTTCATTTCTTGTTTTCCTATTCAACTTATTTTCATTTATTTGATCACCAGATATTGCAACATCAATTCTACATAGCAACCATCACTGAGATTTTTGGCTCTGTTTTGAGCAGCGAATAAATTCCTACCTTTTCAATCACAATAAGAACCTACTTGATTCAAAATCGAAAGCCCTGTTTGCCAAAACAAATTCAATTTAAAGAATAGAATTTATATAAAAATTCCTTTTTATATTTTGAATATCATAAAATAATCTCATACCTCGATAAACAAGCCACATTCGTTGTGTCGCGTTTCTTCATCATCCTCATAAACACCGATTCCGTTTTCGTTGATTCTCAAGCGAGGGCATTCATACTGCTTGTACTTTCCACTGAGCGTCATCATAAATGATCGCCTTCTCAAAGCACGAAAACCTCCACACATTTAGCTGAAGTCATGAACACAATACAGTCGGTCATATTAACACAACACAGTCAATCTTAAGAAACTATTTTCTCCGTTTTCTATAAGACAAAACATCGCGCACGTACTACAAATTTTTGCCTTCAAAGCCAGCTCACATCGTAATACCAAACTGAAGTTGAACGCATTGTGAGCTTTTGTGTAGAAAGCATCTTATTTCTCGAGAGGTCTCAAATAGCCGTCGGCTCAGTCGTTCAGGAAGCTCCCTTGAGCTAAAGTTTAATTCTGCATGTCTCTCGAGCAATCTTTACAAATGCAAACGACTTGAGAAAACAAATAATCTTTGTTGAAGTAATTATTGCAAAAATTTCGTACTCAGTCACCATACAAATAAGCAATTAATCCAGATATTTCTACCGTTTGTCATAAAGTCTTTTGTTTGAGCTAAATGCTTCGATCAAAGAAATATTCAATTGTTTCAACTCTTGAGTTTCGGCGAAAAAAATTATTTTCTCCTACTGAGATGGGATGTACGAAAATGAAAGACATAAGAAACTCGGAAAGACTCGAGTGATTTTGCACACACAGTAAACAAGGTTTTAACTTACATTTGTCACGAGATTTCCATTGCTCTTGGATATTTGAAAATGATTCATTGACTCCCATACTTTAATACATTCACGTAATTATTACAGAACATTCACGACTTGTACGAATATAGGGAAAAAACTTATCACACCAGCATCAATATCCCCGACCTTAATTTGGTATGACCGTGAAATAATCATTCAAAAGATCCATAGCAAGAAAGATAGACAATTCTGTGGACTTCATCACCACTCTCTGCTGATCTGTTAATCTACATATGTTAACATCTGTTTGGTTGCGTGGCGACAAATTACGGCAACCTACGTACAATTACGGCAATTACCGAGAGTGTTTTCGGTCACAATACTTTATGTAGGCATTGCCCACAAAATCATGATAAGTTGATAACAAAAATTTCATATTTTCAACAATTAATTTCACATATTACAGACATTGGAACTGTCTGCAATCTTATCCAATAATAATTTTCTACATTAACTGCCAGAGAAAAGCTTAACAGAAAAGTTAAAATACATATCATACAAAGTATATGGTCGCCAAACAAAGCACAACTTCATCATGAACAGCACAAGTATCTTAAGTACAAATGCATATGTTTTTATTTCTGACCACATGAGAGCTTATCAAGGAATAGATAATAGTTTCTACTTTTTCATCAGCATAATTTTCTCAACAACTCTTCACTCTCCTTGTTCACAATGACCATGGTATCTGTAATTCGACTAATAAGAGCAGTCACAACATCAATGCTAAAATCTTTATCCTGAACCCATGGGCTGTCCTCTTTAAGGTACTTTTCAACAAGTGCTTCTCGTGCTAAGTCATATTCCCTTATCGCATAACTTTGTGGTAAGGTTATGGTGAAGATAATTGCAGCCTCGTGAAAAATTGGATTTTCATGATCGCAATAGGCATAAAACAATGTGGTTGCACCATACGGTACATAATCAAGATTATGAATGACAGCAGCCGAAGGAAACTTTCCTTTGTTGAAAATCTTTCGCAGATTATTGTCAATGGCCAATTTCGCTTGGTCAGATAAGATATCAGTATAGTCCATACCATTGATATCTACAGAGGATGCACTAACTGATGTTAAAATCTTCGAAATGCGATTTGCCAAACATTCAGCCACAGAACGATCTTCTTCTTTTGATGCAATCAACAAGACAAAAGGTTGCGGGGCAGTTTGGTGATCTATGAAGGACAACATCCTACTTTCAATTTTCCTAAAGGTAGAAGATGTTTGGTTTGAAAAATTCTCTGATAGCGACTTTATGTTTGACTTGATGCTTGAAATATCATCTGATCCTGCAAACATATAAGGAAGTAATATCACAGATATTACAGCCATCAAGAGAAGCATTACAGTTCCTTTGATTAAAAGTTGTTTCTCAGGAGAAGATGTCTCTAGTTTTCTTTTGTTAACAACATTTTCACGATCCTTAGTTGCATTCTTTTGTCTTGAACGTAAATTGTAACTGTGTGGTATCCGCATGGAATCATCATCATGCCAATGACTTTTTGTAGTGACGCTGTTTCCTTGATTCACATGTGCCTCAGTTTCCTCAAAAAATTCGTTTCTTTTACCATCTTCATTGTCCGCAGTTTCTTCATTGTATTCTGTTCCATTTTCGTTTTCATCATCCCCAATTTCTTCATTGTATTCTGTTCCATTTTTGTCTTCATCATCCCCAATTTCTTCATTGTATTCTGTTCCATTTTCATCTTCATCATCCCCAATTTTTTCAGGTGATAGGATTACACTATCCTCTTCATCAGAGGATAGCACTTTTTCGACATTCAATTTTTCAGTTTCTTCGTCAAGTTCCTTTTGTTTTGACTGCTTCTTTTCTGCTTTCTTGTTTCCTTTACGGCCCATATTAATCTTCTAGAAATTTTTGAACAAGTGCTCTGTCTGTACAGCCTTTTTAGTCTATCAAATGTAAACACGCATGTCAATATAATGGATTACCAGAAAATGCGGAAGTAATAATACAGTTTTAATTATAATTAAATTTCATCCGTGGTAATGATTTTAACGCTTGTCAATGAATACGTTGATTAACTTTAATCTGCAACATAGTGTTTTTTCCACAATGAAGATGGTACAAACATGTTTTTTCATGTCATGTTTCCTATCTTTTTGCTTTTCTAGTTTCGTTCCTGTAACTGTGTCGGTTGGGTTAGTATCCATTGCTGGCTACTTTGTCTGGGAGCCGTTGTATTGTATTTTTAAAGAGTGCTGTAAAGATAAATGGATACCTGTTAATATTTCACGTTTAAACATGCACTTGAATACGCAAGTTTTTGGCCAACACATAGCAGTGGAAGTGGTTTACAAGGCCGTCAAAGGTCACGTCGAAAATCCAAATCCTTCTAAGGCTTTGGTGCTTTCCTTTCATGGCTGGACTGGTTGTGGTAAGAATCACATGAGCAACATTATTGCAGACAGCCTTTACACGCTTGGAGGAAGTAGTAATTATGTGCACAAAATCATAACAACTACAGATTTTCCTCATGCTGAAAAGTTGTCACATTACAAAGACATTTTAATCAGCAAAATTGTGAGAAGTGTCAAGGATTGTCCAAAAACCATGTTCATCTTTGACGAGGTGGATAAAGTTCCAAAGGGACTACTGAATGTTGTAAAACCATTTCTCGACCATCATGAAACAGTTAAAGATGTTGACTACCGTCAGTGTATATTTATTTTTCTTAGCAACACAGGTGCAAGAGTGATTAACAATTTTGTCATAAGTCACTGGCAGAAAGGTAAGAAACGGGAAGACCTTACAATGAAAGACTTGGAAATGATTCTCAACAACGAAGTTTACAACGTTGATAACGGTCTTTGGCATAGTGAGTTAATTTCACATAACCTCATAGATTTTTTTGTCCCCTTTTTGCCATTGGAAAGGCACCATATCAAGGAATGCATTAAGGTGGATCTATTGAAAAAGGATAAGAATCCGACTGTTGCTGTTGTAAACAAAATTGCTGATCAAATGCAATATGAAAAACCAGATATGGTTTTCTCATCCACTGGATGTAAACGAGTGTCTACTCGAGTGGACTATGTGATCAATGAGGGATAAAATGGGCAGTGGTGGATTTTATCATGCTAAATACTTTTGTTATCCTAAATTTCAATTTTGGCAATTTTATACCCAGCGCATGAAAACGCATGGGATGATATTTTCATAGAAATTATTTGTATTAGTTTTTAAAAAGATCTTTGACATGTTGTAGGTGACTAGACTACACAAATACATGATAAACTTTTTGATAAAGTAGGTAAATAGTTTTGTAGAAAGATAAACTACTGCAAAGTAGTGGTTTAAATTATAAATTAATTTTCCTTCGCATTACTTATTAATGCGCAAGACATCTTTGCGCGGATTTTCTTAGGCATGTTTTATCGTGAGACCAATCTATGAACTCCATTGTCAGTTTGAGTGATTGAACTGAGCAAGTAAATGAGGAGTGGAGGCTTTGATCATTGCTGTGATCACTGTCACCAAGCTGTGATGTGTAATCTCTCGGCGTTATAGAAGCCCTTCATTCGGTTGTACGATCAACCCAAGTATTATTATGAAAGTGACACGGGTTTGCGTTTTGTTGTGTTGTCATTTTGTCATTTGTACGGCAGAGTGGTTTACAGCAGCTGGAATTGCATTGGCAGGTATCTTCGTTGCAAAACCGTTGTACTGTAGACTTAAAGAGTGCTGTAAAGAAAGATGGATCCCTCGTAATATTACACGCTTAGATGTGCAATTGAACGAACAAGTATTTGGCCAACACATCGCTGTGGAAGTGGTTTACAAAGCTATTAAAGGTCACGTGCTAGATCCAAATCCTTCTAAGGCTTTGGTGCTTTCCCTTCATGGATGGACAGGATGTGGTAAGAACCACATCAGCACTATTATAGCAGACAGCCTTTACAAGCTTGGAGGAAATAGTAAATATGTGCATAAAATAATTCCAACCAAAGATTTTCCCAATGCTAACAAGTTGTCATATTACAAAGACATATTACTGAAGAAAATCATTGAGAGCGTCAAGAAATGTTCTAAAACAATGTTCATCTTTGACGAGGTTGACAAGGCTCCCCAGGGACTGCTGAATATATTAAAACCATTTCTTGACCATCATCAAAAGATTGATGATGTTGACTATCGAAAGTGCATATTTATTTTTCTTAGCAACACAGGTGGAAACCATATCAACAATTTCGTTATTAACCATTGGAAACAGGGAAAGAAACGTGAGAATCTTGATGTTAAAGACATGGAAAGCATTCTCAACAAGGCTGTGTATAATATTGATGGTGGTCTATGGCATAGTGACTTAATCTCACATAATGTTATTGATTTTTTTGTTCCTATTTTGCCTTTGGAGCGACGGCATGTCAAAGAATGCATTAAAGTAGATCTCTTGCGAAAGAATAGGAATCCATCAGAGGATATTGTGAATAAAATTGCCGATCGTTTGCAGTATGGTTCAGATATGATGTTCTCTACAACAGGATGCAAACGAGTGTCTACTCGTGTTGATGAGATCCTGTATGACCGTAAACAGTTAGCATTATGAAGTAAAAACCTTTTCATAACACATTCATAGAGTAATTAAATTACTTCTATTTTAATGCAAAGCTTCTCTCATGAAACCTCTTTAAGAAAGATGTTTGGCCACTAAGAGCTTACCAGCCATTTGCATGGTCATTTCACTTAGAAAAACAACTTACAACAACAAACAATGAGAATAAAGTAAAGCAATAACGCAATGAAACTCAATGAACAATGAAAATAAATTCTAAACTGAAACATTTTGAGGTGAGTGGATAGTTTAATGTTTAGTCTGGTCTTAATACACACAAACTGTGTTTTAAAATAATTTTTTGCTGTTAATCATATTCATAATTTTATGTAAGTGTATTGTGAAAGCATTTGAATTTTGAATGTGCTTACGAATACATAACATTTGCTGCATCTAAATTTGGAAATACAGAAATAGACGATGCTTCCATTTAGTGGAAGTGTAAAGTTCAATTTGATATACTAGCTCTAAGCTATGTCTGTGCACTTGCTATATTTTGTATTGAGAATGGAAAATTTATATGACTGTATGTAAATATATTGCTACTCTTAGTAATATATTTATTTTTATGTAGCAATGACTCATTGATAATGTGTGTATATCTTTATGAATTGCATAAATTGTGATTAAGAAAAAGAATGCTTCATTCAGTTTTCTTGAAAAGGTAACACATGACTACCACCATATATCGAAAAGAGGAAGTTCCAAACACTTTTAGGAACTTAAAAATAAACAAAATTCATTAGGTTTATGCCTTGTTAAGCTTAAGATTGCTGTAAAAAACAAGTGTGGACAAAAATCAGCAAGTTGAAGACAAAATTAATCAAATACCTTGTTTTCTTTGTTGCCCAGTTTTGTGATTATAAATGGGTCCAGGTGGATCTGTAAATACAAAGCAGAGATAAGAGAAGTTGTGTTGAAACAGTGAGCTTTTAATAGCTCAAAGCTTCAATTCTGATGATATAGATTCACAGTACTTATCTACATACCTTTACAATTGCCATCAACAAAACTCTTCCATTCTTTGAACCATTTCATACTGATGTAACATTGCGGCGAAGAGCTTTTGCTATCATCTAACTTTTCTTTCCATGTTTTGAGTTCATACCTTCGACGTTGCTCCAATTCTTTCAGCTCATTCTATAAGAGCCTCGCATACATAAGTCATCTATTACATTGTGCCAAGAAAAAATATAATCGTCATGAATATAATTTTAATAAGAATTGAAAGTTTTATTGATTTTCTGTGACTATATCTCTTTGTTTCTTAAAATTGTTCTAAGGATAGATAAACCAAAAAGCTTTAAACAAACTTCACGTTTTCATCAATCACTGAAATACTTATTTTGATATCAACATGATTACCTCGCAAACAGCACATACGTCCAAATTCGTAATTTCTGGACCTCCTCCAAATTTTTTTAATAAATAAAGCCAACATGCTGATTGTAGAGGTTTCAACAGGTCTTTTAAATGTAACTTGTTGGGTTCGATCTCTACGACGGTGAAATTTACGAAAATAAATGGAATGGAGTTGTAAATAAAATAACGGATAATGTGATAAGAGGAGAACTACAGTTGTATTCTGCGAGTAAGTAAATTATAGAAGGAGGGGGTGCATGGGGGATAAAGTAATAAGAGAAGTAGTGCAGTCGTACAATGTACAGTGTAAGTAAATTAGAGGAGAGGGATACATGGGGGTAACGTGATAAGAGGAGAACTACAGTTGTACTCTGCGAGTAAGTAAATTATAGAAGGAGGGGGTGCATGGGGGATAAAGTAATAAGAGAAGTAGTGCAGTCGTACAATGTACAGTGTAAGTAAATTAGAGGAGAGGGATACATGGGGGTTAACGTGAAAAGAGGAGACGTACAGTTGTACACCGTGAATCAGTTGCAGTGACGTAGCCAGCCCACAAGTTTGGTCCTGCTACGTAAATTTTTCTGTGTTCACTCACTGTAAAAACACTAGATTTCTAAAGAAATGATTAATGATAATGATCTGAAATTTACAATGCACGACCAAATTTGCAGACTGGATACGCCACTGGTTAGTTGATAAATAACGAAAGTGGGAAGTGATAGTAGAAGAAAACCAGGAACAATTCTTAATAATACGATGTAACCATACATAAAAACATACTTCCATGTTTACATAAAAAACTGCCGTTCGCAATTGGACCTAAGAAAAAGAGCAAAGATTCTTAATTCACAGGGAAAAAACGAAGACATGCAATACCAAATAACATTCTGCACATGAGTAGCAAAGAATTTATCCAATACTATATTGAGTTGACTGCATGCAAATAAATAAAAGTTTACAAATACTACACCAAATGTACATAATGATGAACATAGTAATGTACCAAGTGGAACATATGTAAATTATAAAGGTAAACAATACTAAACTTCGTGTAACAGATATACATAATGAATGAATATAATGTACCAAGTTGAACATATGTAAATCAATAAAGGCACACAATACTATACCAGGTTCGGCACATGTATAAAACATCGTTAACCATTTCTTTGATACGTAATGCGTCGTTGGTTTTCCCTGAGAAAAAGGGCACATGTTAATTTTAACATTTTAACATGAAAAAACTTGTGAAATAAAAACATGCAAACGAAATGATTTCGATATTTTTCAGCAAAAGCAAGGATACAGAAGAACCATTGTAGGTAGTATTGTGCATTGAGAAACGGGGGTTTACGATTATATAAGTTTTACTTCTGCTTTTTATTCCACCAAAGTTGTCTCTTTTTATCAATAGTTCGATCTTTGGTTTTTATACCTCGTTAGATTTTGTTAGTCTGAAAAACTTTTGTCGATACTTGATGATATTTTCACCTCGTTTTCTGAAAAAGGAAAGAATCACTCCATTACAGTAATATACGCACATCCTTACCAGTGAGGTAGTTTAAGGATACATGATAGGAGGACAGGGGATACACGATAGGAGGACAGGGGATACATGATAGGAGGACATGTGGTCCTTTTGGAGGGAGGACCTGTATTACAACAATTATTATTATATTGGCGTCCAAATTACTAAATTACATTGAGGTCGTTTTTCATTAAAGTTTATTCATATTTTGTTAAGCAGCTGTAAAATGTTTAAAATCATGACGTCATAAGGTCTCGGAAAAAAATTATGTCCCAGTTTCTCTCAGATAAACTGGTTTATATTTAAACAATTTATGTTTGACGTTGGCAGCTGTAAATGTTTAAAATCATGACGTCATAAGTCTCGGAAGAAATTTATGTTCCAGTTTCTCTCAGCAACACTGGTTTATATTTAAACAACTTATGTTTGACGTTGGCAGCTGTAAATGTTTAAAATCGTGACGTCATAAGGTCTCGGAAGAAAATTATGTCCCAATTTCTCTCAGCAACACTGGTTTATATTTAAACAACTTATGTTTGACGTTGGCAGCTGTAGATGTTTAAAATCGTGACGTCATAAGGTCTCGGAAGAAAATTATGTCCCAATTTCTCTCAGCAACACTGGTTTATATTTAAACAACTTATGTTTGACGTTGGCAGCTGTAAATGTTTAAAATCGTGACGTCATAAGGTCTCGGAAGAAAATTATGTCCCAGTTTCTCTCAGCAACACTGGTTTATATTTAAACAACTTATGACTGGCATTTCATGCATTTGTTCCACGTAATGCACTAGAGTTGTTATGTTGACCGCTGAACCCAACCATAACCCCTTACACTAAATCCTTATACTAAATCCCTTATCCCCTAATCCCAAACCTCTAACCAAAATCCAATTAACAACTAGAGCCCACACACCTATTCGCCGTGGATCACTCGTTCTAGTTACATGTCATAAGTGAACAAGTTGCTTTGCAAAATACTCCGAAACTTATTCTAATAACATTTACATATGATCAGCTCCGAATCACATTCAGTCAACACAAAACTACCTGTAAAAAAGGACGTAAGCTTCGCAGCTTTGTACATAACTTTCGGAAACTGTAAGGAAATGAGAAAAGCGAGTTCGTCTGAGGTGCTGTACAAATATATAGACAGTCCATAAACTTCAAATTAATTTACCTTCAGAAACCTTAGAATCGTTGAATTCGTACCATTTACCCGTGATGAAATTCTTACAGCAGGCAACGTAATGGCCGCCTACGATGATAAAATAGCAATCCTTTGGTACTGCACTTAATCACAAACAACCAAGTAAGCTTTATCTGTCTTTTGTCGATTAACAAAACTCAATTTTCCAAACATCATATTGAGCATGAGTATATGAAAAATTAAGATAACGAGCTACAACACTTGAAAAGAAATTATCCCAAAGGAGACAATGGAGCTTCAACATTAAACTCAATATCACTGAATACTGACTAAAGCACTAAACATGCAAAGTTTTACTTCAGATAAAGATACAAGACTGGAGTACATAACGACTCAAGTTTCAACTTCAGATTATTCCTGATGAAGACACTAGACTGGAGTACATAAAGACTCAAGTTTCAACATCAGACCACTCCTGACGAGAACATAAAATATCTTTACCTCCAACACTTCCATAATGTGAAATAACAGCAACGAGATCGTACTTTGAACACTCTCCCGCGAAATCTACAAGACATAAAGTAAAAGACTGCTGCAACCGATCAACAATGTCTACTTAGTGGAGTTGAACTGGCTATGGTTGTTAAGAGTGGTGCAATCAACAGTGTCTACTTAGTGGAGCTGAACTGGGTATGGTTGTTAAGAGTGGTGCAATCAACAGTGTCTACTTAGTGGAGTTGAACTGGGCATGGTTGTTAAGAGTGGTGCAATCAGCAGTGTCTACTTAGTGGAGTTGAACTGGGTATGGTTGTTAAGAGTGGTGCAATTAACAGTGTCTACTTAGTGGAGTTGAACTGGGTATGGTTGTTAAGAGTGGTACAATCAACAGTGTCTACTTAGCGGAGTTGAACTGGGCATCGTTGTTGAGAGTGGTGCAATCAACAGTACCTACTTGGTGGAGTTGAACTGGGCATGGTTGTTAAAGAGTGGTGTAATCAACAGTGTCTACTTAGTGGAGTTGAACTGGCTATGGTTGTTAAGAGTGGTGCAATCAACAGTGTCTACTTAGTGGAGTTGAACTGGGCATGGTTGTTAAGAGTGGTGCAATCAACAGTACCTACTTGGGGGAGTTGAACTGGGTATGGTTGTTAAGAGTGGTGCAATCAACAGTGTCTACTTAGTGGAGTTGAACTGGGTATGGTTGTTAAGAGTGGTGCAATCAACAGTGTCTACTTAGTGGAGTTGAACTGGGTATGGTTGTTAAGAGTGGTGGAATCAACAGTGTCTACTTAGTGGAGCTGAACTGGGTATGGTTGTTAAGAGTGGTGTAATAAACAGTGTCCACTTGGTGGAGTTGAACTGGGCATGGTGTTTAAGAGTGGTGCAATGAACAGTGTCTACATGGTGGCGTTTGAATATTGGATTTTTACCAATTAGAATTAGCATAAATTTTCCATACCGCTGGTCAAATATTTCTTGACGTCCAAAGCTTCAAGAGGAAAGGATATAAAACTGCTAATTTTAGATGAACTAAAATACTCATGTCGAAAGCGTTTGAGATGAATACATAACATCTGTAAAAGATGCAGTGAACACGTTGCATTATCACAGCGAAGAAGGAGAATAGATAACGCTAAACGTCAACATGGCGATACAGTAATATATAATTTATGTATTAAATGCCTGGATTACAAATTTTCAAACTTAGTAGTATATATATATATATACCGAGTTACTTTTTAGCTCACGACATTCTTAGCACACGAGTTGCTTTTTTAGAACACGAGTTACTTCTTTTACTACACGAGTTCCTTTTTTAGCACACGAGTGACGTTTTTTAGCGCACGAGTTGCTTTTTAAGAGCACGAGTTACTTTTTATAGAACACGAGTTACTTTTTTAGCACACGAGTAACGTTTTTTAGCACACGAGTTGCTTTTTTTACCATATGAGTTACTTTTTAGCACACGAGTTACTTTTTTTTAGCACACGAGTAACGTTTTTTAGCACACGAGTTGCTTTTTTAGAACACGAGTTACTTCTTTTACCACACGATTTACTTTTTTTAGGGCACGAGTAATGTATTTTAGCACACGAGTTGTTTTTTTCAGAACACGAGTAACTATTTAGAACACGAGTTACTTTTTTAGCACACGAGTTACTTTTTTTAGCACACGAGTAACGTTTTTAGCACACAATTTGCTTTTTTTGCAATAAAGTGTTATAAGATATAATTTCAAATCCTCTGTTCAAAAGAAAGCAGTACGACGACGTTTTTACAAAAATTCGATCAAAAAAAATTTAACTCGAGCACTTTCAAGAGAACTAACATGTTTTGTGTAAAAAAACACCCGTAGTTCATTTTGCAGTACTTCGCAGGCTTTGCTAAAACGTTCATTCGCACTTCAAACAAAATTTCCCCATTCATGGAAAGAAAAGTATGGCACTCAAGAGCAGAATTTTGGATAAAAATTACGACATATTCATCGCACAATGAATGGCGTCTCTGCCTTAATACAACGGGCGAATGCTAAGTAAATAGCAACGGCATATAGCCAATCACAATAAATAGCAACGGCAAATAGCCAATCACAATAAATAGCAACGGCATATAGCCAATCACAATAAATAGCAACGGCATATAGCCAATCACAATAAATAGCAACGGCATTTGGCCAATCACAATAAATAGCAACGGCAAATAGCCAATCACAATAAATAGCAACGGCATATAGCCAATCACAATAAATAGCAACGGCAAATAGCCAATCACAATAAATAGCAACGGCATATAGCCAATCACAATAAATAGCAACGGCAAATAGCCAATCACAATAAATAGCAACGGCATATAGCCAATCACAATAAATAGCAACGGCATAGAGCCAATCACAATAAATAGCAACGGCATATAGCCAATCACAATAAATAGCAACGGCATAGAGCCAATCACAATAAATAGCAACGGCATATAGCCAATCACAATAAAAGCATACGGGAATATGAAGTATACCTCGGGAAGTTTGTATACTCTGCATTGTTTCATGCCATTTCTGAGCCTAGATTAAAACGAAGTAACGTTAATACCATAAAGCGTGACGAAACCTCTTGCATTTAAAATGAATGTGAGTCAGACTTACATCGAGCAATGTTCACAACGATACATATTGTCGCCTACAAAAATGACGAAAACAAGATGTTTCACGAAGCAGCGCGTATGATATATAAATATTACAAAATTATAAAATAAAAACAATAAAACGCGTCCAGTGTTTGGTCTAGACCCGTGTTTTCATCAGCCTGTACAAAGCACGTCTGAGCTCAACCAATCCAATCAATCAAAACAATCAATTAGTCAAAGAGAATTTACAAATCGATCATGAATACATTTTAGAGGAAAAATTAAAATGTTCGTCTTTTTCGCATTATTGTTATTTTATAAAAGAAATAAAAGATGTTTTTCGTGTTTGCACTGGCATATGCAAACCTCAGAGACGTTTGTGAGAACTCTCAAGTACGTGCAACCTTCGACCTTCGGCAAACACAGTAAACATCTTTTATTTCTTAACTAATAAACAAAAACCAACAAGGCCATTACATCTTTTAATACGAGTTGCTAACACCAATTATCCAATCAAAATTTGCTTTTATTGAGCTCAAGCCAATCAACATAGCTACCTTTGAGTTCGTCAGCAGAGAAAAAAGCGGCAAGGCAGTCTTCAAAGGAAACACGGGGACCATATATCCAGCTAAAATCCATGTAAAAACATTAATGGGCGCAATTAGTTTTGAAGTCAAACGCACGAACAAAAAAAAACACATTTTTTGAGAGCAGAATCCATATCACCACATTCACGGCAAACTTCAAAGGAGTGATTAAATCGTTTTTAAAAGATTGGCAATTGCAACATTTGAAACAGGGGGATAATCTGATCAGATTAAAACAAGCTTGGTGATAAATTCTGAATAAATTATCACATTGGCTAGCAGTCTTACTATAAAAGATCCCTGTGTCGTGACGATACTTCCCTCGTAGATATTTGACTTTACTGTTCAAAATTTTACCTTGCAAACCAATCAAATAAACTTCTGAAAAATCCTTTTTCACCGGAAACGGTTGGAGAGTCACGTGATATTGGATTACACTGAGCACTCGAATGTATGACTGAAATCTCCTCTTTCCCTGAAGAAAAATCAAAACGTTCTCTCGAACCGAGATCTCATCTCTTCAAAAAGGATGAACGCAAGCCAAAAAAAAAACATGTTAAGTTACTTGCCTGGAATTGATAACGATAAGTCCTGGAATGTTTCCATAGTTGATGAAATCTGCCAAAAAAGTAAGGCCTTTAAAGCTTCCTCAATCCACTATTTAAAGGGCATATGACAGGAAAATTGTGCTATTTAGATTATTTTCTCATTGAACATAACATTGAAAAGGGCAGTGCATATTCTAAAACAGTTTATTCATATCGCTTTTCATTCTCAAGATATTGTAGTGTATGTAATTTATGCTTTACACAGCTTGTGACGTCACATTGTATAATGAGAATTTTTAATAGCTGGTATATTTGCTGATATATTACACAAGCCGAGGAGAGTTCCGTTCATTGTGAAGAAGTAATGGTATAAACAATTGCATGATCATGTCAACCGGGAGTTTTTCTTGAATTTAAAGGATGTTTGAAAGTTAGCAGCGATTCCTTACGCAAAATTACGTCAATTGTTGTGTACATCGGACCTTACAAAAACTTCAACATCTTGAAAACGGAAAGAGGTATGCAAACTGCTTTAGAAAATACCCTGTCAAATTTCAGTTGAATAAAAACATAATTTAAATAGTAAAATTTTCGAGCCATATGCCCTTTGAAGTAGAGCAAAAGCATGTGCATTTTCGGAGGATCGCAAATTATTATCGGAAATACTACAAGTAGCTCGGTTTGGATTTTCAGGCTTTTTTCTACTTGAAAAACACAGCCTGTCGCTTTCGTGGGCTCAGAAAAGATACGCACTTGGGTTGCAACACTTCATATTATACACAACGAAACGTAACATTATAAAGAATAGCGAAAATGTACCTTTTTACAAGTGAGACATTGAACGGAGCTTCTTATCTTGCCGTTGAATAAATCTGATATCACGCTTGCGTACTCGACAGGTGGTGGTCGTTTTTGGTCTAGGGTGAAAATAAAAGTTGCACATTTCTTTGCTGCACGCCTCGAATTGCATGAATTGAAAATTCGCGATTTAAAACAATAACATAAAGCTGTCGTTGATGAGCAAAAGAATCATCAACAGTCAAGGATTGACTTTACGTCAATCACATCATTTGTAAAGTTTTATAGTTGACCAAAATAAAATAAAGCTGTCGTTGATGAGCAAAAGAATCATCAACAGTCAAGGATTGACTTTACGTCAATCATATCATTTGTAAAGTTTTATAGTTGACCAAAATAAAATAAAGCTGTCGTTGATGAGCAAAAGAATCATCAACAGTCAAGGATTGACTTTACGTCAATCACATCATTTGTAAAGTTTTATAGTTGACCAAAATAAAATAAAGCTGTCGTTGATGAGCAAAAGAATCATCAACAGTTAAGGATTGACTTTACGTCAATCACGTCATTTGTAAAGTTTTATAGTTGACCAAAATAAAATAAAGCTGTCGTTGATGAGCAAAAGAATCATCAACAGTTAAGGATTGACTTTACGTCAATCACGTCATTTGTAAAGTTTTATAGTTGACCAAAATAAAATAAAGCTGTCGTTGATGAGCAAAAGAATCATCAACAGTTAAGGATTGACTTTACGTCAATCACATCATTTGTAAAGTTTTATAGTTGACCAAAATAAAATAAAGCTGTCGTTGATGAGCAAAAGAATCATCAACAGTTAAGGATTGACTTTACGTCAATCACGTCATTTGTAAAGTTTTATAGTTGACCAAAATAAAATAAAGCTGTCGTTGATGAGCAAAAGAATCATCAACAGTCAAGGATTGACTTTACGTCAATCACATCATTTGTAAAGTTTTATAGTTCACAATAGAAAGTCGGAGATGACAAGATACGGTTCATAATAACAAAATCAATGCAAAGTCAAACATCTCAAAATATTGCATTTTCCTCGAGGATCTAAAAGTTAATCCATCAAAATACAAACGTTGCAAACTGTTGGAAGTACAGTGATCTCAGAAAGTTTTCAGAGATTTAATGTGACGCAATTAACAACGAGTTCATGGTCACTTCGTGACTCGAACTTCCACGAATTCGCAAGCGTTAAAAAATCCATACTTTCCATGCGCACAACCTCCTAATCCTCTACTATACCTGACGTGTCCTTTGATTCCCCGCGGAATCCCGCCGTTCTGTGGCAATAGATTTCAGAGTCAGAAATTGATCTTTCCAAACTCAACCCAGCACCTTTACGGTTACCGCTGATGCTAAAGTCATCAGAAGCCATGTTGACAACTCCCAAAGAGATGCGTGGCTCAAAGCTGGCACTGTTTATGTCATCACGTGACATCGCTTTGCGCAGTTCCGGACAGCTATTCGTGTTTCTCAGAAACCTCTCCGGTGATAAAGGTCTGGTTTTTTCCACATTCTGATTCGTAGTCGTCGTAGTTGAAATTGACTTTGACGCTTCTTTGCGTCTGTTTCTCAGGTAAGGAAATCCACGCGTCTTTCGTCCACCGTCTAAAAATAACATGTAAAAAATGCAACATGAACTTGCGTTTAGGTTATAACCAATCAGCGCTCAGAATGTGTTGGTCCAAAGAGAAATCCAGGACCAATGAACTGTAATATTAACTGGAATGCCAACTCCAATACAAGGGCATGATGCCATTTTGAAGCCTGGTATGATGCCTTTTAATCTGTTTTTAGGCATATTACTTAATCTAGTGAGGTAAAACTTATCATGGCCATTTGTGCTACTGTATTTTATGTATATCGTTGTTAATTTGTTAAACTGATATCATGGAAATTCTAAAAAGGTAGAAAAACTAGCATCAGTATTGGCTTCAAAGATGGCGGAGCAGTTAGCGTTCCAGTTAATATCACCAGTTCACTGGGCAGGAATGAGTAATGTCAGTCAAGATAACAATGCTGCACGTGTGTTACTTAAAAAAAAGGGCATTAACCAACAAAAACATACAACATAGTTAAGACATAAAATGGGAAATAAATTACTTTGTACTCTACCTGTGTTATGTTTCTCAACTATCGTCTGTCCACCGAGTAATCTCTTCGATCTTGAAGACATCCTTTTCGTCAGTTTGCGTAATGGAATTTCTGGTTTTATGTCTTCTGGTGGCATCGGTTCTTTCATCTCTTCATGGAGAAGATCCATAAGTACGCGCAAGAACTCTTGCGTATCCTTAAAGGTTCAATCATGTACACATCATGAAGTGATTTGAGCTCTAAAGTATCCTTAAAGGTTCAATCATGTACACATCATGAAGTGATTTGAGCTCTAAAGTATCCTTAAAGGTTCAATCATGTACACATCACTAAGTGACTTGAGCTCTAAAGTATCCTTAAAGGTTCAATCATGTACACATCACTAAGTGATTTGAGCTCTAAAGTATCCTTAAAGTTCAATCATGTACACATTATCAAGTGATTTAACATTTGTTTCTACTAAGAAAACCAACACATCAAAAACACAAACTGACTTCAATCAACTACCTGTTGTCTATAACCACGAAATTGAGGATTCAATCGTTGAAAGCAGCCCATAAAGTCAGATGGTGTAACGCAGGTCGGTCTGAAAATTTTCAAACAAAGTTTATGATAAAATATTCCACTTGTGTATTGGATGTTCAGAAAAAGCGAATTCCGTCGTTTGACAAGCATACCCGATGGAGACTCTATCTTGATGGTACAAGGCAGAAGATTGTTTCAACTAGCATAATCTCAAAAGGACATATTTGGAAAAATGAGGAGGTAAAAAAAGTTGACGCAGATGAAGGGTAAAAAGCGATATTGATAGCCTTCAATACTATGGAAGAAAAAGACTTGAGAAAAGCGATTTTGATAAGCTTCGATACTATGGAAGAAAAAGACTTAAGAAAAGTGAGATTGATAACCTTCAATAATATGAAAGAAAAAAACTAGAGAGGTATCCCAACTTTTAATACGATTGCTATTGACATGTTATGCATATATAACAGGAAAATTGTCCAAAGGAAAACTCATATTATAATAAATAAATTTAAGTTTGAATGTAGACATGGTCGTTATTTCTGACCGATACCTTTTCTTCGACCACATGTCACTAACGAGAGCAGCGTAGACCTCCGATAAATTGGCTTGACGATTGCTTTTCACATAGCTTGAGCAGTCGAGAAAAAACTGCATCAAAGACGGACTAGATAAACACAACATGGGATGTTTGTGAATATCAAGGTACACCATGGCGGGATTTTCATATTTTTTACGGGGATGGTCCAAAAAATTTTACGGCATTGAGCTGGTAAGGAAGTGACGTAAGACAATGTAAGGGTCTAGAATTAGGGTGGTCTGGTAGTGCAGCCATCTAAAGTCGTGTAGAAAGTTGATATTTTGTCCAGAAAGACTCAGTTCAACCGTACTATCGATTTGTTTTGTTAATATTTGGCGGTTTGAATGTTTCTTAGATGGGTGAACAATTTAATTAGAGGGATGAAATGTGATGTTTGGGAGAGGCATCCCTTGCATTCCTCCAGTAAATCTGTTCATGGTTACAACCGATGTATAATACACAATAACAGTATGTAAGTAAACCTATATGAATTGACACCCAAATGAGAAACACGTGGCTTTGACGAGATTTGAACTAGCACCTTTGCGATTCTAGTCTACCATTCTACTCATTAATCTACCAAGCCAACAGGATTTGAGACGATTCAATGTATTATAAACCGTACATGGGCAAGATAATCTTGAGATAACAAAAGCAAGATAACAAAAGCAGTCTTAATTGCATCTTATTTCCACTTTATTCCTAAACGATATGCAAATGTACGACAACATCTTAGCTAAAACTCGAAAATTCCATTCCACAAATCTACACGGCGCTCGTGGAATTCGGTGAGTGCAGGTTATCTTGCTTACCTGTTTGATAGAGCTTGTAGTGCAGGTTATAATGCTTACCTGTTTGATAAAGCTTGAAGAGCAGAATTCATATAGCACGTGTTGCCAATATTTTTCAAGCCAGTCAAGCCTGAGAGAAAAGATGTCCAATGTTCAATAAACACAGCATGTACGTAGGTCGCTAGAGGAAATTGAACTAATATACATGGACCCTACCCGTAATAGAAAAGCCTAATAACTTTTTGAAGCCAAATTTTACACCCAGACTCAGACACACGAGATTACACCCAGACACCCGTGTGTAGTTCAATCAATTTTCACTCCGCGAGAGAATCTCGAAACGCTAAACACTCTTGTCTGGGTGTAATCTCGCGTGTCTGGTTGTAAGATTTGGCTTCAATTATTTGCTTCAGTTAGCGTTTCGTGGATTTCAGTTCAATGGTACCGGATCAAAAATTAAAAAATTCACCTCTAGGCTTCATTCCTTTCTCGAAACCATCGAAATAGTCCTTGTCGATCATCGCCGCTTCTTCCTCCTGTGAAAAAAGCTCGGGCTTCAACGGCTTGTTACGGTGACAACTTAAAACATTACTGTCACATTTACTGTCATTTTGATAGGCTTCAAAATGATCTTGATGCACATTGTTCATATATGTCGTCTAGGTTCTAACCTACAACTGGAGCTGCGTTTTTTAGGGTATGATTTCGGCAAAGTTTTACGCAATGATTTTTTCTTTTCTCGCGAAACGAATCGGAAGCTTTCCTTTGAATAAATCTGTTGATGAATTCTTTGGTCATTTGCTAAATACTTAAACAGTAAGACCAAATAAGGATTCCTGCAATAGTGTTAATTTGCACATGCTTCTACAGGAAATTTGCTTGCCACAGAAATGTCTTGCAACAAGTAACACTTTACCCAAGAAGCAAATGCTCTTTGATATTAAACTAGTACCAGTCCTCTCGCATGTAAGTCGGCTAACAAATAATCTCTCGTTATTAAGTCCATTTTTCATTAATTTTGCCATATCATCATTACCCAATAAGCAGCAAATGCTCTTCAATACTTAACTTGTACCAGTCCTCTTACATATAAGTCGGCCAACAAATAATCATTCGTTATTTTAAGTCCATTTTTCATTAAACTTGCTATTTCATCATTACCCAATAAGCAGCAAATGCTCTTTGATATTTAACTAGTACCATTCCTCTTACACATCAGTCGTGTCACATACGTAGCCTCTCTTCATCAACTCAATCTTTCAATACACTTACCATTTCCTCTGATACATTATCATCATTATCCAGCTCTTCTTCCATTGATTTATATTGCACAGCGTCCTCGGATACATCCAATTGTACCTCGTCTAAACTAACACCACAACCAAAACACCATATACCCTTGTTTTCCTTGCTGAGATACACTGCATGATTGGTTTTCTGTGAATTTTCAAGATGTAGATATGATAGACAGCCACAAAGTTGAAAAGTCAAAAGTTTGGCTTATCCTTAACACAACTCCGAGGGATACACAAGAGAAAAACATGATTTGGACAGACTATACTTAAATTTACATTAGATGATTCAATAATTGAGCAATGTGATTTAAGTGGGATATGTATGAGACAGTTCAAGTGAATTTTGTTACTGGTCAAAAAATTTTTATCCCTCCATTAAAAAAAAAGACTGTTGTGCAAAGGCTGAGCCAACCAACAAGTTTGGATTATGCTATGCAAACTTCAGAACATTATCATCATTCTTTTCTTTAGAAATCTGTTGTTTTCACTGCGAGTAGACACAGAAAAATTAACAAAGCAGGGCAAATTAACAGAGCTTTTCCACTGCTCTTGCTTGCCTAGTTTTTTTGCACTTTCGATGTCATCCAGAAAATATTACACTAACCAATCCATGTATTTTTAAAACACCTTCCTTGCATGCATCAAAATAAATTACTGCTTGCTTTCTCTTTGCAAAATACAAACCTCATGATGACTTTTGACATGGTTTCCTACTTTTTCACCACAACCAACAAATGAACAACACTTCTAGGCAAACATAAAACAACAATTACAATTTGTTGTACCATATTGATGCTAAATGTTCTCAGAACATTCACTACGATATGACAGACGGTTTACAGCAGATTGGCATAACGAGCGAACGTAAACAGTAGAGCAAAAATAACTTTAACTTCTAAGGAAAAGAGAAAACTGTTCAAGTTGATTATGGTAGTGTTAGATATTAGATCCATGGCTAAATGAAAATGAACTTTGTTCAAAAATAGTAGGTGAGTTCATTTTTCAGGAGTAAAGTACTTGTGCTATCAAATCCAAGGAAAAGTGAATATTTTTTTCAATTAGAATGGACTTACCATCACGCTACCGTGGATGGCAAAGTAAGGTGATTGAGTTATACAGCTTGTATAGTGGGTCTTACTGCATTTGTAAACTTCAAATATTCTTGAAAAGTATAAGCCCTGAAAGAACCTTCTTGGAAGGGTTTTAATAGAGATTGCACATGGCAAAGCATTTTACAAGATATGTCTAACAAAGAAGGTACTAAGAGGCAAAGAAACAGTAAATTTCCCATGAAGATTACAAAGACAGCTCAATGGCTTGCTATATCAGCTGAAAAGTCACGTCATGTTATCAATACCAACTTTATTTAGGTAAACTTAGCATTTGAAAAGAAAACGTTTTACATACTTGCATACACAGCCAAAGATCTGAAGCCTTTTGATTACATTCGTCGCACTAAAGTTGAAAAGTCAAACATGTCAATTCTCATCCGATAGTTGAGAATGAACTAATTTCAATTAGTTCCAATGCCTTTCACGTAACAAACCAAGTGAATTTTTGTTGCCATTGTTATAATTATACTAGGAAAAGAAGTGAACTCAAACCATGCATTTCATTGTAATAAGCATTGTGCTTGTCTGCTTTATCAAAATAAATAGGAAGACAACAAGGAGCAAGGCTCTCTCTTTCCTATGCAACTATGCACTGAATATAAGTTGTAATTGTTTATATACAAGTTATAATTTCAAAGTATCGACAACACAATGATGCATATTTACCTGTTTTTTGTCGTCCATTTCTATCAAGTATATTTTTCTTATCAACGCAATATGTGGACAGATCATCGTCTTCAAACGCGTTTCTATAAAATCCCACAATTACAACAGGAAATGACCAATTTCAACTGTATCGAATCGATTACGTCGAGTACTTTTACACTTACTCAAATATTTATACTGTTTACACGAACATTGAAAAATAAATACACATTTTGTAATGAAAAACACTACTCCTACAGTCATACACGTCCGTCAAAGAATACAAGCTCAATACGTTCTTGTACAAGCTGAATACGTTGTTGGTTTATAAATTTTTTGGAGAAATTTCCACCTGAAACTAAAGACGGCTGCCTCAACATTAGACGCCAATTTTAAGCTCCGCTTCAAATTTGAGATGCGGCCTCTGATAAGTGCCTGAAATTCAGGCCATATCTTATGAGTTATCCAAAGTTAAGTTACATTTCATTTCGTGTCAAGTACGTATAAAAAGTCCGTCCATTTTGTTTCATTTTCCTCTCCAAAGTAACTGTTTTCCATCAACCATTCGGACAAATGAAAATTTCGCAGCGGGGGGCACACATTGGAGAGGTGGAATGGTTGGGGTGTTGAGGGGGAAGGTGACAGGCTCAACCAGCTTTAGTAAAATATGTTAAAAAACAGTCCAGAAACTAGTAGAGAATGAAATAAGCCGTCCGGCTAAAATCAAGGGCTTTTCGATCAGTGCCATAACATCATTACATAGAAATCGACAAGTTATATTTTTTGATTTGTTCCTTTGGGGCAGGTTGTTAACAGAAAAGCAAATAAATTTTTCATGACTTCGCTTAAAGCAAACATTACTCATATGTACAACAATTCAACAAACCAACTCATTACAAATTATCATATAAATTCTACGAAAAATTTAAAAACTAGTCATCTGGAAGAATTACTTTGGATTTCTTCACAATTTCAACTTCTTCACAACTGCATACATTCTTGCAGTTCATTTGATACTCGTCACATTGGTTGTGGCATCCGCACTGTCTGCCAGTGTGGTATTCGGGTATCGAAGGATAAGGGGGTGGTGTAGATGGATGCATAGGAGCAGGATAAGAGTAGATGGCAGGGCTGGGGTATTGAAACAACGGATAAGGAGGAGGAGACGGTGGGCAACAGTAGATGGGACAAACACTTGGACAAGGAGGAAGGCAAAACTTGGGGCATTCTGAATAAGGAGAAAAAAAACGTTGAAATACCAGTTTACGATTGTATGAATTAGAAGTTTAAAAGCATCGAGACAACATGGAGTAAAAAATATAGCAATTTCGAAGTTCGAAGGCACTATAGCTCATTTCAAAATTTTATATGTAGACATGAAAATTATAGCTGCGATAAACTTTCATCAATACAACTGCAATGGGTCACGTTGATGTTGAATGTTTTAACATGCACATAGTTTAAATGTAGCTAATGTATGAATGCAAAATTATTATCCGTTTTACCGGGGGGAGTATGTTAGTATATTCAATTAATGACAGATGAAGAAATATTATCACAAGCATGCTTGAAAGTTTACAGCTTCTGGCTACAACATTTAAACACTAAATATATGTATATAGAACTTTAGGCTTGAAGATTCAGCCATTTTTGCCTCACCTGGTTTCGGTGGTGGAGGTGGAGGACATATTGCCGGAGGGCCAGGTGGACCGGGAGGACCAGGATGGCCGGTAGTACCCATTGGGCCTGGTGGACCGGGAACGCCTGGCATACCTGGAGGGAAACGAAATACGCAAGAAAAATTTGAGCCTTTAGCTGGTATGGTAGCGATGATAGACCGAGCGTCAATCACATTTGTTGCTTGTTGTGGATTATCTGGGTTTTTGATAAGACCATCCTTGCTGTTATCTTTAGGAGTCGGTGTACTCGTCGTGGTAACAGGATTTGAAGTATTTCGAAGAGGGATACATGGTACTCCTGGTGGTCCAGGCGGCCCCGGTGCACCTGGGTAACCAGGAGGACCTTTCTGTCCTGGTGGACCAGGAGGCCCGGGGTTGCCAGGGCAAACATGTATGACAGGAACAGGAGGGGGAGGGGTAGTTGGTCTTCGTATAGGTGAAGCTGTCGTTGGCGAGGAGGTAGTTGTGCCTCGTTCGGGAGAAGCTGACGGTTTTTTGGTTGTGTTGTGCTGTACGGGGGGTGCAGTCGGTGTAGTTGAAGCTAACGTGGTACTTGGTGTTTGGGTCGTAGATACACACGGTGGGGGGACGCATACTAATGACGAGACAGTAAGTAACTAAAATGTTTAGCTACACACGATGGGGGATGTAAATGACAAGACATAAGTAACTAAAATGCTTAGCACCACACGATGGGGGCATGTTTATGACGAAACAGTAAGTAACTAAAATGCTTAGCTCCACACGATGGGGGGGGGGCATGTTTATGACGAAACAGTAAGTAACTAAAATACTTAGCTTTGACTTATTTAATTTAGATGGAACAAAAAGAAAGAAAAAACCCGAAGATTTTCAAAAAATAATATATTTGACGCCCCCGAGTTTTTCATCTTTTATCATCCAGATATTAAGTAAATGAGTGAACACTAGGAGAATGAATATCAATAAAGGAGGAGGTTGTCGTGGGTACTTGCAGGTATTACGGTGTTAAGAGCTCCCAATGACCCTCTCTACAAGGTTAATGATTCATATTTAGTGCATAAATCTGTTTTCATTGATTTTTGTCGAATGCTAAAGGCTGAAACACACTGGGCAGTCGCTTCAGTCGCGCGTCCAAAACGAATTGATGCGCACGCGTCAGTCGCTTAAACGCTAGGAACACACATGCAGCGACCATCGCGACTTTTACCGTGGCGTCTATTGAACATGGCGGTGATTTTAGTTTGTTACAGACACAGATATCACTTAAACCTTTTATTTTGGCCTTTATTATAGCTACTAATATATGAATATTTACTCAGTACTGACTACTATGTGGAGAAAAGAGAACAAGCCAGTTAAAACACGCCAATATGAGTGGGTAATCTTATTCTGTGCACTTAGGTTGTGCTTTAGGGTTCCAGTTTGTAGCTCCTATTGTCCCTATTTGATAAGTCATGAAAAACAGAAAGATTCCAGTGTGAATTCACTATATATTGCCTTCGTTTTCCAAGGTATAATCTATAAATTCCGTATGATGCTTATGACAGGGAATATGATATGCATTTAGGAAGTTAAAATGTATCTATTGGCCAATCAGTGTAAAGCGACTGAAGCGACCAAAGTCAAAAGTTCAACATGACGCGACTACGCTACTAGCTTAGTAACCACGCAAAGCGGAAGTTTTAGACGCGCGACTAAAGCGACTGCCTAGTGTGTTTCAGCCTTAAGTTTTGACTGCGGACATTTGCACGAATTTAAATGAAAACAATTGTGAGAACAAAACAATTGTGTGCGCTAACTGAAATGCTGACTAAAGGTACCTTTATCGCTACACGTTACCAGAACAGTTTCGTAGTCCTCACAGTTTTCACTTGCTTCAGCTACGATTGCTGTATGAGAGTTCAAATGACATTCTCGCCAGGAAAATTCCGGATCGTGTGCTCCACAAACGATCGTGGCACCTTTAGCCGATGACGGGAAAACAAACTTCAACTGGAGCACGGCCCCGCTCATACGGTAAGGCTTCATGGGAAGGTTTGAGCAGTTAATCAACAGCGAAGTGGAAACACTGTACTTCACAAATTTCAACATTACACATTTCTCACCTGGAAAGAAATACAAAACAATTATTGTAGTTAAAGGGGAAATCCTAAGGGCCAGAATGGGGCCAGTTCATATGAGGCGGGCAAGCCTCTCTTTACCGGGCTGGCTCCCTATTCAGGCTACTTTATTATTTTATTCGCACGAGGTGAGCTAGCCCAGCAAGTACAGTCCACCGAAAGTTATGCATTCGCTTGCTCACCATTTTGCATGAAAGTGAATTTCACGAGCATGCGCACTGTTACGATGTTAGGCCCAATGTGCTGGGCTAGCCAGCAGAGATCCGAGAAAACGAGCCAGCCCGCCTGTCATATGAATCAAATTTGAATTTATATGCAAATACAATAAGAGAGGGATCTCGCTATTGCCGTGCTAGCCCTATAAAGCAGGCCAGCCCGGCTCAAATGAGCTGGCCCTACGACAGCTCTTCTTATTCGCGCGAATCGAATATAATCCAAGCAACGTAAATTTTTGAGGAAAAATTTCATCGAGGAAAATTATATTCGTGGCTTCCTTGATAACTAAGACATAAAATGTACGTACATTAATATATGTACGTACTTGGAGCAATTATACTGGAGTTTCTGTAGAACTTCGGCTTCAACGTGCAATTTGAAGCGGGCATAATAAAAAAGGAACAGTTTCTTTTGAAGCTTTCGCTTTCGTCGTCGTACAGGAATTCCATTTTATAACGGAGCTTGGTTAATTTATCCCCTACACACACAAACCATCCATAATGCTCGGCTTCGTAGAGTTGAAAAGAAGATGTACGAGGTACACTGACTCTGTGCCTTTCAGTAAAGGACGTTTCCTTTGCTATAAAAGAAGGCAAATATATAAGAACTGAAGTTTCAAAATCTGATCACTTATGATGAAGACACTAGACTGGAGTATATAAGAACTCAAGTTTCAACATCAGATCACTACTGATGAAGACTTAAGTGTCAACACCAGATCACTTATGATGAAGAAGCTAAGTTTGACGACCAGATTACCCCTAAACTTGAGAAAAACACAAATCTTAGATGATGTATTTACTGGCTACAATCTACATAAACTGAAGATAAATATTTTCACTTACTAAATAATGTGGCTTCACTCTTTTTAGCGATGACAAATTTGTAGTTTTTCTGCATAACGTAGTAACCAGGTTGGTTGTACACTTCAAGCGACACGGTCTGACCCCCCTTCACCCCACCCGAGCCAGGGAGATTGCCAGGAGTATGAGGAAGAAAGCAGTCACCCCACTGACCCAAAACGAGTTCGTCATTAAAAATAGACCACGCTAGATTTTTTTCAAATCTTAGTTGTTTGGCGGGAAAGTCGAGGGAGTATATTTTGACGGTACCGGAGAACCCTTAAAAAGAAATATAATTTAGTCTCATTTCGATAACAATATTTTCCTGGTCGTGCAGTAAACTTTATGCGAGTCATGACCAGAGACAGCTGAGTATAGTAGGGCTATTGAGCTAAAATAAATGGAAAGCTATATGAAGCAAATAATCGAAGCCAAATCTTTCATCAGACACGCGAGATTTCACCCCAGACACGCGTGCTTAGTGGTTCGAGATTCTCTCGCGGAGTAATAATTGATTGACTACACACGCGTGTCTGGGGTGTAATCTCACGTGTCTGGGTGTAAAATCACGGCTTCAAAAAATTATTCGTGTTTTGTATTACTGGTAGCGTTCCATGTATTTTAGTTCAATGCGTAAGGCTAACCTGTAACTTTCCAAAATTCTATCGATTCTTTCATACTTTCTGCCATAGCAATGCGGACAACCTTTCGAAAGTTCATTTCCTCGAGATATCTCGACATGTTCCTGGATTTGTTGGCACTCGGGGGCAGCGGTTCAATTTTTAGTGCCTCTTCCACGGCCTTTTTCGCCTCTCTTTCGGCTTCTTCTTTTGCTCTCAATGCAGCTTTCTTTATTATATCATCGGTTGCTTTTTCGGCAGCTTCGATTCCGGCCTTTTCGGGATTCGTAGCCTCGGAGCCTGCACACGAATTGAAAGCAGAAAATCAGTTATGGAGGAGCGTTTGTTACATTGTTACACTGAAGGTGACAAACTCCTATCAAGTTACTTCTCCAGCACAAACGAAACAGTTTGTTCACACTGTGTAAGTTTTTTTTTGTAAAAACAATACATTGCCACCGGTCTAAATACACAAAGTTGAAAAATTTCAACTTGAATAAACATTCGACTTTTCCCGCTGGATAGTTTGATCGTACCTCTTGCCTTACTTTGCGCATGCGCAACCTGGAAAATTATACGCTCCGTGCAAAATTTCGTGAAAAACGTGCCTTTACAACATTTGAATATTGACGTACCGCAGTAAGACTCCGATCTGTAGTAATGGTAGCAATAACGGTCGGAAATTGGCGTGTTGGCAGTTCCATTTGGGAAAATTACACCGACTGCAAAATTATCTATTCCAAATAGTTCTTTATGTAGCGCTTCGACGTAATAATAGGTGCCTTTAAGCAAGGGGATAACCGCCGACTTCTGAGTGGCCAATCTGTAAAAAGATGTAATAAATCACTTATAAAATGACGAAATAAATCACGTATAAAATGAAGCAATAAATAACGTGTAAAATGATGTAATAAATCACGTATAAAATGAAGTAATAAATCAAGGATAGAATGAAGCAATAAATAACGTGTAAAATGATGTAATAAATCACGTATAAAATGACGTAATAAATCACGTATAGAATGAAGCAATAAATAACGTGTAAAATGATGTAATAAATCACGCATAAAATTAGGTAATAAATCAAGAATAGAATGAAGCAATAAATAACGTGTAAAATGATGTAATAAATCACGTATAAAATGAAGTAATAAATCAAGAATAGAATGAAGCAATAAATAACGTGTAAAATGATGTAATAAATGAAGTCTAAAATGACACATCAGATCAAATTCTTGCACATTTCATCTTAATTTCTACATCGGGAAAACGATGTGTGGTCAACAAAAAACGAAAGCCAAGATATTGACTGCTTTTTGAATTCCTTATTCTATCAATGGAAAGGCGTTCTTTTCTGGCAATTCACTCAGTCTGTTGTGATGGATTCAAAATTGCACCCCATCTGCTTTACCTTTCGTGATGCCATTGTTGATGGCAGGCAAATGCATCAAAGATGGATTCCCATGTCATTTTACCGTTTCAAGCAAGATTGATTCAAATTCATTCTTATTTTTCGTAAAATTCTTGACAAAAGAAAGTATTGAGCGAGAAAAAGACTGAGACCATAAAATGCAATGCTTTTCTTGTCTACTATAATAAATGCATTTGCGCATGATCGAAGAAAAACTCAATGATCATTCATAACTTTTATCAGTCAGAGCAGGCTGAGGCAGGTAGAGGCAGGCTGGTTTAACGAAAGTAGAATAACCCCAAGGTACAGGATGGTGGTTCTCAATTTTTTCTTCTTGACAACAGAAAACAGAATGGATGTCCTTACTTAACTGTCCCAGAAGCAAAAGCTAGCAAATGAAAAGATTTCTACTTTAGTGCAAAACGAGTTTCAAAAATACCACATCAGTAAGCAACGATCTTCAAATGTCAATGAAGTGAAATATTCGTACCATATTTTTTGGGTTATATTTGCCCTCTCAAAATGTTTGTGCAAAAAAGAATTAAAATTGATTTCTTAGACCAATTTTATGGACGTCAAAAGTGACGATTTTTTGCACTTCCAGTGCGAAATTTCACTTCATAAACACTTTTAGTTTTGCACATGCGCATACCTGTTAAATTCCATATCGCGGGTGGCATGTGGATTCGCAACAAAGGCAACGAGACGCATGTTTTCCGGTTTGTCGTCTATGCTTACGAATAACTGACCTTCATGATTGCTGGCTAAATATAAACAATTTCAACATTAGCTGTAAAACTTACGGGATCAGAGAGTGTAAGTTTTAGATATGTAGGTACTCAGTGCGTAGTTCAGAGACATGTAGGAACGATTTTTCTCTTGAACGATTCATGAAAGCTCGAGTAGACAAATGAGCTGAAAAGTTTTTCTATTCGTGAAAACATTGAAAACAGATGTCATCACGAACGAGGATGACATCACAGATGACATCACGAACAAGGATGACATCACAGATGACATCACGAACAGATGAGATCTTCAAAGACAAAGACAGTGCTACGACAAGGTTTGACAAATTTCCAGCTAGAAAAACAAGCTTTTCCAAATTATGAAATGCAAGACTTTCCAGTCTCTACAAAGACTTTAAGAAAACATACTAAGGGATTTCGTTGGAAATCTTAGCGTTTAACGGGAGTGGTTACAACAAGAAATGCGATTTGTCAGACATGAAGTCCACGTCACAGTTACACTTGAATACTATAAAAAAAAAATGTGATTGGTTGGACATGAGGTTTTCATCACAGCCCCGTTTATATGTTATACAACAAAAAATTTGATTTGTTGGGCATGAGGTTTTCGTCACAGCCTCGTTTATATAATGTTACACCGCAAAAAATGTGATTAGACCTCAAAATCCATGTCACGTCACATCCGTATTAGGAAAAAGAACCTAACTCATCGTTTCGAAACCGAGGAATCAAAATGACATAAGGGAATGCAAACGAACCCATACATACAAACAAGAAACTGGTAGTTCCCAGTCACCGGTGGCGCAAACCATGCGTACATTCGTGACCCATAACTCTCTCCCAAGTCTCTCGGCTCACGAAAATTGTGAGCTAAAACTCGAACGTCGGGAGTGTACGGAAACCTCGCGCTGTTTTTGAGGGATTTCACTGAATATCCATCTAAGTGGAACCATATTTCAAAATTTATCCCGTGTGATCCAAATGCCTCAGCAGAACCTACACCGGAAGGAAAAACGGTTCAATTTATAGTGAAAGAAAGCATCTCAAAGAAAACAATGGGCATTTATGATATAATTTCAAATTTACACAACCCGCCGAAGAGTGATGTGAGGAAATTCTGAAAGAAAAAACACTATTCTTAACATGTTTTAGTAGTTTTTTTAAACATAAGGTATGATATATATCTCAATTCGAAGTATATAAAATCACACATACTTCGAATATAATATCCATCTTTCACTCAATAATACACGTACATACGAGCTGTCTGTTGAAGGGCAGTCGAAATGAACAACGGGTGGAGAATTGGAAAAGTGAATTAAATAAACGAAAGTAAACGAGAAATGCCTAAAATATTCCGCATTTATAAGGAGGTCGGCATAGATAAATGTGCTTTAAATGAAAACACACAAATTTAGAACTCATTCAATAATGATGATGAAAGGCAAGACGCTTTGCACAAGTTCCCTATCAATTCAAACAGAATTACTGATGTCAAATAACTTGTTACAAACTCAAGATTCGATTTGCATTATCAAGCGACAAGATGAAAAAGCAATATTTCAACTTTATAAATGAAGTCGAAACATTGCTTTTAAATCTTGTCTCTTGCTAATATAACTCTTATTTACATTTATTTATAAAATCGGTGCTAGTAGATGCAGTTGGTCGTAGCCATGACCATGGTCTTGGCAGTTGGTCAAGTCGACTGTGCAAGCTCAAGCAGACTGCGCATGCTCAACCCGACTGCGAATGCGCAGATGGTTTATCTGAAAATTTGTAGCTGATGGAGCTAATTACTCCATAGTTGGTACTAGTACATCCAGTTGGTGTTGCCATGACCATGAACTCGTAAAGTTGGTGGAGCTGACTACTACGCATGCTCAAATATATTCCCAATTAATTTGTGACGGAGTGAGCTCTGAATTTGGTGCTTGTAGATGCGCTGAGCAAGTTTTCAATCATATATTATTTCCAAGCTGATTGTCTTCTTAAGCTTGTTTTGAAAAATGGATCTCAAACTCGTCAATGCTTGTTAAACCTGGTTCTCATATAGTCGTCTGAGTCGTTTCAGTCGTGCCAAAATTTCAGAGATGATCCGTGCGACTGTATGAGAACATTTCAAAGATGACCGGGATGACCTCAAATGACTCACACGACTAAAACGACCAGGGTCGCTTGGATAGAACTTTCCTTTATCCGGACGACCGCAACGACACTTGAGAAATGCAAGCGACCTTTTTATGGCGCAAAATGATTTGAAGAAGCCAATTACTATCCAAAATACTTTGTCTTTGATAAACAGCAGCTGATATTTTTAAATGTTTTGCAAAAAAATTAATTAAGCAGTCTGTCGGCAGAGCTAATAGTAATACATCAGGAGTTTATAGTTTAAGTCGTCCCAGTCCTTTTGCAAAACAACGAAACAACTCGGAACGACTCGAAAGGCTCAAGCGACTTAATGGAAACCAGGCTTTACGCCATTCGTGATTGTCGACTGAAAAAGGTTTTCACGCATGTTTTCAATCGTGTTTCACTTTATTTTTGAAACTGCAATAAGGGCCGGGTTTCCTTTTGAGAGCAACATAGTAGCTATTGTCTAGAAACTATCGCAAAAGTATAGAAGCATAATAGGACGGTTTATTAACGTGTCATAACATGCATCCATCATAACAAAAGCAGAAATTTAGAACAAAATTTCGAAACATGTTTATTCGAAGAGAAATTTCATATTTCTACATACATAATACATCTGTTTGAATTAATCGATCAAAACCTACCTGAAGATGCGCCATCTTTTTGTTCGTCTAAAAACACGACAAAACAATAACAATGTAGTTGAAATCGTCAAGGCCGTCATTAGAGCTTTAATTAGGAGTAGGGAAGAGCAAATGAACGTGTGTTTATTCCTACGTCATTTGGAGAAGGGAGTGGGGACAAGTGTGTTTATTCATATATTCAGTTGTGTGTCCGACAAAAGAGAAATACCACAATAATAAACATTAATAAAACATCCAACTCCATTATCAATATTTGTCCTGTCCAAATTACAAGATAAATATTTGCGGGATTGTTATCAAAAAAATTACACATATAAATTGAAATACTCCCTAAAATACACCGAATCTGGCAATAGGTAATCATATAGCCCACCCCAACACATGGATCGGCCATTTTGTGATGGCGTACAGTGTGGAGAAAATGTTACAGACATATAAGTCATCGAGCAATGTCTGTAATTGTGTAAATTCAAATGAAAAACTAATCTGTTACGAGAATGATCATCTATACTTATATAAAACTATTGACTCGATAGCAAAAGACAGCTACGTATAAATATAATGATCTTATTTCTATTTAAATTCGTGTATTAGAATTTTATTAAATACAAGATATTGACAAATTGGGTACCTGAAAGTAGTTTATTACACTCCCGGGAATACGATTTGTCAGAGTGAAGATCTAAAACACTTGACTCTTTAGCCGATATTTTCCCTTTGCAAAATAAAGCAACGAAAACAAACAAAGAGAAGGCGATCGCCACAAGATTCATGACTTGAAAATAACATAATCTTGTATCCTTTTCAGGACATTGTGCGTGCAGTAATGATAATATTCAACACTTCGTAAGTTTGTTCTTCGCTTTCGATAACGCGCATGGCCAATTAAACCTCAAAATATTAATTTTTAATTACGAGCAGCGAGTTACTTTCAATCACGGCTATTGTGTGATGACAGTTAGCACAATTTGATAATAGTGCTATTCTTATTTTGATTAACCTGTTATATTAGTATAAAAGTTAACGTGCGTCTATCAAAACTGTATGGCTTCTTATGAAAGATAATGTAAACACTGGACATAAAACCGACAAAAATATACTTTCATAATATTTTTAAGTTTTTGTAAGAATGTTGTTGAGATATTATAGATTAAGAGCGTTAAAACTAACGGTGGGTTTTCTTCTAAGGCTTAAAATCTTCGCTATGCACATACTGTAGAATTAAGGCAACGAACGATAATAAGACATAACAACTATATATTGTCTTTTTTGTACGTTTTGAACCATTGTTAGTACATAAATATGGCTCATTATTCTGTATTAGAACGGAGTGAGCATTTTCACCGATAAATGTTGCAATTTGCAATGTTTTCTGATCAAAATGTCACTAGAATAAACTTGCCAAAGACTTCCGAGCGAAGTCTGGCATTTTCTACAGGTGTCCTGTAGAAAACCAAAAGAAATAACTTTGAGTCTTTGTTTGGAAAACGGGTGATTCTTTAGTAATTTAATGAATCACACTTGACAAAAGCCTCGATTTCAAAACGCCTTATCAATGTTTTTAAATCAATGTATTTATATCTTGTGAGGCAAAAAGGTGAAACAAAATGCAATGAAGTAATAACGACTCGTAATTTTATGTATCATCTCAACTCGGACACGAACTTTAGTTTATTACACATTATTTTAATCATTTCAAAGTGAAACAAAGTCTTTCGAGGCAAATTGAACAACTTGGTTTCTCAGCGACAACAGCTTGAAAACCAAGGAACTACAAACAGATATCAGTTATGGTAAGATATGTCATCGGCTTAAATGGGCTTATGGTAATCCATTTATTTCCAAAGGAAGAAAGACCTTCCCACAAGGGAAATTTCCATAGCTGTACTAGTTTTGAACAATAGTTGAATACAAAATAAATTATGTTAAAAATCGTTCTTTCATAAGTTTTAAAAAATAAAACTGATTTACTTATTGTGCAACGACAATTCGTATTGCTGTTTCACTTAACTGCTCAAGTGAGATTGACATTGTGAGAGCGTTTCGCAGTTTAATTAAATTTGCTTGACTGCTAGGCGTCATTCTTTGTCAAGTGTCAATTTTTGATCAAAGATAATCACATGGTATTCCAAAGCCTTTCCTCTGGCTATCAAGAAAAGGTTTCGGCAATATTTGAGACTAAAATGCGGAAGATCATAATGCATGTTCTATATGGAAAAAATAGGTACGTGGGCGTACATGTTGGTAGTCTGTCAAGAGCACGACTTGTAAATGTAGTAGATTTAATGCGCTTAGTTAAAACAAGATTTTGTATAGTGAATATTATTTACGTCAACCTTGTTCAAGATTTGTCGTTCAAATAACTGATAAATCAACACGTTTATGACATGTTTTAGATTACATACATAGACACCTAATTGTATTGCACTAACCTTAGTACCTAATATAATTATTAATGTAAAGACGACATTAGACCTTTGTATTTTCACCCAACGGGCCGTGCTGCTTATTTTTTCTTTTTTTATTATCACAACTTGAAACGTCTATAATTCCAAAGAGTTTGTGCTCATTGCAAACAATGTTTGAAAGTAAACGCTTTGCACATTGCAAGAGATCGCAAGTATGTTCTATTTCCTGTCTATTTATAGTTTGACAGGTATCATATTTCACCAGATTTGAAAATTGCCACTAATAATATTTGTATTTCGTACAATATTCAAAAGCAAGATAAATTCATTTGCTTTCACCGTTCGACTAAACCTAACAACAGAGTACTGTATGTCTGTATGAGTAAAGCGAACAATATATAAGGAATGCAAATAACACCCACTTGAACTATATACCGGTTTCTCTGATGTCAGCCGGTTACTATAGGGTTTTTTAATTGTCAAAAATGCCAAAACAAAACATTACTTTTTGAGAAATTCAAGTGGAAGAACAAGTAAAATAGTGGTGCTTGTCATTAACCACAGTCTTTGCCCCTCATATTTGACAATGAATGACTAAAAAATTTTGTCGATGATACTAATGTAAAACTATTTTATTAACAATATATGTGTTTCACTGAAAAAGAAGCCAAAATGAGTAACAAACACCAACACAACCTGGAATTGTTGGGTCAACACTGCAGCGTTTACACTGAGATAAACCTGTGTTTATTTGCCAAGACATGCATGTAGATAGTAGAAGATTATAGGACCTGATACATCAGTTCCGCCTGTTTTTATACATTAAAAAAAATGGAAGAAGTGAACAATTTTGTTTTTAGCATTATCAAATCCTTACACAATTTCTAAAGCCCTAGCGAAAACAATTTTTAATTTTACGCAATACTTTAATTTTTCTGGCAGTGTGTGCCCGACTAAATAATTTTTTACTAAAACACTCTAAATAAACAAAATAATCAATAGGAAGAATAAAAAAATTGTGTAAGAGGCATTATTAAGAGATAGTTATATGTGTAATCATGATAACATTTTTATAGTTCCAATAGTTTTCTGTTATTGTAAATTAACCATATTTAGTAAAGAAACAAATATATCCACACGTAATATCTTGTATAAATAGAAATAGTTTAATCATTGTACGATAGATCGAAGACCATAGACATTGACGTTGAACATTAAATGTGATCATAACAGTTACCTGTAATATCTCTATTTGTTGGTGTAAGTCAATATATACTAAAGAAGGTATATGTCAACATCACAAAACCTAACAAACATTTTTTTATATTTTTAGTGTCAAAGTAGAATAACTTTTAAAAATTATTGAAGAGCAACCGAGTGCAACTGAAAATTGTGCACCTGACTGTTAAATCACAAAAAATGTGCTTAAGTACTGTCACGTGGAAGCTACTGATGAAATTTTGTGGAGAAGATGTGACGGTGTTGAAAAAGTTTCTAAATATTCCTCAAGATAAACTCTCTCATCACTTGTGGTGCAGCAGAGTCCAAGCCAGCTATATCAAGCATTCCAGGATCATCTGGGTCAGCAATAGTGAAACCATTTGATGTCATGGCAACTACAATGAGTTTGGCATCATGAATCCCTTGATGCAGACGGTATTGTTCGAGAGCCTCCCTTAGATGAACATTGCCAAAATATGTTTCAGAGTCTGTGTAAACAATAAAGACATCAATCTTCAAATTGTTGTCAATGGCATAAAGCATGGCCTGAGCGCAGTCTGTATAACCCATTGGAATCTAAAAAATACAATATAAAATCAACACTTTCACTAGATGCTCGAAAACAAAACACAGACACATTTTTGAAGGCGTTGCATTTGCATGCCATTCCCATAAACAAGATAATTAACAATTTCACATAAGAAAATTAGCTACATTCTAAAATGCTTCCCAAAACAATTCTCAAAAATAGTGTTGGAAAAGTCCTCTTGGCTTTTCAGCACCTGACTGAATAACGCTATGGAGACCGTATCTTTTGACACATTTATTGAACATACTTATAGAACATCTTCAATTTACTTACTTCTATTTATATTAATTTTTAAATTAAGGAAACAATTAAGTACACACCGTTTGTGCAAGAGAGTTTCCCTTGGCTTCCATTCATTGTGTATATGTTGTAGCATCCATGAAAGAAGATCCTTAAGTTTAACATCCTTAATTTTGTTCAAGCCAACAGGTTTTCCATGAAACAAGTTTTTCAGTGTATATTGAGGGTTTCCAAATGGATGTTTCGCTTTTGTTGCAACGAAATAAGCCACCATTCCTGCATTCTAAATTCGATAAAAAAACGTAACAGCGTAAATAGGATATTAACAATTATTTTACCCAAAAAAGCGTACTTATTCATATCACTATGCATGTTCTATGCAAAAAGAGCTTATCAGAAACAGAACCTACGTTAAATCTCGATGGCTCAGTGACTCTTTATCTACAACGTAAGATTCAGGAGCAATCCAATATTTAGTTCCCTTACTAACATTGCTTATATAAGTCTTACAACCATTCTTCAATATTCGACTAATACCGAAGTCAGCTATCAGAAAATATCCTTCGGCGTCTCGAAGAACATTATCAGGCTTTAAATCGCGACGAAGAATAGCATTTGCTTTTCTATGAAGATCATCTAATCCTTTTAAAATTTGTCGGAGAATTTCGGGAAGGGATTTTTGTAGTGTTGTCAAACTATTTGATCTGGACTTCACAAAATCCTGCAGTGATTCTTCACATAGATCAAGTATCCAATAGACAAAATCAGTTCTACTCTCGTGATTTATTTTGTGATATTTTAGAACATACTTTGAGTTCTTTTTGTTGATTTCATTTAAAACTGTTGTTTCTTGCTCAAGATTGCGGCAGTTATCTCGAAGAATTCGTTTCACTGCCTTACCGTAACCATCCTTTCCCAGTCCAAGAAAAACACTGGTTCCACCGCTTCCTTCGCCGATGCAAAACTCTTCAGAGAAAATTGCTCGTACATCGTTTATACCTTTAACTTTGACATTGGGATCTGGTTTACTGAGTATCGAATTTTTATGTTTTACTGAGTAGCCAATGAAGCAAAAGTATATTACATTTGCGAAGAGTAAAATTTGAACAATCACATGAATAAAAAGAGCTCAAGTTTATCTCACGCACCGAAAATTTGGACCCAAACTTACGACATTTATATTGTGTTATAACCGGAAGTCAAAATTGATTGGAGCTCAAGTTTATCTCACGCACCGAAAATTTGGACGCAAACGTACGACATTTAAATTGTGTTATAACCGGAAGTCAAAATTGATTGGAGCTCAAGTTTATCTCACGCACCGAAAATTTGGACCCAAACTTACGACATTTAAATTGTGTTATAACCGAAAGTCAAAATTGATAGTCAAAAATCTAGGCATATTATTTTACAACTTGAATTGTAATATTATACGTTTATAGTCTAACATATAATTGTTAATTTTGCAAAGTAATGGAACAATCACACGACTATACACTTTTTTAACTCATTTTGAAGCTGGCCTTTAACCGGAAGTGATATTGAATGAATAAGAGGTTCAAAAATTCGTATTTTTTTAAACAGCCATAACTCAACCACCGTTTAAAATATTGACCTCAAACTTTGCATGTGTTCATGTTGTACATATATCTATCATTTGTGTAAAAATGAGCAAAATCGAATATTTTAGGTTATATTTTGCCAAAAAATATGATGATTTGACATGAAATTACCCAGCACAGCAATGTAGGGCTCATATGTGTTGACACATAATGCAAGTAAATTGAGTACCCATGAATCTTATATTGCAGGACGGGCATGGGCTATTTGCTTGATTTTTTCCGGAGATCCGCCAGCAGTTCTCCCACCTGCAATATATATTACAACACAATAGGCTACGAGAATACAAAGCCATGTGTTGATGAAGTACCTTATGTACAGCATAGAGAGATTATTGCAAGGGTGTTGTATATGTTCCATGCTTAATGGAGACTTTCTACTTGAGAGAAAATGCTTTGATGCAATTGCTCCCTTTTCTCTAACTTTCATTACTACCAATAAGTATTTGTTTCAGCTCTTAGAAAAGATTGGACGACATAATTTACAGTGCATTGCAAGCCAATCACAGCGAAGGTCCTGCATGACGATGTTGGTCTCAGTTAGATAGACATTGCATGATGCCTTGGCATCTGTGAGAGAACTCTAAGAAGGTGGCGGTATCAGCTTTTTCTCACTGTCAACAGAAATTTTTTAAATTTGAGCAATGAGGAACTACGTAGTTTTATGGAGACCAACATCTTCAGAGCAACTTAGCCACTGGTTGAGTTGCAATGCGTCTATTGGCTGTAAAAACTGCACAAAGAAAACTTTCTTTGCTCTAATTTGTTCATTTTCAGTGCACGATCGTCCTCTTTCCGATGCAAAAATGTCGCACGAACCTCGTGGGGCTTTGTAAAATTGTTCACATGCATCCTTGAAATTCTCTATAGAAAGTTCATAATACAAAATAAAACAAATTCTGAAAACGGACATCTCGTTTTCTTGATATTCAAGATAATACAAGAGTTTGAAACAAAAGATGGTGTAATATTTCGTCTTTATTCCAAAGATATCATCAGACTAATGAAAGTTCATCATACTCGTCAAACGGAAAAAGTCTCTTGTATCAAGTGATTCACATTTTTTTGTCATCCCGAAGGTGTTGAAGACATGCGTTGTACCAAGATGTCGCTCGGAGCATTTCCAGATGATTGCTTCGTATTTTTTTCTCCCAAAGATCGTTTCAGAGCGACTCGTCGTTCTAAGTCGTCCCATGTCGTTTTATGCTTAGGATTTCCACGACGCTTCATAATGCCATTGAACTCGTCGCAAAAAAGGCAAATCAAGCGCTTGTCATACTTGTGTGAATATAATCTTCAACTAATACAAGTATGTCATTAATTAATTGTGATATTCATTACATTGGTCCTGTGCAAAAGACTATGGGATGGTTTTATGATATTGATGTCAATGGGCCATGTAAAGTTTCAATATTTGTTCTTGTCCGTAACAGAGATACAAAATAAAAATTTCGAAATCAAACGTAATGTGAAATCAGAATGCAATTATAAATTAAAGTCAATCTTCAAGTAGGAAGCAAACTAGAACTCGTTTTGTATTTGGTTTTGTACGATTAAATAAAATTAAGTTGAAATTAACATTGAGAATAATGTGATCTTTAAGATAAAAGCAATACTACAATGAAATTTGCAATGCAAATTAAAGCTAAAATAATCGTGATACTGTTGGGCCTCCACACAGGTTGACATTATATCTACCCAACAAGTCTTACGAGATACATCATCTCTATCAAAAACTGACACTATCTAATGTGTCACTTATCAGGACGAGCCTCAAGAACCGAGGATTTGCGCCAAAACTAGGAAAATCACGGAGTCATAAGTGGAATTCATACTGCAAGAAGCGCTTTGTCATCTATTTTGGAGTGGCCAAACAATGCAACTTTTGGGAGTCACTTTTCCGTGTCTTGATTTATGAAGGGGTTTAGGAAATCAGAGCAATGCTCCCCAAATACCGTGAAATCTGGGATGTCAAGATGGTTCTTGATTTTTTACAGACTTTGTACCCAGTTAAAGGACTAACCCTGAAAAATCTGACTTTAAAATTCACCATGCTTTTTGCGCTTACATCTGCACAAAGGTGTGAAACTTTACAGAATACAAAAGAGCTCATGTCCTTAGAGGCAGATGTGAACAACTGTTGATCAGTTATTAAAATCCACATAAAGGGGTGACTACGGATACCATATCTTGTGGGCTTAAAGAGGTTCTGAGGAAAGCTGGTATCCAGAACTTTACTGGGCACAGTACAAGAGTTGCACCTTCCTCAGCGGCTAAAAGATCAAATGTGGATCTTGGGACTATTTTACAAGCAGTTGGCTGGACTAATGACAAAACTTTTAGTATATTTTATAACAAGCCACTTGCAACAGACACAAATTTTTGTCAAGCTTTGCTTCAGACAGCTTTGCTGCACAATGCTTGAAATGAACTTCGTTCCCTATTATATTCTGATTTTTTACTGAAATAAACATTTTGTGGCACATTTGCTTGTGTAGAATTGAGATTTCAATGCTTTGAATATTTTACATAATTCCTTAGTCACGTGGTGCAATGACGAAATAGAATTGAGAAATTAACCGAGACTTATCTTAAGTGAAAGTTTGATTGTAATTCTATGAGTTATTGCACAAGGAAACTAAGGAGTCGCCCACCCGATTTTCTGAAAAATTTACAATTTAGCCTACTATTCCACCCATAAGTACTTTACACTTGAAATCTCACGCTACTTTGAAGACTGAACACTCCATCCGCGTGTGCATATCTCACATGACTGCTTAGTTTGCTTGTTCAATAACTCATAGAATTACAATGAAACTTTGACTTCAGATAAGTCTCGTTTAATTTTTTTTAATTTTCCTGTAGGTTACTTAAAGAAGACTTGGTCGATATTTTTTGATATCTCTCGATGATAAATATACTAACTCTACAGAGTTTCTTACTTCACATAATGGACCACCTCTTACTTAAGGACAAAAGAGAATAGCAAAGTTGGCAGAACAAGGGCATAGTATTTGTGTTTTTGCTAACATATATGGCATGGACGAGAGAGGGAGGGAAAGAGATTGTAAAAGGGGATGGAGGGAAGTAGAAAGATCAAGATCGGGAGAGGTATAGTATAAGGAGGAGAGGGAGGGGTGGTAAGAGTGAGAGGAGGAGGAAAAAGAGAAGAGGATGAGTTGTAATTGGTTCAGGGGATGTAGTTGTGTGTCGAACGGGGATATCTGACGGTGCATCAGTTATTGCAGTAAAAAAAGGAGTAATCGAAGCTATCGTGGTACCATTTTTTTGGGTCGTAAGTGAGCAGTGGCATTTTAATGAAGAGATCACAATTGAATAAATTACTTAGCTACACATGTTAACAAAAAAGTAGGATTGACATTAAAATAATCAAAATAAAAGTAATAAGGAATTTTTAGCCCAAACGAATACGTCGATGTACCATTTTGTGCAGACGAATAGTTTGAAGAAAGTATTACAGACATTGCTCTAAGCGATAGTTTTATGTATGGTCTTCAATGAATAAACTATTGACTTAATAGCAAAACACTGCAATGTTGCTTGCATTTGCGAAACAAAATGATTTTACAACATGTAAAATATTCACTAATTGTGTACCCGATTTTTCATTGCAGTTCTTAATAGACAATACTTCAGAGAGAAGAATTATAATAGCCTACTCATAAATCACTTCGCAAAAATAAAGTGACAAAAACAAACAAGTTACAGTCGGTTGCCACTCGCAAAATATAAACTTACATTCCATTGAAGACATTATGGCTCCTCTAGTGAAAAAATTTAACATTCCAGAACGTAGTGCAGCTTTGTAGTCCCCCACATACTTGTCAATTACTTTCAAGTCAAAAATTTTCATTTGACTAACAGCCAGTTCCTTTCACACATCTATTGTTTGACAACATAAATTTTATAGTCCTGTGATAATGTGATTGCATTGATATAATAACCTATTGCATTTATCAAAACTTTTTGAAAGCGAGAACTATCTATGCATGCATTAAATATAATTTGAACGCGGAATATAAAACCAACAGTACATAGGTTTTTATAAAATTTTAATAAGCCTTTTCTGATGAAATGATTATTTTCGAGAGTCTCTTGTTTCAATATGTTGCTTTTTCAACGTCGCAAAGTAAAATTTGGATCAAATTTATTCGTTTCTAACTTGTTTTGTGACTTGAACAATTGCATTTTCCCACAGAAAACCCATTGTGCGTTTCCCTAGATGATATTCGCTAATAATTTTACTTTACTGCTAAAACTATGACGTTAAAACTAACAGCATGTTTTCTTCAAAAGCTTTAAACTTTACTAAAAAGTGTAAAATTTACTTCACGTTCTGTACAATGGAGACAACGAACAACTTGTTCTCGAAGCCTTTTCAAAAGTGAGTGGGGAGAGGGGGAGAATAGTACATAGAGCACATGTGGGACGCTAAATTTTACACTATAAACTGTCAATAGAATAAGTGACTAGGCATATTACCCCACCTGGTCTTCCTTTGCTCCGCATTCCTTGTGCTTCAATAAATATGGTAGTTGCGCAAGGTTTCATTTCAAAAAATAACACTATCTCCTATAGCAAAAAATCTTTTGCCGAAATTTTTCTGTCTACATGACACAATGCGCTTCGCTAAGCAGACACATCACATTTCCCAACTGGTGTTCTGTAGAAAATCCTGTACAAATTGACATTCTTTGTTTAAACAACGGGTGACTCTATAGTGAATTGTACTTGACAAAGGGCTCGATTTCAAAACGCTTTATCAATGTATAATTTATAGTGAGTTACTTAAAAAAGCAATTGTTTAAAAAATATTAACGGTTTCTCTGAATCATGGAAGAGTAGCAAAAGATGAAAATGACAGCAATGAAGTGAAAACGACTTTCTACATCTCAACGTAATCCTGAGAAACATCAGCTTAGACATGAAGTTTAATTCATTACAGTTTATTTTAATTGTTTCAAACACAGTCTTTCGAGGGTTTGCACAATACTTAAGTCGAACATCTTGGTTTCCTCAGCGACAAAAGTCTGAAAATCAAGGAACGACGAACAGATATGAGTTAAGGAGACAAATGTCGTCATTTTATGATAATCCCATTGTTTACCAATGGAAGAAACATTTTTCCAGCGACGAAGCGACTGTCCCTTACAGACTTGTTCGGGGCATGCGCAAAAATAATCTGAACAAGCCTGCACACACGATGAGAGAGGCAATTAAGAGATACCAAAAAGCACAAGGATGGCGCTATAAGCTTATTAAAGGTACAGACATGCATTTGATGGATATTTTTAAGGGGAGATGTTGGGAATATCAGAAGCGATTTGCTTTCAAGGAGATCGTCGATTGTACGAAATTGTGGCAAGCGTTTCTTGCGGGTTTTGCTTATCGCGAGCCTTGCGATGTGACGTTAGAGGATTACAATGGTTTTTTTAATATGATCCACGAAGGTCCTCTCGTCAACAAAGTGAGTATGAAATTAAATAGAGCGATGCTGGAAGTCATATCCCTCACCCAAAATCTTTTCCCTCACCCAAAGTCATTTTCCTGACCCAAAGTCATTTCCCTCACCCAAAGTCATTTTCCATGACCAAGATATAGGCACTTTAAAAATTACATTACCTCCTTTAGTCAATGATGTGGTCGGGATCTCGCGAAATAGCCCACGAGCTCTCCAAATTCAACAGTAGATATACAACGCTGGAAGATACATTTGCGGGGTAGGTACTGGAGATTCAAAGAATACATGTAATGCGTAGAAATATTGATTCACTCAAACATCTATGAACTTGTTAAACCTACTTTGAAGCACACATTGACGCCAAAACGTCGATAATTTGGGGAAGGGTATTCATATATGCATGTCTTGCCTGATTACTTTCATTGAAATCAATTGTTTTTCACGAGCTGTCCCCACGAATATATGAATTTTTACCTCCACACTCCAATCATCGCTCTACTAGCGTCCCTGAAAGCAGACACAAATATTACGTAAAAAAACAGATGAATTTTTAAGAGGAATGCAAAAGACCATCGTCTGAGACAACTGGTGGTCTTAACAGGCTTATGTATAAATCTCAAAAGAATCAAAAATGTCCACATTTACTGTTGTCGTAATTTTCAGTTATTTGCTTGATGGCATGCAATGGTGTGGCATGAAAAAGAATCCTGGAGTGAATTACAATTTCTGCCCTTATGAATGCGCAAAACAGAAAGCCTTTTGGGGAGCAGCTGCAGAAAAGGTGAAAAGCCTCAATCAAACTATGACCAAGTACAGTCAAGTTGTTGAGCTGTGTTGCAATTTTTGACCAATGCATAAAAAATGTTACATAAAATATACAATTTAAAGATTTCCCCACTGGTAATGGAACACTCCTATGATTGGATAACAGCTGACCTATTAAGCAATCACGGGTGAATTTACACGGTTTCTTAAAAAAAATGATTTGGTGATGCAACGCTTATTCGATTGGGCAACAGCTGACCTGATTAGCTGGTTTCTTCTGTCAACCAATCATTGGTGATTATAAAAAGTTGCTTGAAAGAAATGAATAATTCAAATTCTAACTTTATGAAAGGAGTAAATTTCACTTTAGTTTTAGGATGCACGATGCATGAAGTTCAGAGACTTTACTAAATTCAACTTTATTTTTGCTGCATCATGTTCGCCATTTTCGATGACTTTGAAAAATAATTGCAAAACGTACAATTCAACCTTCATTAAGCAAGATTATTTCATACCTCTATTTTGGCCATTCTCGAAACTTTAGATGGCACGGAGATCGGAAGGCATAGTGTATGCAGTGCTCAACGGGACAAGGCAGCATTGGTCTGACAAACAGATATTCTCAGCTTACTTGACGGACGGGTAAATGCAATTTGAAATGTTTTTCTTGGACATACATAGCATACATGGAGTATCTCATCAATTTTTGATCACAACACTAGAAATTCACCTTCATCAAACACTTACTGCATTTCATTGCTGTCTTCTATTATTGAAAGTACATTTGAGTTAAGATCCCATTCTTGAAGCAGTTACGTTTCATAAACTTCTTTTTCTACACGTTCAAATGTCTTCCTCCGTCACGTGTAACCTCCAGTCCCACTACCGTAAGCTCAATATTCTCAGTCTTCTTTTCAAATCATCTCAATACATCTCAATCCCATTGTGTACCATATGCAGGTACATGGCAAGGAGTCAAATACCAAACCTCGATCCAAAGAAAGTGACAGAAGTGCGAATTATGGTCGGCCACTCTCTGCATCGTAAAATATTGTAAGTCTTTTGATGACCTTACTCTATATATAAACAGAAAAAATCGACATTCATATTATTTATGTCGACTGTTTATATCAAATATTAAGAAATGCAAAAACAAATTCACTTACTAGATTATTTAATTATAAAAAAAGACATCACTGATTACAATCAACCCAATATTATACAAGTTGTCTGGATGTACCTATGCCTAGTACTAACTCCTTGAAGAAAAGCTTTGCATATGATGGAGCTTCTGTTTGGAATTCAATTCCAAGAGAAATAAAAATAGCAAATGTGTGTCACACTTTCAAAAAAAATTGGTGCTTGCATTTTATGATTTAGTTTAGTATGTAACTAATTCAATAAACTAAACTTTAAAAATATTTAAACTTATCTTTCTCTTCTACAGATATTTTATTTCTTAGTAAATTTTGTAATCGCTTTTGAACAAGAGCACGCCCCTCGTGGAAATCAACCCCAGTTGGCGAGGCCAGCGTGTCAAGCTAAAGATTTTTATTCATTCATTCACATATATTTAAATTAAAACATTTTAAACTTGCCGAAATAACTTCATCCAACCCCACTAGTTTTAATCTAACCACCTTTACCGAACGGTGGGCACCTTTTCCATAAAGTGCCAACTCCATACAAGTTAATCTACCTATATAATTTTTGTAATGCAGTTAGCACTTTATACAAATATCATAATTTATTTCTTTAGAAATCTATAGGCTATGCAGTGGATGATTAACGAAATATTAGCCAATCATGACTGTACGTCTCTGTGACATCTTTTCCACAGAGCTTCAACCTAATACTACTTAATCTATATTCAGAGAGCGATGTGGCATATATTCCATACGGGTTTTACAAGAACAGCTGGAGCTTCAAGGAATACAATCCTCCTGTATTGACGATCCTTTGTAAGTATTCATTGAGATCAGCGCTGCATGTTTCTTTTATGATGGCACATTTACTTGACAAAACCAATATCGCGTATACAGTAAGGAGGTGGGATTCTCGCATTCAAGAACATTTAAAATGTTTATGACATCAATTTTACCATTGTGTGTTTTGATTGCATTTTAAAGACAATTTAAAAGGAGTTATGAACTTCTTCAAAAGCATTGTGTAACTTTATTTCCTCTTAGAGATATTTAACTTCTATTCAATGTTCGCTATCGTTGTGATATCACACGGTATGATTAGCATCAGGAAAAACTAGTTCTTGTCGACAGTTAGCATTCAAAAAGATCTGTAAATTAGGCATCTTTGCAAATATTTATCTACACGTGTATCTATCAAAGTGTTTTATTTATGAATAAAACATTCCGAAAATCGTTTTAAAGATTGCAAATGCCATGGTGAATGATAAAACTAATAAGTTAATAGTTCTTAAAAGAATTGTTTTAAGCAAAGAACACTTACAACAGTTCTTTTAAGAACTATTAACTTATTACTTTTACCATTCACCATGGCATTTGCACTCTTTAAAACGATTTTCAGATTTGTCACCACGAAAAAGTCTCTATTTTATTATAAAACGTTCTAACGATGGTGAAAATTGATAATCTTTAGAAGATTATCATGATGTCATAATGATGATGTCATTTGCTATCATGATGTCATAATGACGATGTCATTTGCATAAAGAAAAAATTTAAATATCGCTAGAAAAACTGCAATAAGTCAATTCTACTGAAGAAGTCATAAAATAATTTTATATGTTCTTTTCAATACAATAAAAAATTGGGGCTAAAATTTTGTGAAATAAATACTTTAAGAAACCTTTGCTTCTTTTACCATTTCTTGTAAAAACATGAAAGTTTATTTGAACTTTTCAAATATTTAGGTCGATTCGAGATCTCCTGTGCATGGACCATCCTGAAGATGAAACATGCCAATTCAAAGTGACTAGTTTAATGAAGTAAGGAAAACTTTTACCATGGGGTGTCGTGCTCTAGGCTGCGAAAAAAATAAACTAGAAGTCTTGGATATCTAGCTTAATGAAGTAAGAAAAACTTTTACCATGGAGTGTCGTGCTCTAGGCTGCGAAAAAAATGAACTAGAAGTCTTGGATACATTATAGAGATTGACTTGTGAAACCTTCAAGATTAAAGTCTGTAGATCGTGCGCAGAAAATCACAAATGAAGCGATGACAGTCGATGAGCTAGCTGTAATGTTGCTTTCTAAATTTAAGTGAGGGAGAGGCTCTCATGACTAGTTTCAAGCCGTGAAATCGAAAAAATCGTCATCACATGACATCATAGATGTTCACAACGTGCGACTGAATTCATTGACAGTTGACTGACCACACAAATGATAACTCAAAAGCGTTTCGACTCAAAATTAAAATTTGAATAGGGCCTTTATCAGAAAGCCAGTTCAATTTCAAAAGAAATCAGTCGGGCACAACTGAATATGTGAATACAGCTCCCCCTTCCCCACTCGCAATTAACGCTCTAGCTACGGCCTTGACCTTTATGTTTGGAATAACTTCCACTCATAGTCATACTGTGTTCGAGCAAGGCAATATAGTGTTTATAATAGATTATAGATTTTCGAGTGTAGAAGGGGGTGCTCACGAAAGAGTGTGTATGAAAAATGAAAAAAGAGGCTCTGCCCTTCCAAGAAAGCGCTCATCTATTTCTACAACGCTTGCTGGCACTGATAGAGAAAACAGTATAGACAAATAAATTATCAACATCGCGTATTTATTTAATAGCAGCTCGTCATCAGTTGTACAGAAAATGAAATCACAAAACAAAACAGCACCAAACATAAACATAACTTTTACTATACGATAAGAGTGGTTATATGATATTAGGAAAGAAATTTGTGTATTATTATTACAAGAGTGGTGCGTCATTTTTAACTATTTCTTTTTACATATCATTTGCACGGGACTCATGCAATGAAGCTCCAAAATCCAATTACAACCGGGACTGCAACAGGATGGATTGGCATAATAGTCAATACCACAACCTAAAAGAATATTAAAGTAAACGGTTTGAACCCTGGAGTATCGTTACATGTTTGTGGATGTAGATCGTCTAGGTTGGTATAGTCCTGACTTTTTTGTTGATGTTGTCTGATGTTTCGACAACCTTAGCGGTAGTAATCTTCAGAGTCAAGCTCTGTCGTTCAAATGATCTTAATAAAGTAGATGACTACCGCTAAAGTTGTCTGATGTTTCGACAACTTTAGCGGTAGTCATCTTCAGAGTCAAGCTCTGTCGTCCAAATGATCTTAACAAAGTAGATGACTACCGCTAAAGTTGTCGAAATGTCAGTCAACAGCAGTCCTTCTCAGGACTCTACTAACCTGGACGATCTACATCCACAAACATGTAAAAGAATGTTACGTAATTTAATGTAACAAATAAACAGAATGGCACAGTAGTCAATAACACAACCTAAAGGAATATTAAATGATAATAACAAGATGGAGTAGCGTGATAGTCAATACCACCTTCTGAAAAAGGTATTACAAGTGGTAACAGTATAAATTCTCCCGCTGTGATTGGTCAGAATCTTAGACAACTTCGTTTTCATTGGTTAATACCCAACTACGTGCAATTCTGAAGTTCCAAGAGTTAGTGAGATCCTATTTGTCAAGTGACTCAGATTGCCTTAAAAAGGGGAGGGGGGGGGGAATAATAACTAGATAGGTGAACTTTTTAAGACGGGACGAATATGAAAATAAGTAAGCGGGATTTTCTAAAAGCCAGGAAGAGCTAGTAGAACTCAAAAAATGCTAAAGATGATAAAGGATTCAAAAATGAAACCTAAAGAATGGTAATATTGAATTAATGATAGGAATGTTGATTCCAAGTTTTGTAGAATCTTGAAGTGAAGAACAGAAATTTGCACAATCACGAAAGCAAAATCGAAATTCGGCTCACGGAATTCAGAATCCGAGTCAGCATGCAGTCGAAAAACTTAAAGCTAAATCATATACTCTGAGCTACCAACCTCTTTTTTGTTTGACTTCGTCGAACTGCATGAAATCATTTGAGCAGTCTATTGAAGACTTTGCGAGATCAACACCGGCTTTGACTAAACCATTTATTTCCTTTTGGGTGCATCCGCTAACACCTAGATGTACACACACATCACGAGATTTCTCCCATGAACAATGCATGCACAGAATACCTATACAGTCCTAAAAACTTAACAGGAAAACAGAAATCTTCAAAATAATTTCGATGCTTCATCTTACCTCGTCTGAAAAGATAGTCAGCGAAGTAATTTCTCGATCTTGAGGCTGCTGTAAAAATTAAAGGAAAAAAAGTTGCACAATTGGCTTCCATTTGAGCATACGAAAATTGCTTATGGAGAATTGAAATTGAATGTACATTGAAGCTCAGTCACAGCTGTTTGTGCGTGTTGAGATATTTTGTGCTGTAAATGTATTTTGGAAGATGTTATTTTGATAAATAAATTTAACAGTGTCATTCAACATAGGGTAGAACGCGATATAAACGTCTATGTCATAAGATGATTGCTAAAAACATGTTATTTGCAAGCAGTCTGTTTTCTGATTGAGATGTTTTTGCGTCAAAAATTGACAGTCCGGGTAATCATCTTTAGCTAATGATCTTAGATCTTAACTATTTCAATGACAAAGTGTGGTTTTTTCGACCCATAACTCGTCAGGTTAAGAGACAAGATATCAAAGATTATCAGCACAAGAGAGGACATTTTAACATTCCCCATGGAAGTATTCTCATTAGACTAAAGTAGGCTCCTTTTGAAGAAAACAGACGGTGAAATGAAAACTTATAAGAAAGGACTTCAAGAGAGGACTTTTCAGAAATTGCGTTTCATAGACGGGACATATCTTAAAATTTTGCTGATTTAGCTAAAACTAACTTTGAAAGATACAATTCGAAAAGCGGAATTTGCAATCATTGCAAATAAATCTTGAGGCATTTTTACTGATGTATCAACTTATTTGTCCTTGCAAAAGTTCAAAATGTTGGAAAGTGGAAATATCTGGTACATAGCGAAAGCTATGTTGTTAATATGATAAAATACGAGGAAAAATTTGCAACAGTTTAACAGACTTACCTGATAAAGTGGTCAGCGCCATTAGGAAAAGCAATATCGTCTTCTTATTGTTCATTTCAATGTTCGAAAACAAAACGGGAACAGAGCGAAATGCGAGCAACGTATGGACACTAGGATGTCTGCCACCAGCGCCAACCGGAATAAAAATGTGTTTAACTGCTGAAAGAACACGGCTTTTTAAAGTTTACGATCGCAATTAATAATAATATTTATTTGCGCGGTTTCAAATTAAGTTTGACATATCAACATAAAACCTTAAATTATGGCATAATTCAGCTGTTGCTATTTAATGACCGCGCAATATTAATGTGGAAAAGAAAACAAGAAAAAAATTAATGAGACATAGCTATATCTATACAAACCAATTTTTTTCAAATGGAAAAGAAAACAGGAAAAAAATTAACGAGACATAGCTATATCTATCAAACCAATTTTTTTCAAATGGAAAAGAAAACAGGAAAAAAATTAACGAGACATAGCTATATCTATACAAACCAATTTTTTTCAAATGGAAAAGAAAACAGGAAAAAAATTAATGAGACATAGCTATATCTATACAAACCAATTTTTTTCAAATGGAAAAACTTGAACTTAGAGCTTCTTATGGGCGAAGGAGAACGTTAAATACGCGGTGTCGATGATTTTAAAACATGAAGATGAAAATTTGGCTTTTCATTTAGGCGATAATCAATTATAATGCCAATAGTGTGAAAATTTTGAATATGTCAGAAATTTTTATTGGGTTTTCTGATTTTGATGGGACAAGACGTTTCGCAAATAAGCGGGGAATTACATCTATAGACCATCGCAGATTTAGCTTAATAAGAGATAGGATGTTCCAAAAGAGATATTGTGTATTTTGAGTGACAGTTTGCTTTGTGTGGGTCGCATGTATATGGTAGGGAAAAAAGTCGCCAATATGTGTGGAATTTTGGTCATTGTCAGCTGAAGCCATTGCAATCAATTTTTTATGATCGCGGTAGCCATTATCCTTGTTTCTTATCATCAGCACGACTTTTCATGGTTTTATCGATAAAAAGTACTGGGAAGAAATTTTTAGCCGTTTCAGAAGGTGGATGCACAGTCCTATCAGTCAATTCCTGATATAGTGCTGTTTTGTGTGTAAAAAACTGAACTAATTCATCAATAGTCCTATGATAGGTCCGCCATGATGAAAGTATCGAGTGATTTTGTTAGTAAGATTCATAAAATAGCAACAGGTCTGTTTGCTCAGTTTCAAAGAAAAATTAAATGTTTGCTTCCAGCTTCTACGTCATTCCTTTGCATTGCATTAGAATTCAATAATATTTGTATCTGCTATCAATGTATCATAAACCACAGCTTGCTCGATGGCGAACAAGATCTTTATCGTGCAGAGAATACAAAATTTTCGGTTCGGTAAATAAATTATCCATGTCGATTATTTGATAAATTTAGTAGGATTAACTCGAGCGGGCGCTTTTAATGTAAGTATAGCGTCTCGAAAAATTGTCTGCTCTCGAAAACTCAAGCTGTGTGAGACGGCTTTTACTTTATAAAAAGCCGCTAAACAGCCTTATAAAAAACACTTCTCGTAAAAAGCAAGTTATATTGGATATTTTTGATATAAATGAAAAATACTCTTGGATTTCATAAGAGTTAACATCTGATACAATACTTGTGCTGATAAAGTTGCAAAACTAGAACTGTGAAGGCTGCAAACTAGAACTGCTCGTGTATTTTCGTAAGACAATTTCTTTTTAGTGTATTGATCACTTTGTTCTGTTTATTTTTTTTTTCTTCGTGCCGAAGCGAAATTAATTATGCAGCATTTTAAGGTAAATTCATCTAGGTAGAAAACAAAATTCGAAAAGGCGCGGCTAGCGGTGTTTGTAGGTAGGATTTCGGTTTTTGATGGCGATTGAAGTCATAAAAAATTGAAATGACTTTTGATTTTTTTAGTAAAATCAAACCAAGGAACGATGGCAATGAAAATATTTTTCTAACTTTTAAGAAACAATTTAGTGTTGCTATCACTGACGTTATTGTTAACATAATTGTTACAACAAGAAAGGCATACGTCAAAAAATGGAACCTGCAAGGTCTCGTTTCTGCGGACCCCCAGAAGTGAAACTTCAATTACGCTTCTATTTTGTTTTCATAACACACACTTTTTTCAAAACACACCTTTTTTTCAAAAGATACGCTTTATTCAAAATACGCATTTTTTTCAAGACACACGTAATACCGCAAAAATTCCAAACCGCGTGTTCGGCAATGTTGAAAATAAATACAACTTTGCACGTAAGAATAGCGTAGTTTCTCGTGTTCAAAACGCAGTAGACTGCTGACATAGCGACATTTGGTTAAAATATAACATTGTACAAAACTATGCTTTGAAAACCACCTGTAGTGCGATGTCGCTGGCAATATTTAAGTTGAATAAAAAAAAGCGTTCTATGTTTTTAAAACATTATATTTTTATGACGGTTGTAGCCTGACTTAATTGTTATAGTATTTAATATAGTAATTATTGTATATTTCTTCGACGTTGTAGCCTGACTTAATTGTTATAGTATTTAATATAGTAATTATTGTATATTTCTTTGACGTTGTAGCCTGACTTAATACCCGTCGAGGGCTGTAGACTGACACCCGAAAGCTCGTAAAAATATAATACTTTAAAAACATACAACGCCTTTTTATTCATCATGAGCAATCCTGCTCACGCACCTTATATTTTCAAATACCTAAATTGCCGCTATGAACGTCGTCTTGGTTTACTTTAATGAAAAACCGCATTGGAAGAGGTATGATTGTAATATGGCAGAACCAAAAATCTTAAACTGAAACAAAATTTTTTTGTACATTCACGCAAAATTCTTGTTAAACATATTGATTTTGTCTAGTTTCTGGCAACCGATTAAGTCACTTTACGGAGGAACTAAACTATCTATGATTCATTGAATTTGCAAGGAATCTTAATTTTATAAATGACGCTTTTTGAAAAAGATACATCAAGCACACCTGTGAAACGGGAGGGTGGGTGAGGAAGTGGTTGGGGTAAGGGAAAACTCATATTATTGTGACAAGACAAAACAATAAGACTTAATCATTTCGTACCTTGTTTCGTGGACCTTTTTAGAGTCGGAGCTGCTCTTTACGTCCAGCCTTTCTTTCATTTCAGAAGAACCCAACATAATCAAGCTCGAACGAGTCTGTATCAGGCAACTTTGTCATAAATAGATATAATGAAACCAGTTTTGATAGATGTTACGTTATAAAAACGAAAGGAAGTTGAGACTTTGACTGTGTAAGAAAGTTAAATTCATGTCAATATTATTTTCTAAAATAATGAACGACTCTTTCGTCCAAATTCGTCGTCACGACGTTTCGAACCAGTTAAATTTACTTTACAGACACGCTCTCCGTTTCTTTGCAACAAATGTTGAAGCACAAGTAAAATTACAAGTTACTTACACCATATGGCCGAAAACTTCGACCATGATTTCGATAGTAATCGTTGGATATTTGCCATAAATGCTGTCTTTTTTAAGATTAATACTCAATGCTCATACTCAAAACCTGAAGCATTGACAACTTTTCTTCGTGTGCTTCACCATCATTACATGCACGTGAACCAAATTACTTTGAAGTTCAAACTCGAACAACTCCATACATAAAGTCAGTAAAAAACCCCAAACAACGCCCATAGAAAAAGACTAACCAACTTGCGGTTGACTAACAAATCAGTGTCATGTTTGCTTGTCAAAGATATATAATATATGTTGTTTGTGAAGTTTTTTGTTCTTTAACGAGTCAATATATCAAAACAGAAGCAAATTAAGAAGCGGCCATATTGGTGTTTTAAGCAAAACTTCATTAAGTTTATTTCAACTTGTGCAGCAATGTCACCAACATGGCGGTTATGACGTCTACTTTAAAAGTTCTATTTACTAGCGTTCACTTCAACATTCATTTATTATCAAACGCTTCGTGTGTGCAGAGAGCAGGCTGTGAGACAAACTCCCTGCTAAACCAAAAGATATTCTAGAATTGTAGCAAAACTCAGCTTACTACACAAAGAATTATATGTTGAAACTCAGAATGTGTCATCAAACCATGTTGAATGTTCTCAAATTTTTTTTCTCATATTTCATTTTGCCTGAAGACAGTGAAAATTTACCAAAGAATTGTTGAAGCTTTATTCGCAGTTCACCCACAGAGAATAAAAATGGTTGATTTATTAGATTTTGCAACACAAAATAAAAGGTTCTACCGTTCTAGATACGTGAGGTTTGAGCAACTGTCTCAAAACAAACGCGTAGACGGTTGTGATGGAATTGTCTCAATTTGATGCACTAAGGAAATTTAGAAATGCAATAATTGCAGTGTAATTTTATAAACTGATAGGAAACTCTTCTGAATTTCATCAAACGGTAATACTTTTAATTTGGTCTAATACTAAAATGCTTTAATAAATGAAATAACAAGATTCGATTTCCAAATACTAAACATAGATGCGTGGAGGTCTGGGAAGAGTGAACTCATTTCAAAAGCACAACATGACGTCGCGGAGATGATAATTTCAGTTGTCTACCTGCTTCAATGCCGACACGAAATGTTTATTGCAGAAATGGAAAAAATATTAAAATTTAATAAAAAGTGTTGTGTAATTTTAACTAATTCATAAAACAGCTTTATGATATAGGATATAATGAAAACAAATGAACATGTTAAGAAGCCGACATTAATACTTAATCTTCGCCATAGGGCAGAAATAACTACACCAAGACATCATATTAAGTAGAAAATAACGAATTCATCATGCCAGTGAATTAATAACTGCGAGCACAAGAGATAATCGTCTACAACACGAAAGTTACTCACCATAAACAAGCAAGCCAACTATGATAGCCTTTTCCTAAATGACAGCATAATTTTCGAAAGGGGAATTTATATTCAAGCACCAGGCTTGACTTCAAAAACCTTGTGCTTTCTGTATTAAATTTAAAATATACAAGGTCAATTTGTTTTTTTCCCCACTCGAACAATTAGATTAATGAATTTTCAATGAAAATTTGGGAATACCAATTGATACACGCATTAATCTTTAAATAACTCAAAAAAATTCGTCTTCAACGTCCATTCTTATACTGTCGAGGAAACTTGAATTTCTTTTTTTCATCTTTTGCCGCTGATTTTCGTACATTTTCTGTTTTTCCTAACGACAATAAACGACAAATGCATTAAACAAAAAAATTCCGAAGAATTTCCTAAACGTGAAAGCTTTTCCAATTACTAATTGCAACTGTTTTTGTACAAAAAGTCTAAGAAAAAACCTCTTTGGTTGCGGTATCTCTTTTACTAGACGAGGGAACGCCATTATCAGTTCGAGAGGCACCCAATCGACGGGCGGATGCGGGCCGTGAACCAGTCACCAATCGTTTATCAGAAATGCCGTTGGAATCGCCTGTTTCGTTATCCTGTTTCCATCAAGTGAGAAAAATGGAACATCATCAAAACATAGCTACATTCCAGATGTTACATGATGATAATTTTAGTCACGTGCACCAAAAATTTGTCAAAAAAAACAGATAAGGAAAAAAATACGAAAAAAAGGTGACGATAATTTTGATTTATACGAACTCGTGCCCATCTGACATCTGGCCCAAACTTTTCATTTTTGATTGAGATTGTTTCTCTTCTGCTTCCGATTATTTTACAAGGGTTCCCAAACATCCATGAACACACATACCATACTTAAATCACTGTGGTTCCCATATATCCACATCAACACATACAGCATACTTAAATCACTGTGGTTCCCATATATCCACATCAACACATACAACATACTTAAATCACTGTGGTTCCCATATGTCCACATCAACACATACAACATACTTAAATAACTGTGGTTCCCATATATCCACATCAACACATACAACATACTTAAATCACTGTGTTTCCCATATATCCACATCAACACATACAACATACTTAAATCACTGTGGTTCCCATATGTCCACATCAACACATACAACATACTTAAATCACTGTGGTTCCCATATGTCCACATCAACACATACAACATACTTAAATCACTGGGTTTCCCGTATGTCCACATGAACACACACAACATACTTAAATCACTGTGGTTCCCGTATGTCCACATCAACACATACAACATATTTAAATCACTGAGGTTCCCCTACATCCACATCAACACATACAACATACTTAAATCACTGGGTTTCCCATATATCCATCAACACACGTAACGCCACAATCACTCAGAATCCCATATACCCATTAATACACGCAACATACCTCAAGATCGTCGTCACTAATCCATTTTTCCTCGCGGTTCGCTGAACCTCCAGTAATTTTATCAATTGCTCGCGAAGGCCCGCTCTCTCCTTCGTCCGCAGTCAATTCCGTGCTACAAACGCATAAACACAAATCAAAAGTAATGAATTGAATGATAAGACCTAAAAAGGTCACACTTATTTAGACTTCTTTCAATAAGCTAACCACGTGCTTTCGTCGAAATTGAAAAGCATTGGCAACGATAAAGGAAGGCGAACCCGGCCCTTGCAGACAAAGAAACACATGTTAAAGAAATCGTCGAATGATCCAGGAACAGTGAAGGACAGTTTATGAAATATGGGGGGAGGGGGAGGGGGACTTTTCCTCAAAGCATGAGATTTCTAAAGAGATCCTGAGGCATACCCATTAGTACACTTCTAAAATTTGATATTGAGAAATTTAATTTAAGGATTCCAACACACACATAGACCCAAACACAAGAATGTTTAACGCGTCTGCCGGTATGTGTGCATCACAGCTATGTTATGTATAGGTGTGATTTAAGGGATTTGGTGCAAGATTTTTACTCTTTCAAAATTATTAGGGGCGCTCGAGCCCCTCGCCACCCCCCTAGTGTCCGCTACTGTGCAGGAAACACGAATGAAACGCAGTTGTTAAGCCTTCTTGGTGATCCAAACTGCAAAATTCGTAGTGAAGAATGGTAATTCCTACTTTTTCTGCCTCCTTCCTTCATACGTCATGAGATGTGACAATGTACTGTCGTGTTTCTTCAATTCATTTTCTAAATGTGTAAAAAAAATCGATAAAAAATAACACAAGACTTTTTGCAATGACATCAATAAAAAATAAAAATAAACTACACTCACTGAACAGCTTCAACAATTTTGCCACATCATAACAAAAAATAAACTACACTCACTGAACAGCTTCAAAAAATTTACCACATCGTCATAACAAAAATAAACTACACTCACTGAACAGCTTCAAAAAATTTGCCACATCGTCATAACAAAATAAAACTACACTCACTGAACAGCTTCAAAAAATTTGCCACATCGTCATAACAAAATAAAACTACACTCACTGAACAGCTTCAAAAAATTTGCCACATCTTCATAACAAAAATCAACTACACTCATTGAACAGCTTCAAAAAATTTGCCACATCTTCATAACAAAAATAAAACTACACTCACTAAACAGCTTCAAAAAATTTGCCACATCGTCATAACAAAAATAAACTACACTCACTGAACAGCTTCAAAAAATTCACCACATCGTCATAACAAAAATAAAACTACACTCACTGAACAGCTTCAAAAAATTTGCTACATCGTCATAACAAAAATAAACTACACTCACTGAACAGCTTCAAAAAATTTGCCACATCGTCATAACAAAATTAAACTACACACACTGAACAGCTTCAAAAAATTTTCCACATCGTCATAACAAAATAAACTACACTCACTGAACAGCTTCAAAAAATTTGCCACATCGTCATAACAAAATTAAACTACACTCACTGAACAGCTTCAAAAAATTTGCCACATCGTCATAACAAAAATAAAACTACACTCACTGAACAGCTTCAAAAAATTTGCCACATCGTCATAACAAAATAAACTACACTGACTGAACAGCTTCAAAAAATTTGCCACATCGTCATAACAAAATTAAACTATACTCAATGAACAGCTTCAAAAAATTTGCCACATCGTCATAACAAAATAAAACTACACTCACTGAACAGCTTCAAAAAATTTGCCACATCGTCATAACAGTATTCCTATGGAAACACAAAACAAATGATTAGAATTGCGCGCCACTTCTAAATCGTACTTCTTCCCAGTAATAATACCGGGTTCGAAAAAGCTGTTTATAATTAAACAGCTACGTTTAAGTAGAACAGAAGAAAGAACAACGACAGAAAAACTATGAGCACATGTTATAGATGACTTGTCTTGTTTACGTTTTTCTGGCAGGCAGATTAACCCAAGAGAGGTTGATCATTGTTGCTAATGTTGTCCAAAACCACTCGACCAAATCTGCCTGCCAGCAAAATGTAAACAAGGCAAGTCGTCTATAGTACATACCTCAGCAATGTCACAGGGGGTTCGACCATTAACGTCGGTGACGTCATATTTCGCTCGGTTTGCGAGCAGCCATTTCACGCATTCAACGTGTCCACTAAAAATTATACAGGGTATTTGTCTTCGGAAAATTTGTGTAGCTATTCAATTTAAAATTTACCTCATTGCAGCTAGATGTAACGGTGTGTATTCGTCAATAGTACGACAGCTTATCCCGGCACCGAGAGCATATAACACCTAAAGATTTAAAGCTTTTGTGGGAAGAATTTTCTCTCAAATTGCAATTGTGACATTCACGATATTTTGGCGAGCGTTTGACAACATAGAGTGTTTTGATGTGACGACAAAGCAGTTTTGTTAGCGGGTTTCTTTGAAGTGGCCGACATTATCTGAGTTGAAAATCTTCAGATAAGGGCTTCTCCCCATAAAGGTTTTTTCCCAACATGAAGCGTTTTTTCCCAAATTCGATAAAGCAAACATAACCCTTCAAGATGATAGCACTATCATATCAGCACCATTCAACTAAAATACATGGAACACTACCTGTAATACAAAAGCGTAATAATTTTTTGAAGCCAAAGTTTACACCCAGACACGCAAGATTACACCGAGACACGGGTATGTAAGTTCAATTAATTTTCACCCCGCAAGAGAATCTAGAAACATTACACACGCGTGTCTGGGTGTAATCTCGCGTGTCCGTTTGTAAGATTTGGCTTCAAGAATTTGCTTCAGGTAGCGTTCCATGTATTTTAGTTCAATGATCCGTACCAAGAAACTGCCATTATTGTCAATGTAAAACACATTTTCCGATTCAAAAGTGACCTAAATGTTAATTTCATGGAGAAAATCCAAAGCAAGTAAAACAGACTTTGATGATCCCTTGAGGCAGACTTACCATCATGCAGTTCACGTGACCATTCATTGCAGCAAGATGCATGCTGGTATATCCCGTCGGTGTCTCTTGTTCCAGGTTATGGTCGCTGAATGTAGCAAGAAGTTTAACACATTCAAGTTGACCACGAGAACAGGCGATGTGTAATGGGATCCAACCCTTTTCATCCGTTTGGTCTTTCAATGATGGATCGTGCTGAATGAGCATTCGAACTCTGTCCAAGTTGCCAATGGATACGGCAAAGTGAAGAGAGGAATCTGAAAGAGAAAAACATACAGTGTACTCTCGTATCCCTAACAATCCTAATGTTGTAGGTGTTTCATCTTTTTATGTTCATTAAGTTCAAAAAAGTTTGTTCGTGTAGTTTGATCGTCTATATTTCCAAGTTTATGGTTAAGCTCAAAAAAACTCAACGTCGCAAGGTAAGATAAGCCATCTACATTACGGGTTCACCAAAATGCACCACGCTGTGCAACAAATGTGTTATTAAAGAAATAAAAAAAAGTTTGCTGTGTTTGCACAGGTTTATGCAAACGAAAAAGACCTTCGGGAGAACTATGGAGAAGATCAATGCAAGCCTAGTACCAAAGGTCCAGTTTGCAAAAGCCAGTGCAAAACACAAAAAATCTTTCATTTCTTTAAAATAACAATAATGCAAATGTTTTAATTTTTCCTGTAATATGTATTCATGATTGATTTGCAAATGCTCTTCCATTGATTTAATTGATTGAGCTAAGATCGGTTTGCACAGGCTAATGCAAACTCAGCTATAGACCAATTAGCGCACGCGTTTTTTGTTTTTATTTAATAATAAAATATCACCTTTCTTTGATACAAACTCTTCTTCGTCATCTTCATCATCAACGACAGACTCACGCTCAGAAGTATCGTCTTTAGCTGTTTTTTCAACTGATTCCTTTTCATCCTCACTCGCTCGAACGCCAGCCATAAAGCCCGCCATATAATCTTTGTTTGATGATTCATCATTTTTGCTATCATCCTTTGCGGTCTAAAGAAAAGTGCCTCTTAATACAGAACACTCGCACACAGTGGCTTTTGAACATGACAAAATCAAGCGAAACAAGAGTAGATTTCCATGGAAAGCAACCAGACACATAATGTTTAAAGATGCTACATACTGCTCACAAAACGACCACGTAAAATAATAGAAAAAATGGATACGTGAACTTACCATTTCACCTTCTTTTTTACTTCCACTATCGTCTTCATACCATTTTGTTTTATCTGTTTCCTTCTTGAGCTCGCTGCGTCCTTCTGCCAGTTCATTTACATCCGTTAGCTCGTCAAGATCAGAGCTGGAGGGAGACGATTGATGAGAACTACTTTCAAAGATAGGCAGAGCAGAGTTCATCTCGAGCTCAGGTTTCTTCTTCTTTTCAACTCCAAGGTCATGATGTATTGGCTCATTTTTATCTGATTTCACAGACCAAAAATCATCATCTTCTTTCGTGCTTTCGACCTCAGCATTTTGACTGTTGGAACTCTCAGTCTTCGTCCCTTCCTCTGGACGACGAACTTCTGCAAATTTTGTCTTCAAGCTTCCGTCATCCGATCCCTCGGAACTGTACTTCTCGTCATCCTCTGTTGAATTTTCAGGTTCTGAAATTTCGGACGAGTTGTGGGACCTCTCCGATTCAATCTTTACGGGTTTTTGCGTTTTCCAATTCTCAACACCATGCTTCCATCTCTCCTTCGTCTTTTCCCCTTTAAATGAAACTATTTTCTTTCCACTTTCGTGTTTTTTATTTGTTTCCTCCTCGTCTGACGATTGCCTTCCTTCATGCGTTATCGCACGTTCTTTACCAGATCCCTCGCCATCATGCCTTTCATCGCCGCTAGAGGATGAGCTATAGCTGGTACTCGATTCTTCATCATCGGAACTCGGCGCATGTTTTCCGTAGTCGTTGATTATTCTGTTCAATTCAGACACTGAAAGTGGAAGCAGAAAAGGTACATTGAACTAGGACGGAATTCAAAGCAATATTTAGCTACCTTAACCAAAACCAGAATTTTACGCGAAACACAATTCTCTTGCAGTTTAACTATTTAAAAAGTTTCAAATCGTTTTTAAGAAGGAGAAAAAAGCGAGTACATAAGTAAGTCAGGCACAAGAAACTCACAGTTCAGTGTTCGTACAATACTAAAGTAATAAAATTCAATCACTCTTCAAAGACCGTAAAGGACATATTTTGTAAATATAAGGATGTTGTGGACTTTGAATTGCACACAAAGCACAACCAAACTATGAAATCGTCGAAAATATGAAAATGAAAACAAGAGAACTTTTTCCAATTGATCTAGAGCAGGCGTTTCGCGCGCTTTTTGTAACTCTCGCTTAGTTCCCAAGTGTTTGGATCAAGCCATCCATCCAAACATAGAAACCGTTTGATAAATGTTGCGGAGCACACAAATCAGGTTACTTACCGGAGACTAAACCAGACACAGAAATATCACGTAATATTTGCCCGTCGTCCTTTTGCGATGAAAACCATCTAAATTACAACGGTTGTTAATAATACTCGGCATGCATGAATTACTAAGCCCTTAATGACCGAGCGCGAAGTCTTTACGGAGAAATATCGGACCGAAGTTTATTTTGTACAGACCGAGCCCGTAGGGCGAGGTTTCTACAAAAAGACAGAGGTCCGATATTTCTCAGTAAAGACCGAGAAAGCGAGGTTATTAAAAGGTTTATTATGTGGCATTATTTGACCAGAAACGAAGCTTGCTTTCTTTCTCGTCCTTGCTGTTTTTATTACGGGTTGACTTTCACTTTTCTAGTTTTCGTCCATAAAAAATAAATCGTTTCAAATTGTATCGTCTGGATAGTTAAACTGTTTTCCAAATGTTTCTCATTCGAATCACATTCGTAAATTGTTTTTTGTTTCGTTTATTTTGCGTTTTGCTGTATACACTACGAAGTTTGTTTACATTAATTACGCGTTTTGGACATTGAGTTCTATAATAACCGTAATCGACTGTGGTCGATTACGGGAAAATAATGGACTAGCAGAAATGTTTCTGAGCCAATCAAAGCGCGCCATTTTGCCGGAGGTGACGCTTAAGAGTTATTTATAATTTTCAATACATTAATACGTACAACAAGTCTCAAAATCATAGCCGAAACGTGTCCATTCAAGATCACCGATCAACTCCATTTTTGATAAGAAATTCATGCTTATAGGTCATAAAGTACCTCTTGCATTGGAACTCAAAAACTCCAGGTTCTTCTTCGTTTCCTGCATCAGTAATATAGATCTTCTCCAAATACCAGCCGTACTCTAATACGACAACACAATGAAACAAGTTTTGAAACGATTTGATTCGGTTGATTTTTAGGTAATTTGAAAGACTTTGGAAAATTTCCCAATGTACACCAAAAATGAAGCAAAACGAACTTGAATGATCAAGTCTTCAATTTTTTGACAATTCATGAATAAAGAGGCGGATGTTTTTTTGCTGCTATGCTAACATATACTGTACCTGGGGATGTCTTGGAATGACCTATGCGAATGTTTTCCAAGTCTCCAAGGAACACCGAGTCCAGATGAAATACATCGACCTAATAAATGAAGCGAATCATAGTCCATATCAACAGGGAATGACGGCTACGATTGCAACAGATCAGTCATAAAAGTTGATGCAAAATCAAATTCAAACAGAAGTCCGTCTCATGGATATGATTGTGATAACCACAGTATAGGTATTATACAGTGTGCTCACTCTCGTCCGAACCTTTGAACTTTTTGTCCTCGCACATATTGGCCGCCATATTGGAAGTAAGGAAAGAGGAGTGAGATTGCTGAGATTTTTATTACATAAATGTGATCTTTACAATTAAATGGCGATAGTTTTGCGTTTTTGTCCACCGATTGGCTTTAGCTCAATAAAATAGCTGCTTTGAGGATATATATTGCTTAGTTCTGTATTTTTCTCGAAGCATTCATGAAACTACGCAGTATTATCCTCAAAGCAGTTCTTGTGCAAAGATAAAGCCGATCGATGCGTGAAAATCGAAAAATATTGCCAATTAGTTGGTAAACTTCACGTTTCCGTAATACATTTCTTAATATTCTCACGTCTCTTTCCTTACTGACAACATGGCGGCCAACATGCGCGAGCTAACATGCGCGAGGACACGTTTTCCCGAGAGTCAGCATACTGTATAATAACTATACTGTGGTGATAACAAAGCAGGAAAAGTAGTTAATTGAAAAACACATGCCGCAAAAGTTCTGTCCAAAAAGCATCTTTATCAACCTATACGCATAAGGTTTATGATTGGTATATGAAGTACAATAAAGGGCTATAGAAAAAATCTAAAGAGGTTATGATTTGTTGACCCAACAAAAAACCCCCACACATATATGAGGTACATTTGGACCATTTAAAAAGACTGTCTTTCACCTGTCCTCGGCGAAACTTTCGAGAATGATTCATTGACAAGAGAAGCAATCGTTCACCAGAACTTCCGTATTCTCCAAATAAGGTAAGCCGGATGTCCGCCTTAGTCCCCGCTCCTTCATAATCTCCCGTGAACACGTACACCTTATAGGTCAATGCTGGGTGACAAACAAATGCAATCAATTAGAAGACAATGTAGACCAATTAACCCTTTGCTGCATGGCGTTGCTTCAGGGCAACAATAGGGAGCTTTAGCAAAGACTACGAGTACTATTTACGTCATTTTGGCGCGAAAAAATGGTTGCGACAACAAAAACACGTAGCCGTCATCAATCTGAGTACGATGTTTTGTAAAAATTCGTAGTCCCGACTACGATATCTTTTTAAGCAAATAAAGTATATATATTTCTTCATTCTGTAAGAAATTAGTTTACAGTACTATTTTTGAGCATCCAGGCTTTAATTTAGAACCTTTTTTTAGCGCAGATGTACATCAAAAAGGAAAATATGACCTGCAAAACTTTCATTTATTTCGTACGCAAAGTGAAAGGTAAACAAACAATAAAATAGTACAAATATATCGTACATAAAACTTAAAATAGTGAAGATTTTTCACTCTAAATAGTCCTATATTCTTGCAAAATCAGTATTATCGATTCGTTGATATCATTATTGACAAATAGAGCCGTAGCTGCTTTGCAAACTTCGGTGTTTTATACTATAAAAAGGCTCGTTACAAAATTTTGACGAAGCGACAACGACAACAAACTTTCTCGTGCCATTCCCTTACACGGTCAAACTTCGTACTCGTTGTCGTAGTCGTACTCTTGCTAAAGCTCCCTAATCACCGAACACGTTGGAGCTCGGTCGGCGAAAGAACTCATTAAAACGCCTCATGGTTAAATTATAGCTAATCATATAAAATACGAGCGGATTGCGGTAAAGGTGAATCTTCCTAAGTAATCATTATTGTTTTCCTTTACCTTTAATGAAGGAAGCATTGTTTTTAACAGGTTCACTACGAGGTCTAGAAGATGTATGCCGAATACTAGACTCTAATCGTGGCCCACGAGCAATAACATCAGCGGTCAATGGCCTTGACCTCAATGTTGACGTAATTTCTTTCTTCTTCAATGTCTTTCTTTGATTTAAATGGCTGCAAGAGAAATAGGTAAACGTGAAGTATACACTGTAAGTAATTAAAATTTTCGCGGATTGCTAAAATTGTTCATCCTATATCTCATTTAATTGCACACGCCATTACATATATCATAAACCTTACTTCACCATAATTATCCATCACATACCCCAGAAGTACCGTAAATACATGTATGCAGCATTGTACCTTGAATCAATCACATTCCGAACATGATGATTACAAGCATACCTTATTGTCGCACTTGTATCAGACTTCACAGAGTTGCTTGATGATTTCGAGTTCTTCCGTTTGTTATTTGCTCCATAATCAACGAGTGGAGACCCTCGTGGAGGGGTCCAACGAGGCGCTGAAAAACCACCACGCTACAAAAAAATGAAGAGATCATTTAAACGAAAGATGAAAAAACAGTGACAGCTTCGAGCACGGTTTTATTGATGCTTAATCCAATACCAAAATGTTACTGATCATTAATCCAGCAGCAAAAGGTTATTGACACAGTGAGAGCTTCGAGCACAGTTTTATTGATCCTTAATCCAATACCGAAATGTAACTGATCATTAATCCAATACCAAAATGTTACTGATCATTAATCCAACAGCAAAAGATTATTGACACTTAATCCAACATCAAAAGGTTGGTATTGAGGATTGGATGAGAAAGAGTCGATTTTTCATTATAAACAAAAGACGCGCGAAAATATAATTATCAAATAAACTTACTGATGGCAGTCGTCCATGTCTTCGTGAGTCCGTATCTATCAAGGTAGATTGAATAATATATCATCATCAAAAAAATTTTAAAACAACATTCAACCCCCATCCCTTCAAACCCCCCAACGGTCCCCTCAAATCCCCCAACGGTTCCTTCAAATCCCCCCAACGGTCCCTTCAAAACCTTCGGTGGAATAAGAAACCGTTTTAATATCCTACCAACAGCGTTTATACAAATGCCATGGAAAATAATAAAAAATAATGAAAACTGGTCATCCCTGTTGGAAACAGGCTTATAACACGAATAGATACCTGTACTTTCTCCAGTATAGCTTTGAATATCGAATTGGGAGTTTTCATTCTACAATGTATACATTTAGCCATTATGTACTGTATTATTATAATACATAAACACTTCGGAGACGTTTGCGAGAGCTCTCGACCAGATGCAACCGTTGACCTTCGGTCTCAGGCTTTCAATGATCTTCCCTCGAGTTCTCCATAGATCTCCTCGGTTTGCACAAGACTGTGCAAACACAGTAAAAATCTTTTATTTCTTAAATATACGAGGGCGAATCTAAAGCAAGTGCTTTAAACAAGAATTGATATAGGATCTCGGGAGATCTGTTGATCCTTTTAATCTTATTATCTGCATGACGTCATTTACATAGGAAAGTTGTATGCGCGGACAAGTTGTGACGTCACTCATTAAACAAATAATAAAAATGCCTAGAAGCCAATCAGAAGCTCTTAATAATCTTTAACCCCTGAATTAGCGACAACGTATACTCAAATCATGATATTCATGAATAATAATAACAAGGAAAGAAAATGTACCATGTGTGTTGTTGATTGACAATTTTCACTTACTGTTGATGTTTCGGTAGTTTGCTGATAGCGATTTCCAGGCAAGGCAGCCTTTTCCTGAACATAAGAGGAAAAGCGCTTGCCTCAAACGTGACGATAAATTGCCAAAATTACTACGAGTGAATGTTATTTTGAAAGATACGAGTTTTAATCATTAGCTACAGCGATATGGTTCGGTAACAATAAAACCATAAAAAATTTGACAAAAATCAATTGCACCTAAAACAGAGGTTTCAAACAAGAGAGATTTCAAACAAGAGAGGTTTCAAACAAGAGAAGATCCAGCTACACGCAAAATATGTCAATTAGTTGAACAAATCGATTTGTTCATTTTTATCCTTTAGAAATTTAAACACAGAGACATTGTTTTAAAGATATTTTAAATTTAAAATTAGCGGTAATGAGTTATTTTACCAAAGCCTGGATCCACTAATGGTTTCTAAAGTGTTTTTTTTTTGGGATTAAAAAGTAGAACTTACGGTGGCCGCCAGCAATCTTGCAGCGGTGTTTACCAAACGCACATGCTCATTCTTGCCCACGAACTGAGGTGGCGATCTACGTTCAACATGGCGCGGTTTGCCCACAATGTTCGCTTTATGTTTTCTGTAAAAAACCAGCGGTAAAAGCAAGAAAGTTTTTGCAATTCTAAAGACTAAAGGCTTTGCAATTGGACAATCTTATCCACAAACAGAAGCTACATTTGATTAAGAAAAACGGCTCGGTGTACTTGATCTCACCTTTGCGTGGATCCTCTTTTCGTCTGCAAATACTCATCAACACTGATAAGGGCCTGGGGCCGATCACGCGGAAGGGTTTTGGGTTTCCTGCCACTGTCCATATAGGGAGACTGGGTACTAGCGCCGAGTTTATAGTCACGCTTGGACATCTCCACGTCTAGCGCACGACGGATTTTGGTCTCGCGAAAAGACGACATGGAGGGTACCAGCATCTTGCTCACTTGTCCTTTCACTTTGACGTTGTGGAAATAATGTTTGAGACTTCTATCATGTAGACCATCGTATGCAAGAGTCGGACCCTAACGCGTGCGCAACATGTAAACAAAGGCTAATATGTGAATATACAATACACATTGTTCTTATGTCCCCGCATTCACATCTGCGATTACTTAAATAAAGTCGTTACTATTCCCCCTCCCCTCCTCCTACTACACTAATGTTTGAAAAACACTGATCGTACTTACCGGTCGTTTGGGTACAGGCTCTTGTGTTGGTTGATAAGGTCCCGACAAATCAAATGCATCTTCTCTCCGCTTAACGTCAACATAATATTTTCTGTTGGGGTAGAGAGATATGAAACTTTAAACAATATCAAGTAGCAATCTTTTGCCGACAGCTTTATAACCATACTGGAATTAGTTATGAAGCATTTGGACTGCATACTCTCATAGCGAATTCTATGATGTGAATACAAATTTCGAGATTGACCATGGGTTGTATAGCTATCTCCCACAAAGAACATGAAAATAATCTGAATTTAGTTGCAGTATTTATATACCATTCTATTGTGGTGAGCTCTGTCTAGGATATTGGAGACTGACTGATATTAATACAGTTGTGTACTGCTAGCTCTCACTAAGAATTTGAGATTGAAACATATTCCTGTTTCTCAAATACCTTTATTTATTGCTAAATCAATAGGCAACGCTAAGCATAATTTGAGGCTACAAGCTGCTTTGCAATCTGTCAGTCATATCTTCACTTCCAGTTGTAAGAGTTTGGCTTATGTTATAGAAATGTCACTTACACAGAGCAAGAACTGAAACAGCTTGCAAGTGAAGCCTTTGATGTTTTATGACTATTTTGATTTACAATATATAAATTGATATTAATACTTGAAGTCTTTGGCAACATATTAAATGTAGTAAAAAACTTCCCTGTTTCATCTGTATATTGATTTATATATACCACAATTGCATTGCTAAACTTTTTCTCAATCATAGAATGAATGAATCAAGGCAGTTTTTGCTTAAGTTGTGGGATGTCCAAATCAAATCACAATTTAGCTTGAGATTGGAGAAGTCAGTTGGTCAAACTCACAGCCAGAAATCTTGATTCCTCGCAGAATTTTTCTCAATGATTCTTTCATTTGTCCGAGGATTTATTATTTTGTAACAGAAACGTGGCGCTTCCCTTTCAACTGGTTCATAATACGAAAGCCTAATGCTTTTTGTGTATTTGTTTCAAGACTAGCACTAACAAAATTAACTTGATACAAATTACCAGGTAAAAAGGTAAAAACGACCAAAAAATTGCCTCGCTCAGTGTGAGCAGTTATTGAAAGTAGCTAAACGCAATAAAGACGTCAAAACCACTTACAATTTCTTTGCTACAACTTTGGAAACGGATTTTGATCCCATTTCTAACTAGATAATTTTTAACTTCTATTCCATCATCGAGCGAGATTGATGACTTGTGCTGCGAGCTTTCATTCTTGCATGAAACGATTGTTGAATCATCTTCGCTGCTTTTATTGTTGCATTCAGTTTCTTAGGAGATGAATGCAAACAGTGTGAATTAAATGAAAAGGATAGTATTGTTCTCTTGTCGCCATGATACGAGTGAAAGATGCGCCTACAGTACATTAGGACAGCGACAACATTTTAATTAATGTCGGAACATTACGCTCACGTAAGACAAAGTCCGATTCCTTGATTTCCAAAAAATGATGCCAATGGCTATCGACGAAGATTGAAGAAAAGAAGGTGCATGATTTGAACATAAATCAAGAGTATTTTGCGCCTTCTCACGAAGGTAAAAAAATTATGAAGTCGAAGAGCATTTTGATAGAAAAGTGTTACCAAAAAAGATATGAAGGATACCAAGTTTTTGTTGAAAGAATTTTTTCGTTTCTTTAAATCAACTGAGGCAACCATTCTTGTTTAATTCAATCCTATTGAAATTTTTCAATGAAATTCAAATTCAACTTTGTCCACAAATAATGATTCTATATCTGCTATTGTATCGATTGAAAAAAGTGTAGTGTATCTACTTATGGGAGAAATACATACATTTATAAAAAGAATTCGTTTCCGTCTTAGACGGATGGTATTTCTTGTTCTTCAAATCTTCGTGTTTGCCATCATTTCCCGTATTTACTCGTGACCAGAAACGGTAAAAGAAGCAGCTGCAGTCGTCTAAAAGGGTTCGAGGAATAAAATTGATGAACTTTTTCACGCAAAACAATAAATTTACATGAAAATTTTAGAAGTCTAATTTCTTGCAAAAGCATCGTCCATCCACAACGAAAAGAAGTGTCTATTGACAACTTATTAGCAAATGAATAATAAAGTCAAGGTTTAGCAAGTTCTGCGTCAGCAGCATATGGCAAAATCGAAGGAATGCAGCTACGTTGTGACGCAGATTAAATGGGACAATTTGGGAAACAGTAATACCCTACCTTGTTTAATGCCATCCTTCAAAAGCTTCCCATGCGTTGAACTAAGAGACGACTGAGAGCTATTAAATTCAACGCGTTTCGCCGGTCGCACGGTCATTGACTTGAAAGCGTTCTTTATCGGAGAAAAACAACTTAGTTGTACACTCGTATCTGCTTCGGGCTCCTCATTCAAAAATTGCTCAGCTAGATCAAACCAATCAGTTAAACATAAAAGAAGTTAAGAAGCACGATATTAACGCCACTTTGTTATCAAACCATGTGCAACAGTTAAATCGCATGCTCGAGCTTTTTTCATTCATTGATCTTTCAAGAATAAGAAAGCAAATGCTTCAAGACACTAGCTCCCTAAGACGAGCAATCTAAGTTTTAACACGTTAAAAGTCAAATTTACTGTAGTAAAACCTGTTTCATTAATCATTTCAATTCCACTTCAAAGGTTTTCATACAAAATTCGATGTTTCATGGTACCATTCCGCTGCGTTTTCTTGACTAAAAGGATCGATTTAATTCTCTTGCCGTTATAAAAATATGTATACACGTTTACAATAGTTATTAATTCTCCGCGCAATAACGGCGAATTGCCAAGGAAACGCCATTAATACCCTGACCGTTCATGTATAGTACTTGCATACTGGAGCGTTGGTGAAGAAAGCCTCGTTCTCATTTTAGATAACCTTCTTATTAGTATCACGTTCTAGTGATAGACAGCCATCTTTTCCACCCTTTCTTAATCAGCTCGTTGTACTTTCCTGCGTTTGTTTTAGTTTGTTTTTTTTTTTGACTAACGATGCAAAAAATCCATGAAGAAAATAGCAAAGATTATTAAATGTAGAATGTTATTGAAATAAAATATAAAAACTTCAGTATCTATGATTTTTATTGAAAAATTATTTACTAAAAATGCTTTCATCAGTTCCAGATGAAAACAATCAAAGTTTAGTATCCAAATGTACCCACTAAACTCTTGTGTGTACCTCTCTACCCATCCAAATGTCCTAGCGTCCATTACATGATTTCCAAGTTCAAAGATGCGACGATGAAAGAACGAGCTCAATTTCGTCAAAGCTTTGTTGAACAGTGTCACCCATTTTTACGGCATTAGTTTGAGCATTGCTGTTGAGAGCGGACACAGTATAACGAATACAGTTGCTTTGTGGGTTGTAGCAGATTCCGTAACCGTCAGGGACTGCGGGCCCGTAACATGTGACCAAATCGTATTTCGAACCAATCTGAGAAGAAATTGGCACAATCAGTTGAGTCTCTGATCAACGGTACAGCGTTTCCAATAGTCAAATTTTATCATCATGTAACGTTTATAAGCCTATACATCAATGCCAGTTTGAATTCACGCAAAGACTCATTAAGGCCCATTTCGAACGTCGAACTTTTCATGAGACAAATGCATTTAAGACAAAAGATAATAAGGAAGTTCATCTCATTTGTTTTGTTTTAATGCGTTTAAAGTTGACGTTCGAAACAGGCCTTACTTCCAAGCCCCTCCCATAACCAACAGGAATTTATCGGTTTATGTTCCAAACATGGTCAAATCCAACAGGAACTTCCTGACTTTCATATTTAATCCAATACTAATTTTCCTAAATCGCAGGTTTACCCAAATCCAATATCAATCTCCCTAACTCCCAGATTTGCACAAAACCAAAAGCAACTCCATAACCTCATGATTAACCCAAATCCAATATCAATCTCCCTAACTCCTAGATTTACCCAAAACCAAAAGCAATTCAATAACCCCATGATTAACCCAAATCCAATATCAATCTCCTAACTCCCAGATTTAAACAAAACCAAAACAATTCCATAACCCCATGATTAACCCAAATCCAATATCAATCTCGTAACTCCCAGATTTACACAAAACCAAAAGCAACTCCTTAACCCCATGATAAACCCAAATCCAATATCAATCTCCCTAACTTCCAATCTCATTCAGTAAATATTTTCAAAGGTATACCTGACTGGTAGACATGTTGAAATGTACAGATCGACCGAACGTTTTGTCCATGAAGAACTCTGGAAGATCCATTCCAGATTCAACTGCAATCATTTTCAAACCGAAAAAATGACGATCAAAAGCTTCCCCATTACAAGCCTAAAAATGTAAGAACCACGATGTTTAACTTTTCTATATATACATGGCACAAAAAAAAATACATTTACATCGATAGCAACGAATTTATTTCAATAAATACCTCCTTCGTGTATTTTGAGTGAGCCTTAACTGCCACGCGGAACAATTGAGCAAGTTCTTGCTTCTTTGTTATAGAATAAAAAAGAGAAACAAATAGACAACGGTGAAAGAATCTACGGTACACAAATTGATTCATCTCAAACAACGGCGAGGAAGTCTACGGTACACAAATTGATTCATCTCAAACAACTATGAGACGGTTTAATGTACACCAAATGAACTATGGCAGAGAATATTGAGAGTCTTTTGTAACGACGTACACTGGCAAAATAAACTATATTAAAAAAAAACTGGTTCTCTTCAAACAGGTGGTCTTTATAACGATTAACACGACAAATCAAATTACTCGGCAAGTGAGGTCGTGAAGGAAAAAAATCAAACTGAAAGAACACTTTACATTTATTCTTGTTAGCATCGCAAATCGTTAAGTTGCTGATGTTTTCAAAATCATATATTATCAATATGAGATAACAATGAACGAAGATAACTAATCATGTAAATAGTTGTAAGGTAGGTAATCCAATAGTCTAACTCTTAAGGCATGTTCACATATTGTAAGTCAAAATGGACTTCTTGAAAATCATATGACAACATTCAACCATTCTTACCGACTTGCCAGGGTCCACCATAGCTTCGACAAAAGCTTTCGATGTCAACGAAGCAGTGCGGATGGTGTCCGTTCGTCCAAGTTGAAACATCCGAGTTCCAGCACTTTCATATGTTGGAGGAATAAGGCGGTGTAGTCTGTAAACGGGGAAATTTTATGAAGTAATGTGGTTTTGAATCTTCATTTCTATAGTTAAATATATATCATTGACGCCTTGCATTATCCAGACAGCAGAGTGAATAAAATCACACCCTTCTTGACAATGACACTACATTATACTCATTAGAAAACTAATGAAAACAAAACACTAATGTATATAAGAACTCAAGTTTAATCATCAGATCACTCCTCATGAAGACACTGAACTGGTTCTCAACGAAGAGCTCAAGTTTCAACATCAGTTCATTCCCTATGAAGAGACTAGACTGGAGTATATAAGAACTCTAGTTTCAACATCAGATCATTACAGATGAAGACACTGAACTGAAAAATATAAGGACTCAAATTTCAACACCAGATCACTCTTGATGAAGACACTGAACTGGAGTATATAAGAGCTCAAGTTTTAACATCAGATCACTACTGATGAAGACACTAGACTGGAGTATATAAATACTCAAATTTCAGCATCAGATCACTCTTGATGAAGACATTAGACTGGAGTATATAAGAACTTAAGCTCCAACATCAGATTACTACTGATGATGACACTAGACTAGAGTATATAAGGACTCAAGTTTTATTCAAAATCAGATCATTCCAGACGAAGACACGAGACCAAAATATATAGACACTCATGTTTTAACATAAATGTAACATCATTTCTGACTCATACACCCTCGTACCATCAATGAGAAAAATGACTAATAGGTAGAGCTTACCTTTAAAATTTACGACAAAAACTTACTTGTAGTAAGACAAATGCATGATAAGTTGAACAAAAGCATCTGGACTCATTTTATTTTTCTTGATCAATTCTTTACCATAACCTTTATAGATGTACGACTTCAACTCAACATCGTCAACCAAACTATGAAAATAATTACGACACATCCAGTAAATAACCAATGTTATAGTTCGTAGCTATTTATGCCATCACACAAGTGAAAATTTTGCAACTTCAAAATGGCTGCCATGTAAGAAACGAACATACGTTATTGCCGTAAGATTCGCACTTAAGACTTCAATGAGGTTGTAGACAAAACCACCTCAGTATATATCAAATAATCACCTATCTAAATGCTCAATGGCAATATTGATATCCTCCAATGTGTCCGAATTGATGTTCCATTCCAACTTCAGAGGGGCTTCATCATTGCTTCCATTTGGCTGGATAGCGCGAAAGTTTCTAAATGATTGCAAAACTGAATTGAATTTATGCCATACTAGTTTCAAAGTTTAAGAAATAAATTTTCCACATTATGTCACTCTAGATGAAGACGTTAACATGGAGTATAAGTCAAGTTTCAAGGTATGATCACTACTTATGAAGACACGAGCCTGCCAGGAGATGTAAGAGCTCGAGTCTCAACACCAGATCACTCCTGATGAAAAAACTAGACTGGAGTAAATAAGAGCTCAAGTTTCAACATCAGATCACTTCTGATGAAGACAGTAGACTGGAGTATATAAGAACTCAAGTTTCAACATCAGACCACTACTGATGAAAACACTAGACTGGAGTAAATAAGAACTCAAGTTTCAACATCAGATCACTTCTGATGAAGACACTAGACTGGAGTAAATAAGAGCTCAAGTTTCAACATCAGATCACTTCTGATGAAGACAGTAGACTGGAGTATATAAGAACTCAAGTTTCAACATCAGACCACTACTGATGAAAACACTAGACTGGAGTAAATAAGAACTCAAGTTTCAACATCAGATCACTTCTGATGAAGACACTAGACTGGAGTAAATAAGAGCTCAAGTTTCAACATCAGATCACTCCTGACAAAAACACTAGACTGGAATATATAACGACTCAAGTTTCAACATCAGATCACTACTGATGAATACACTAGACTGGAGTAAATAAGAGCTCAAGTTTCAACATCAGATGAAAATACTACACTGAAGTACAAAGGACTCAAGTTTCAACATCAGAACACTTTTGATGAAGATACTAGACAAGAGTGTATGTAGACTGTTTCACATCATCAAATTGGGCTCCCGTGCGTTTAATCCAAACTTTAAAAATATTATATTTACCCAGTTTGTCCATGAATGTAATTACACACACCAATCACAGGAGGAGCCTCGGCAGCAGAGTGTTCATAGCATACCCCTATGTGTCCATCTCTACCAACAATCAACTGCAGAAAGATTGCGAGAAATGGTAACACGTGAAACGAAGATATACAAAGCAAGTGAAATTACCAAGTGAACTTACCTGAAATATTTTATCAAACCATCTGTTGCCGCTGTTCGACGCAATGCCACCGCCGTGCAACATTTCGCGGGATGTCACAGTGTAGTCGGGATCAGCAAGGGACTTCTCTTGATCACTGGGGTGTTGCAAAGGGGACTCGTCGAGGCATAAAACGAACATAGATTTCTCGATCAATTCCAAATTTGCTTTGTTCTGAGAATCTAAATTAAAAACATAAACAAAAAAAAACAAAAAACAAACTATAAACCACAAAACCAGGAAGCAGTCCAACAGAGAGATCAACTGAACAGATAAAACTTTCTGAAAACACACAACAAGAAACAGATCTTTTATAACAGTTTCGAAAAAGTTATCTGACGTTAATGAAAACCAGTATTCTCTTATTCAATTATAGCAATTGATGTCTACCCCATAATTTATAGCGCAAAGCGAGCAATTATTTTTATACAAGAAAAGGAATCAACTCTGCTCAATGGCTACACGAATTCCTGACAAACACCCACAACAGATGATTGTATTACTACATATAGGCCAGGGGCGGATCTAGAGTATGTCAAATCCGTCGCGCGACTGATGTTTGAAATTCAAAAATTACGTATTCATATTAATTAAAAATCATTAATTATTCTTACTTTAGTATCGCATTTACTTCGTGATAAAAATCCAGCTTTATTTATTATTGAAAACTAATGACTAATGCAATGAATATCTCGTTGGTAACCAGATCAGTTGAATTTTAATTGACCTGGAATAACCGACTGGAAAGCGGAGTGGCTTGACTGGCTCGACTGATAAAGGAGTCCATGAACGCCAAAAACGCTTATTTCATTGGTCAATAGCCAGATCAGTGGACGATCTGGAATAATCTCGACCGATAAGCGGGGTGGCCGGACCTATAAGGGAGTCCACTTGCTATCGTGTAATTAGTTCGTTTAAATTTTTGTCTTACTGTGATTGGTTTGACCGATTTCGACTGATAGCCAACTGAACTAACATAGTCAAGCTCACTGTCTGAATTGAATGTTTGATCGTTTCATAGTAATTTTCTAAAGCATGATAGAAACTAAACTACAATCAGATGGAATTTATGGAAATCTTTTACAAATTCATATATTGACATGAATGCTGCTTTCCAAACTGGGAATTTTTTCAAGAGGGCGAAAAATTTATGGATGAATTGTAAATGCTTGGCAAAGACGATCTCGCGAGCGACATTTCAGTCATTGATGTTCAAAAGCAAGCCAACATTGTTTTGAGTTTTATCAGCAGAAATTTACATCCAAAATCGTAAGTAAAGGACAAGTGAAGTGTATGCATGAATGTAATATATCAAAGTCAATTTATGCGAGTGTGTGATGCGATTTATGTTAATATGGCGTATGGTAAGCAGATTGGTGCTTCTAAAATTGTTGTTGACGAAGGACTTTTAGCTATGATTTCTTTAGTGCTTGGGGAATCGTGACCGTTATATGGCAGCGAAATCCTACATTCCTGCAAATATATTTCAATGGACAAAAAATCTGTAGCCATAAGGCGCCATACTTATATTTACTTTATCATAAACAAATGTTTGGGGCTTTTCAGTTTATGATCATTGATCATTCAATCATTAGACAGTTATACTACATATTGTTTAAGATTTGAGAAAACTAACATTGATTACATGAGAAGCTGTTTACTATAACCTGTGATTTTGAGTCTTCTGATCCATGAAGCTTTTTATTTTGACAATTTGACTGAAATGGTATTAAACCTAAGTATTTCACATACATGAAATGTTGTCCCATGTCACATATTGTCCCCTTTTCTAACTGAACACCTCATGTAGAGATGTAAAGGTGTGTTAATCTACGGTCATACCAGATTGTTTGCCATAAATTCCAAAAGGCTATTGATGTATGAAAAGCATTTTCTATAAAGTAAAAATGTCTTCCTTTGTATGCAGATAATCCTTGCAATTTGGCAAAACAGCAAAGTATTTTTCATGATCAATAGGTAATTTTTCTGATGATCATTATAATTTCTAAACTAAATTATTTCAGATTTACATTTAAACAAGCTTTGATCATATGAAAAGATATTTATCATAACCAGTAAGCATGACACATGAACCAATTTTAACATTCATGTAATTATATAATTAAAGACATGTTGGTTACATTCTGTTTGTATTTGATAATACAATGCTACTAGTGATTGCTATATAGCACACCTTGCAGAAGATAATAGTCAAGTGAAATGCCTAATAAACATTTATGGCATTAAGCTGTCCTTAACTGCAAATTTTAACTCTGATAATTTTTGCTTAATCTTTGGCAGAAAAAAATTTTGAGTTTTTTCTTAAAAGGTGAATTTGCTGGCACTGATGTGGAGATGGGTAAAGGGTTACAATAGACTTGCATGGTTTGAAGTCTGAGCTTCTCTATATCTATGAACTGTCACTTGTAGTACCAAATTTCTAACTTAACTCATTACATAGAGGTTTGAATGGGGGTCTCTAGGGGGGTCCATGCCTGACAACTTGGTAGAAATTTATAGACTATATCTGTTTTTGAATATCATTTTTGTAAAATAAATTTTACGTTCCTAGACATGCTAATGAGCCATATATTTGGCATGATAATGAGCCCAGATATTTGGCAAAACATTCAAGTATTGTTCACTTCATTTTTTTTTTTGAAAAAAACGTAAGCAAAATGTGTTGTTTTTACGCAAAAACGATGACCACGAAATGCATTTTGTAATGCTCTAAAACGCTGAAAATGGCATTTTTAAGGCTCTGAAATTCAAAATTTCGCAGGGGAGAATGCCTCAGACCCCCCCAGGTGCGGAGCGCCTCCGACGTTTTATGACTGATGTTTGAAAAATCCTAGATCCGCCCCTGATATAGGCGAGAACAGACTGCAACATGCAACAAAGGAGAATGAGTCTGTTGAAGATACACGCTTGGGAACGGTTGCACGAAGCCTGGATAGCGTTATACATACATGTTTCTCAAACTTGCGAAAAAGATGGTTATATTTTCTTCATGACTTCGAAACTTTGTAATTCTTGAACCAATATTATAGTTCATTGATTGTCCCGTTCAAATTGTAGATTTTTCCCTTTTAACAGACTTTTGAAGAGTTCATAAATGTTGCTATTCAGTGGATAGCGTTATTCGGCCATCGTGCAACCGGCCCCAGTCTTCTAAAACTCACTCGCACCCATTGAGTGCGACAAGGAAATCGCGCTCTCACTAAACAATGGAAAACTCATTTTTTTCATTCATATCAACATTCTTGCTAAAATATTTAACATCAAGCAATCATTGGAGTGAAACTACCGTCTTAGAAAAGTTGTGAGCTGATTTTTAACCACTCCACACTGTGAGTGTGAGTGGCGGGGCGGGCTTTTAGTATATGGGCAATAATCTTCAATAAGGACTTGGCAATAGTCGTGCTGATTGTTACATGATAACTTCATCAAGAATAAAGGGGGACGGGGGAACCCGATAAGGACGGATGAGCAAGTTTGGACAATATTGATAATACCTTTCAACAATCTTTGTCGTGCATTTGCCCATTGCGTCCTGCCGTCCGAAGTGAGAATGCCAACAGGACGAGCGTTTTCAGTTTGAGGAGAACTTGTGATTTGTACAAGTCGGTAGAGAATTTCAGATTCCGATATAGGCTGACCATTTCGATATAAATTCAAGGAATAGAACTGTATGCAAGAATAAAATGAAGAGATGAAAAAAACAGACGAAATGAAAACCTCTTTACTATGCAGCAATAACTTGAAAGAAAGCGGCATATTGTCCAAGCCGGTTCGGCTCGCAAGTGTTAATTTACGCAGTGCAATGTAAATTTTACAAGATTAACCTCTTTCATTTCTTTAGAAATCTATTGTTTTCACATGTAAGCAAACATAGAAAAACAGGTACGAAGCGTACATTGGGGCACCTGAACTTACACGCCAGGGGCCGGTTGTACGAAGCCTGGATAGCGTTATCCATTGGATAGCAAATTTTTTAAAGCTTTTATAAAACCTTTTAAAAAGCAAAAAGTATAAGATCCGAACTGAACAATCACTGAAATAAAATATTGTTTCGATTATTACGAAATTTCTTTGTCGTAAGAAATATACCTTCTATACAAGTTTGAAGATTTTTGCTATGCAATGGACAACGTTATCCAGGCTTCGTGCAACCGGTCTCAGTTGGCTGAGTTGCAAAACACCCGTCCACTCATTTTTTGTGTTAGGAATAGGGACTGACTTAGGATTAGGTTTAAGGTTAGGGATTGACTTAGGGTTAGGGTCAAGTTTATATAATACGTATACGACGGGTATTCTGCAATCGCTGAATATACAAGGCAATAAAATGAATAGAATTGACGAACACAAATTAAATAACATCATACATATTTGATGAGATAAACAAGAGAAAGACAAAAGATATTCTTGCATTGTCCATGACCATACGGATTATCATGGAGATTGCAAACGTGATACGATAATCTATCTGAATCGCTACAAATGCTTTGAATATACTCCACAATGGAGGTTTTCAACTTTTCAACGTGCTGGAGGAGACAAGTCACGCGCACGGAAAGCTGACGCCTAACGGCCGACATCGGACAATAATGTTTTAAAATAAGAAACGCTAGCTACAAAAACAAAGACGTTCTTGAAAAATCTCACATATTTTAATCATAAATTAGTTGTCTTTGAAAACAAAAACCATTTTTTGAGATCAAAAGAACAACTTGAACTTTTGTCATTCAAACATTTTGTGAATAGTATAAGTCGTGCACTCAGTAGCAAAGCCAGCCCGTTTGTTACTCCAACAATGCAAATATTTTTGTGCTCAATCACTGGAAAAACAATAAATAGAATTAATTTTCCAAAGAAATGAACGATAACTGTGCTAAAAAATTTGCATTGCTGGAGTAAAAGATTGGGCTCATTTCGCCAATGCGCACACTAAACCAATAAATTGAAGTTATTGAACACATATTTACTTCCGCTGGAACATATTTACTTCCGCTAGAACATATTTACTTCCGCTAGAACAGAAAGTTTAGAATTAAAGACCTTACATTGTTGCGATGTATCACAATGATATGATGATCCTCTCCTCTAGCTGCTTTAACCCTCCAGTCACGGGTGGTATGAGGGATACGACAGGTCGACAGGAGATTATTGTATTGTATCATGCACATTGGGTGTGGACCTAACATGTCCACGGGTACTGACTCACTAAAAATGCAAAATTGGTGAAATACTTTGCCACAGAGAGTCATCCATTGAATTTATTAGACTGCAGAAATAATTCCTTACAAATTTATACGAATACAACATACCTCTCGACCAGATTCTTGAAATTTATAACACATCTAATGGCTCTTGCTGCATACCTGGAATCGAGAAAGAAGAAATGGTCTGTCATTAGAATGTAAACTTTGTACAATAAGCACTGTTTGAGTAACGATTTTGGGTTAAACCTACTTTAACTGGTCCTTGGAATCTGCAAATGTTTCCTTTGGAAATGCAATGGCAGGACTAGAGTGAACCACAACAGGCATTCGAAAGTCAAAATAAGCACTGTTGTCCCACCATTTTGAGATCTGAAATGTGAATCAAAAAAAATTACTCTTTCCAGCACTCATTATGGTGGAGCCATTCATAAAGTAACTCATATTTTAATTAGATTATAGATAATGTCAATATAAGAATTAAACTGAACTCAATAGAATAATAAAGACTTCATAGGATAATTGGAAGAACATGTTGATACTACATCTCTCTTAGAGGTGATTCGCTAGTACATGCATGGATTATATGTATACATTTACTAGGACCTCCAATGAGTGGTCCTCTTAATTTCTCCTTTTGTAATTTTCCACCTAAACAACTGCAATAAAGCATCCTCTTTATTGCTTAAGCGATTAATTGCTTGAGGTTTATTGATTAAACTTTCACTTCTGAACACATAACATGTTCATATGTGAATTTTGGCATTCATACATATGAATTATTTAAAAATGTTGTTTCAACATCAAATACCAAATCATTACAAACCCAGTTCACTTCAACTCTGGATCTTTCAATTAACTTTTCTTGAAGCATTTCTCCAATCCCACCTTCCTTGCCAAATTCCTCTGCAATTCTCTTGGTTATGTTAAAGTCATTATCATCGACCAAACACTTCACTGAAAGCAGGTACTTGGACAAACTCTGTTGCAATGGAGGCACAGGTAAATGAGGAAGCTCTAACTGTTTGGCAAACATATTGCCTCTTCTTGACATAGGCACTGTCTTGTAGAATGCTTTTGACTGATTTGTTACATTTGACTTGATCTTTTAAAGAAAAATGCCATGTTGGAAAAGTCGTGATAAAGATATTAAAGTATCAGTTGATTGTACAGCTATAACAATGCTTGTTGTGTGAATACAAAGAGTAATTAAAAAGCTATTATTGTTTGCTTTCATTCTTTGTCAATGTAAACTATGCAGTTCATGAGTACATTTTTTCAATGGAGTAATTACAGTCTGGCAACACCACCCAGTTTAGGGGGAATCCAGATTAAAATTTTGAACAACAAAGGATGCAAATAACCATCAAAACATAAAGCGTCTTGTAATGCATGGAAACCACCTTGGAAGAGCTTTAGTCATTTCACGAGATGAAAATTAGTTTCAGATTATTTTGCTGTTGAGTTTAGTGACTTGCTTAATGATGTTACACTTTTCAATCTTTTTTCAATAACAGAGTAATAATGACATAAATTTCGGTTCAAAGGTCGAGTATTTGCAGTGGAAAAATCCAAAAGATGGGTGTGCAGAAGGCGGAGAGAAACAACATTCTTTCATTTTGAAGATTAGAAAATTCAAATCACCCTATAATACTTTAACATTGATCTCAGATTGAAAAAATACTATTATTAAAAGCTACGCAAGCAGTTTCTTCTACAAAAACAAAATTACTATGTTCAGTTACTTGTTAAACAGAATATTCCTCTCACCACGCGTGCAGATTTAGTGATAAACATGTTGTTGCTCTTGGATTTCGACAGATTCGTCTCGTTAAAGTTTGAATGTTCGATTGCTTTGGACATCTGCTTCGTGTTTCGTAATCATGTATGAACTCCTAGCATGTCTCAGGCTGTGAAAACGTAACGTTTAGTTCACCAAACTTCCTTAATGCAGCTTGGAATTATAATGACTGCCAACATGTCATTGCTTTGTTCATTTGGTCTAACGGTCCAAAGTCCACTGTGATTATGTTATATACAAAGTCAAGAAATTATTCTCGTTACTCCATAGACTATAAAAACAAAAATTTATAGCAATCAATAATTCAAGCACGTAAAATTTCTTTTAAAATAAACTGGATGATTTCTAAGGCTTTTACGAAAATTAATAATAAATAAATAAAGCAGCAAGATTTTACCGCATAATTGACCATTGTGTGTTGATCGTCTTGGGTCCGCTGTGTCTAGCGTATTGTTACTATAGATACAGTAACAAAGATGGAAGATGAAACCGAAGTAAGCTGTTCTTGAAAGAAAATCGTGTATTTTTTCGCGAAAAGTCTCGAAAAGTTGTATTATGTCAAAGGCGAATGTAAACTATGTTCGTGTTTTACCACAAGATAGCATCAACCGCGTTATTTTTGAAGCAGAGGTATGCTAAACTAAGTGAACTTGTTTATTAAAATGCGCAACTGTGTCCAACTATTTCCATGATGATTCACACTTTAAAGGAGAATAAAACTCTGGACAGTAAAATTACTTTTTAGGAAGGAATTACTTTATGCAGCACGTTATATTTGCGTTTCAAGCAGCTTGTTTTTAGAAGTCTTTTGGATGTATACATTGCTCATAGTCTTGTTTAAACATTAAAACTATTATTGATAAATCATTATTAGTCATAAATGCCTAACAGACAAAGAAAATGATGAAACATACAATGGCAAAAACTTCTTTCCCAATTTATAGGTATTTTTTTCCCATGAGCATTGTTTCGACTTTCTTTGAATTCACATATTGGCAATGAAACTTGGCGACAACAAACGCCAAAAGAAAATCATGCTTGAACCAACGGCCATACAGAGAAAAATGTGACAATAATATTGTTATATTTCATTTACCAAACGGTTACCATACCATCTTCAGGGACTGCGGTCCTAGGGTGTCCAGGGGGGGGGGCATTGACTCCCCGCTTTTTCTATAGAGAAGACGTTTATTGGGTAAAGTTCGTCGTCTCATGCTATTCTGACTTTGGTTTCCGCCACTTTTGAGCAGACTCTGTGGTCTCTGCTTTTCCTATGAACTTTACTCCACGAGAGTAGGCACCCAGCTAACAAACAGTTGCAGCTTACAGTTAACAACTTTGTTCATATATAATTTTCCTTACACAACGTTAGCATGCTTCCACTTCAACTTTCTTCGTATAAAATAATTCCTTGTAAACGTTAACATACTTTCATCTAACGTTAAACACTGAATTTAAATAGCATTGGCGTAGACGTGTTTTATTCGTATTTTTCAGCAAAAATTAACAAAATCCTTGAAAAAAGAACGAAAGCCGACGAAAGCCAAACGAAAACTGAGCGTTCCAATTTTAAAACAACCGTCAGCTTTCACTGATGGCAAGGGAATCCTATCGCGAAGGCAAAAAATTTGGGCGGACGCAAATCCCAACGAACCTCATGTAGAAAACCCAACTTATTTGAGGTGAACAAGATCATGCATTCCGCCAGTAAATATTCTAAGTAAAAAAGTGATCTTAGGGGCTGTTCACATGAGCAAGGTAGCCGAGATTCAGCGAAGCGTGAAATCGTCTTGGCAAATGGAAAAGATTAAATACTTCACGACAAAAAACTTAGTTGAGTAATTTCTCTAAGCTCTGACTTTGCAAATTCACAAAACCTTTAAAATGAAAACAAATAATTTAGCCTGATTTGAAAATTACGACTAAAATGACATATGACGCTTGTAAGAAAAGGTTGTAAGTTTTGCGCTTGAAGTTTTTACTCCTTTTAATGACTCAAAATCATTTCACGTCTCGCTGAATCCCGGTTACCGAGCTCATGTGAACAGCCCCTTAAACAAACCTGCCAAAATATTGTTTAGAAATTTGATTCTTGATGAAAAAGAGAAAACGACAAAGACGGAAAGTTTCTACGAAGCTCAAGAAGTGCGGGGACTTCCTGATGTAAAACATGTTGAGCGTGAGTAGGCAACCATTGTTAATAAATAAACATTTTAAGTTTTAAAACAAAGACTTGGTAAGGGTTACAGACATGAACCATGCTCTGAACAGCGTTTTTGTCGCGTTTAAGTACAATTTGAGTAGCTCTTAAAAATACACTGTTAAGAGCAATATTTAACGTAGGTTTGATATTCTTCAAGAAAGAAAAAGCAAGCGACGAGAAAAATTTTACGACATGGCATTAGACGTTAAAACCTTTGTTATATGAATTGAAAAATTTGTTCATACTTCCTTGTAGCTTATGCACGGTCCGTCACAACAGTATATCTAAATCTAACAATCTCTTTAAAGAATGTGTGTCAACCAAGATGCATTGCGCGCTTTTGTTTATGATTACATCGCTATTTTTTTGAGCTTGCAGCACATTAAATTCAATTTCGTCACTACATCGTATAATTTATCTGAAAAGTTAGCAAAAAAACATTGATTTTACATTAATTATCGTTTTTCTGAGTTGCATGGACTGCAATAACAAAATCCGTCATTTTCTTGACCCAAAAAATTGCCGTCACGCTATGATTAGCGCGCAATGCATCTTGGTTCAGTTCGTTGACACACATTTTTTAAGCCAATCAAAGTTCACTATTTCAACAGAAGTTCAGTTTTGACCTATTAACATATCACTCAATAAACTATGAATTTTTTGCTCAACAGCGGCGTGGCAGACTAGTTAATTTGGTGGAGATGGGGGGACACATATTCATATGTGCATGCTTTGCCGCATTAAGCTCCTTTGAAATCCATATTTTTCTACGGATTAAGGTTTAAGTTCCCCCCCACCCCTGCAATCATCGAGCTTGCTACGCCACTGACAACTACCAACATCTATCCATCATTGCTCTTTGAAGCTCTCTTACTTACTCACCATCACTCGCTTTATTTTGTGTTTCCAAGGAAACATGACATGCGCAGTTAAGTTTTTCTCCAAAAGGCCCTGGGAACGAAATTTCGTTTACCATAACGGTCAATCATCCTCATTATCTTTTAGCCGGTCATGGCAGTGTGAAAACAACAAGTGTTGTTCAGAAAATCAGTGAAGGTCGTAAGGAAAGGTAAGTGTTGTGTGCTGTTAAAGTAGTTAATGTGTATTGCATACACGAGCTAGTTGCCAATGTCTACATACTGAGAGGGGTGGGATAAGAACTGACGTATGTAGGAAGAGAAGAAGTTGACCACCAAGGCACCTTAAGAATCAAAAAATTTAGGAGGAAGGGTAGAGATATAAACAACAAAGCAACCTTGTGACGTAAAAGGATGGGAGACATATAGAGCGGGAGGGATAACAACTGACGTATGTAGGAGGAAAGGAAGAGTTGACCACCAAGGCACCTTAAGAATCAAGACTACAAGATTCGGTCGGATGACCTTTTTGAACACTGCTCTCTGTTTTGAACTTTGCAGCTGTATAAAGCAGGGGGAGAATCTAAGCTTGTCAGATCAAATATAGTAAAAAATTACATGTATAGCCACACTGCCCACGAGGTTAAATCGTTTAGATTAAGAACTTAAATACTTACATAAGCGGTGAGAAGGGAATTGAGTACCTAGGCAAATTTAGCTATGGGAAAATCCTTTGTGTAATGATATGTGGAAATCATTCCAATGTGGTTGAAAAGGAATTTCTCTCAATTTTAAAAGAAATCTTGGTTCAGATTGAACATTTTTGCTTGTACAATCTTTTCATGTTAGGCACCATGTGACCATGGACGAATTTCACGAAAAACTTGGTGTGATTAGCTCTGTGAGTGTAAAAATACCCTATGAATTGAAATGAAAACTTTATCACTTAAATCTGTTCTATTTAAAAAAAAACACGTGAATTGTTGTGAACATGAAATTGAAGTTTTGAACAGGAGTAACGAAGGCTGATGTCGTATATTGCTTTCAGGAAATTGAACCGCGCATAGTGGAAGCGAGTGAAATCTTTAAAGAAAGTTTTTTTGCGAATGACGAAGGTACTGTGGTGATGTTTTAATTGTTTTTCACACACGTCTTTGAATGAAGCATCGACACATTGCGTTAAAACCTATTTGGTTTTCTTCCAATGGAGCCTGATTGTGGTGGAGACAAGTAATTTTGTAATTTAATGCTTTTATTAAGTATAAAATGAACTCAAAAATGTTAAGGCAACTCGTACGTAGCTCATGATTCTACAAGGAGAAATTTCGAAAAAAACCTTTTTGAAAGTGAAATTTGGCAAAGCTTATTTAATCCTGTACTATCAACCGTTAAAAATGCGATTCCTGTGAACGAAGAGTGTAATGATTTTTTTCCTGCGAAAAAAAATAACTTTTAATCAGAAACAAATGAAGCACTTAAATGCAGCAGATATTTGCATCCAAATATGGTATATTACTTACAGAGGCGTAACTTGAACGTTAATTGGGGGGGTGGGGGTGGGTGGGTGCATATTCATATATTCCGCTGTGCCCTACTGATTTTTTTTGAAAGTGATTTGAATTTCAAAAGAAATCAGTAGGGCACAACTGAATATATGAATATACACACCCCAATTAACGTTCTAGTTACGCTTCTGACTACTTAGCTATATTTGTCTTTGTTGTTTTAGAACTTTCTAAAGTCACCCAGTTGTATAGCGATGATAAGGTAAGGGCCAGCGGCAATCGAAATGGGAAGCAGCAATACATAATTTGCCTTAACACCCCTCCCCTAATTTATTTGTATAAATTTTCGAACCTATGATCTTATGTTTTAGGATTTAGTCAAATACTCGTTAAAAGATCTGTACAAACTTTGGGATTGCATCACGGAAATTTGTTCAAGTAGAAAAGAATACGTTACTGAACTCGAAAAGACGTTCCATGCTATTGAACAGGATCGTTATGAGATGGTGTGTACGACCTTAGTCATTTAGTGCTAACAATTACTTAGATAACGTATTGAATCTAGACAAAAGAAACCACTAGATTGGAGTATATAAGGACTCATGTTTCAGTATAAGATCACTCATGATGAAGACACAAGACTGGAGTACATAAGGACTCATGTTTCAACATCAGATCCCTTCTGATGAAGACACAAGACTGGAGTATATAAGGTTTCAAGTTTCAACATCAGATCACTTCAGATGAAGACACTAGACTTGAGTACTTAAGTACTATTGCAAACATGTCGAGGTTTTTGCTCACATGCGTAACCCATAAAAGTCCATATTTTTATATTTTCATGCATATCCTTATGTGTTCATGCATATCCTTAGATGTTCATCTCTTTACAATTTCAAGCTTTGCGAGACATTTAAAAGCTTCAATGCAAAGTTGGAACACATTGCATTCCTAATGCCTTCGGATGTCCATCGTTTGATGGAGAGCGAAGCTGAAGAAATAAACGCGACGATAATTTGTAACAGAAAATCTTACGCAGACCTTATTGCTACCCTACATAAAGGTTGGGAGAGATATATATTCAATTTATGCATGAACTATGGGACTGTCCTGCTAATGACAATTTGCTTATTTTATTGTGCAATTCTTACTAAATCTATTGCCGCAAAGATGTCGTCGAACTGGAAAGAAAACATCACCATGTTTGGGAGAAACGATTGAAAACTTGGAAAAAGTTAAAAACAAACGAAGCCATCGAAGAATTTGTGTAAGTTCAAAAATATGCTGCTTTTTAACTTGTCGCATCTTTCTTCCAGTAAGCTTCCGAGCCGGCCATGCTTTCGGTCAGTAAACAACGTTAGCACAGCAAACTGTGTGTTTTACTAAAAGCCAATAACATCTTAAAGAAGGGGAATAGGACAACTAGTTTTATTGCTATATGTTTACATGGCTTTAAACGATAAATGATTTATAGAAGAGAAATAGAAAAATAATTGCCCGTGGGAGAAAATCTCGGAGATAAAACTTAAAGTGGAACTATGATCTTCGTGTTTGCTTTCATTTAAGCAAATTTGACTGCGTGGTGTGACTGTAAAAAGAAAAAAAATTGATTCGAGGGAACATTTATCTTTTTATGGACGTTTAAACATGTCATTTTTTATTGCCGTTTTGTTTTCACGGCGTGTTTGAGAGCGTGACGTAGATAGGGTAAGCTGTTCACATCTACAAGGATGTGTTTGAATAACAAATGGTTGGTGAAAGCGTTTTCTCGTTGAATTTCAAAGCATTTATGCCGAAAAGGTGCGTGGTAACTGGCTGTAGCAATATTCCCGACAAAGAAAGGGGATATGTCAGTTACCATTTTTTTTGGCGATGAGATTGTCGAAATTTCTCCGCCCAAATCTCCCACGAAAGACGTTGATTTTATTGAAAAGCTGTCAACTATGCAAATATCTCAAAACCTTTGCAATACCACTTAACTCCAGTATTATTTCATAGATATAAACACGTTTCTGAGCTGAAGTGTTACCCTATCTACGTCACACTTGTCGCGGTTTTCAGTTCTTAGAATAACGTTCATGGTACATGAACGAGTCGACTTTAAACGCTCACAAAACAATAAAAAATAAACAAATTTCGTTTGAATTTTTGCGTAAAACACTCTAAACGTGTTACAAGGTTTTCTTCTATCAAAAATAAATAAAGTCATACTTCCACTTTAATGAATTTGAAGTGAATGGTTAGAGCTCGGGAGTATCGTTATAGGTTTGTAGATGTAGATCATCCAGGTCATAGTAGAGTCCTAAATGGGACTGTGGTGCCGATGTTATAGGTTTGTAGATGTAGATCATCCAGGTCATAGTAGAGTCTTAAATGGGACTGTGTTGCCGATGTTATAGGTTTGTAGATGTAGATCATCCAGGTCATAGTAGAGTCTTAAATGGGACTGTGGTGCCGATGTCGACTGATGTTTTGACGACATTAGCGGTAGTCATCTTCAGAGTCAAATATTCCCATATTGTGTGTAACGCTTTTCTATATTCAATGTAAAAATAATTGAAAGCGAACTTCATGCTCAAACAGAGCGTTTTGTTTTATTTTTATTTTTGAAAAACTCCTACTTTTTGGTACGGGATTATTTGTTTTTTGAAATAATATTTTTTCGTGAGTATTATTTCATCGTTTGTTATTTAACGTGATAGTGACTATATGAACAATGACGAAGTACGCCATCCACTGGAAGTGTCGAGATGTGTGGAGGAGATGAGGGAAGCTCAAAACTCTCTGAATGAAAAGCGTTTGGAACTGTTGAATTCATTAAGGTATATGGAGACAAATAGATGTCTTGGCTCGGATAGTAAAAAAATATTTAGCAAATGCGACTTCAGGTTCCTCAAAGAATATTTTTAAATTCTTCATTGTAAAGTTTAAATCGATGTTTGTTAAACAAAGCACTTCATGCTTGTTGTCTTAATAAACCCATGCAAATTCGTCTTCTTTAATTGACATACAATATTTAAGAAGTAAAAGATGTTTACTGTGTTTGCACAGGCTTATGCAAACCGAGGAGACCTTTGGTAGAACACGAGAGCAGATAAGTGCAAGCCCAAGACCGAAGGTCGAGGGTTGCACATGCTCGAGAGTTCTCACAAAGGTCTACGAGGTTTGCATAAGCCTGTGCAAACACGAAAAACATCTTTTATTTCTTTTATGAAATAATGGCGATTCGAAACAGACGAATTTAAAACAAACGTTTTAAACTTTCCTCTAAAATTTATTCATCATTAATTTGCGAATTCTCTTTGATTGATTGATTGATTTAATTGGTTGAGCTCAGATGTCTTTTGCACATGCTAATGCAAACACAGATCTAGACCAATCATCGCACGCGTTTCATTGTGTTTATTTTATAAACATTGCTTAAAGTTATTTTTATGAACTGCAGAGAGATGAAACCGCCCGGATCGACTAAGGCAGCAGTTTATCAATGGAACAACGCACTTGGTCACTTGACTTTACAGATTGGTTCGTACTCATGGATTATATAAATTATTATGAAATTTCGATACTGCATTTTGATTTTTGATCACATGATCACAGATCACAGACTTCAGTGGTCGAATTCCAAATTTGTTCATCGTATCACAGCATTAGATTTTTGCGTCATTTAACGCTGCTTTTAATGAAATTCTCAAAATAACAATGGTACAGTATTTTTATGCACTCCATTGCCATTATTAATAATGCACTCGACCACGTTGATTTCAAAAGTAAGAAAAAACAAGCTATGGCTGTTTTAACATTTTCACCCGATGATTTAGTGCCCAATCACCTTGGCGAGTTGAGGCCATTGGATGAGGCGAGAGCGCCACTTGAAAGGTGGATGAAAAAATTCTTCTTCAAAAATAAATTAAAAGACAAACTAAAAAACAATCTCTATAAACATTTTGAAAACCAAATATAGACTATCAACTCTGCAACTGTACATTAACGTAGAAGAAGCAGATGTTAGTCGTGAACATCGTCGGTTTTTCCACCTTTCAGGATGGCAGCCTGCCTGCAAACATGCTGTCACTACTAAACTCACGAAAATTAATCGTAACTGAAAAGTTTCATAAGGCTCAATATGGCTGATTGTTTATAAACATTTATTGACAGATAAAACGAACAAAAAGTATATGGAGCGTTTACAGAATGCCTACGAGGAAGTGTTGGAAAATTGCAACGAAAAACTTGAGAAGACCAAGGTTTGAAATCAATGTCTGCATGTTTAAAAAACTTTGTAGCGTTTCCATTCAAAAGTCGTTGCTCACTCCTATGTCTTTGTATTGCATTTCAGAGTCGGCTAGAAAATGATAACATTATCGGTGGCGAGGAACTTATTGCTGTACGTACAATACCAATTATCATGTTTAAAGCGTACGAAGTCGTTGTAACCATTGCAGTGAATATCCTACATCTTTGTCGTGGAGACTTACTGTGTTTGATAAACTTATTCAACGAAAACGAATTGTTTAGACTACATATTTACGTCTTGAGTTTTGATGCAATACAGCTCAATAAATCTTCTCCGATGCTTTAGATCCTGAACGAGTCATTTCTGCCTCTGATTGGTGAAAAAAAGTCACGTTACGAATGCGAAATGGACATATTTGAGGTATCATAATATCCACAGAATAATATAGTCACGTATAAATAGCCTTTTTGTAGAGTGTTGATTAGGAAAGCGAGATAGAATCGATCTTCATCGCACGGGTGCTTCCTTTTCTCATTTTACTACGTTCAATTTTCTTTAATTCACTTAAAATAACTTGAGCGCGAAGTGCAAACGCCGACTGAGAATCGCGTTAGTCTGTGTTGTTACTTATTTTTGGTGTCTGGCGAACAGCAAAAACGTTGGAATTCATTGATCTCTTGGCTGTAACAGTCAAAATGCCGTACCAGAAGTTTCACATTGCCATTCTAATCATCTATCGTTCATACTCAACCCATAAAACATCAATCACTGTTTCTCGTGCATGGATTTTCTAATGGTCCATCTTTCATTTTCAACCTATTCAATCCTTAAAACATCAATCCCTGTTTCTCGTGCATGGATTTTCTAATCGTCCATTTTTCATTTTCAACCTATTCAATCCATAAAACATCAATCACTGTTTCTCGTGCATGGATTTTCTAATGGTCTATCTTTCATTTTCAACCTATTCAATCCTTAAAACATCAATCACTGTTTCTCGTGCATGGATTTTCTAATCGTCCATCTTTCATTTTCAAATTATACAATCGTTAAAAAATCAATCACGGTTTCTCATGAATATCTTACAATGTAGAAAACGGTCGAGAATACGGCAATACATCAAGATGATCTTTTACGCTCGCTGTTCAGGTTCCTTCAAGGAGCTGCGCATATCTGGGACACGCATGAAATTGGAATGGCAAGACAAGAACGAGCCTTGCAGGTACGATGAAATATCAATGTGTTTGTGTGCGGGGTTTTTTATTATAAAGAGAAATTTTTATGCTTTGAATCGTTCTACTTTATTCTCACGAAAATTTTCCCGAAATCTGTATTTTGGTCATTTAATAAATAACCAAAAACTTATGAGTCGTAAGCGAATTAAATGACGCAACAAGAAACTCACCAGTCATTCTCTCTACAGCCCTTCGTAAAAAACATTTGTGCCACATCATAGTTTTCAAAAATAAATTTCGAACCATATGAAAGCCCGAGTAGTTATTGAGACTACACGATAACAAAGACGAAATAACATCAATTTAAATCTGTTTTTCACTTTAAAATACACCAAGGAAAAATTAGAACAAGAACGACATCGACATGATGCAGCCAACCAGGTAGCTATTTGTTAAATATAAAGTATCTAAAATGAATGAACAGTGGATTTTGACGCAGTAAAACATGATCATCAATGTATGTTCTTAAGAGTATATTATGTTCATCAATGTATGTAATTATGTGTACAATATGTTCATCAATGTATGTACTTATGTGTACAATATGTTCATCAATGTATGTTGTTATGAGTACAATTTGTTCATCAATGTATGTTCTCATGTGTACGATATGTTCATCAATGTATGTTCTCATGTGTACGATATGTTCATCAATGTATGTTCTCATGTGTACGATATGTTCATCAATGTATGTTCTCATGTGTACAACATGTTCATCAATGTATGTTGTTATTAGTATAACATGATCATGAGTACATACATGTCTTTAATACAAGTACATTTGTCTGCCTTATGTAGGTCAAAGAAGCCAACCTTGATATAATAATGGATAAAATGCGCCAAGAGTCAAGTCAGGAGGTAAAACTGGATATTGAAGCCACACGAATTTAGTATTGTTGATCATTAGAGATTACGTGAAACAAATACGGTGACTCATGCTCTTGACAGACAATAAAATTGTAAAGCACTTGACAAAAGGAAAACACTATTTCTACTCTTGACAATTCGTTGACGATTTTTTTTTCGTACTGCGCATGTGTTGTTCAGACGATGGTGAAAGTGTCTTTCGTGTATTATAAAATAATAACCGTCCATTCGCAGGCGTTGGAAAAAAGCTTAATCAGAGCGCTTTCACTTCTCGATGAAATTGAAGAAGGGTACGTATATACGTTTCCCACATATCCTGCTTTCATGTAATTTATATACTGCGATTTCCACCACTTAGATATAAAATATTCCACTCGACTCAACTGGAATGTGTTTGCAAGTATCCAGACAAAATAAAAGCTCAATTGAACATATACGATCGCGAGATTTGCGCATTTTTTGCCGTATACAGAAATAAACCGCAGCCAAACAAAAAGGTAATGGATAAGTAAATACCAAGAAAAATACATCAGGACTAATACATAGGTGAAGACGTCACATCGCAGACTAGAGGTTCACATAAAGCAACTACATTAACAAAGAAGGACATAGCCAGTGGCGCAACACAATCACCGGGGGCCCTTCGTCGGCCATTGCCCCCATAGGTTCTACTAGAAAATAGGTTGAATGGTCGTATATATTACTTTAATATTTTCTCTACTATTATCTTGTATTGACATAAAGTAATTTCACGTATATACATGGGAGTATCAGACAAGGGGACTGGGGGAGCTACAGCCCCTCTAAAAAAGTTCGAGCAGACAAGGATAGTCGGGGGGTTATTTTCTGGAAAGTCGTGTAAATAAGGTTGAAATGGTTGAAAATGTCCTGACTGCCTTCCCCCTCCTCTAAAAAATGTTGGCCCGTACACAAATGGCAAATATTTTTTAAGAGAACCAGGGTACAAAATAGCCATTTATTAGATGTTTGGTAGACTATAATTTAACAAAAACCTCGTATATTCATTCTCTCATATGTTAAAACTAAAAAGAAAGGGAAAATTCAAGTGAAGCAGAAACTGCATTTTGAATAGCTTGTGAAAGCATGAATGAGTTGTTAAAAAACAATTTAGATTTCACCGGTCCTTTGTTACAAAGTATGAAAATTTCAGAAAATTTAATGAAAAATAAGTCAACAGAGTAGATGAGTAAGTTATCTTCTGTTTCAACTCACAGTTTATGTGACATTTTTTCGTGCAAGAATATACATGTATTTTAATTTGTTGAGAGTGCACTTCTAAAGGTTCCTCAACAAAAAAACATTTATATTTTATTGACAATATACTAAAATCACAAAGTTGTATCATATTATTGATAATGATTCCTAAAAATGTGCTTTATTTATTAAATAAATTTATATGGTAATTCTTGTCCGGGGCCCCTCACTCCCCGTCATTTAACGCATAGACACCCCCCGTTACGCCACTGGATATAGCTTAGATAAAGTGAACGGTCAAAGGACTGTTAGTGAGAATGAATGACGTTTCAATATTTTTAGCGGTAGACAACTATAAGAGTCGTTCGATTTGGTGAACAAGAACAACAACAGTCTTTCTTATAACTGCACTAGCCTGAACGATCAACATTTACGAACAAAAGTTTTTATCATCAAAACCATTCACAAAGACTAAAATCTTAATAAATTACGTCAAATAGGAAGCAACAAATAAATAGATTGGTATTGAATTGTGAGAACAAATGGATTCAACAGACTTTAACTTCTATTACAGACCATGCATTAAATGATCTAAAACTTTCGGTTTGGGTAGTTGCTAAGCTATTATTGTTCAAATCATGAAAGGATTCACTGGTTACTGAAGCCATTTCTTTTCTCTCGCATATATAGAGAAGAGCTTCCATTACACCAGACAGTCCCAGACAAAGTATGTATAACGCAGTCTTAACTGCAAGATGGTCATTCACTTCTTATTTTCCTTCACCATTGCTGTAAGTTACGATTTCTTCAGCTTGAATTTCTGTGTTGTTATTTACAGATAGAGCATCTCTGGAGGTATGAAATTTCCCGCTGTAACTCTTGTTTGGAATTTATTTGATGAATGACGCATTTAAAACGTTTGATAATGGAATAGTTTGGTGTCTATCAACTCTTTCTGAAGGTTATCCCGTGTAAATAGACTGACATTTGACCAAGCCATCTTATAAAGGTGGATAGCTATGGATTGGGAAATCTTATTTAAGTAGATGACCTTGGATCCAAGAATCCTATGTACATGGATTATCTTAGATGATGGAATCTTACGTGTAGGAAGGGCTTCGATCAGGGAGGGGAGGGTGCAGCGTACGATCTTGGATCAAAGAATCTTTCATGTAGGAAGGGCGTCGATCAGAGAGGGGAGGGTGCAGCGTACGAAGTTTTACGTCAACTAACAATGTTTTTCTTTGTTCTGTAATTCAAAATTCTCATGTTTTTAGACATCACCAAATTCATTGGAAGAAATTTTGAAAACATCCAATGGAACAACGTTTTACATCATAACCTCTCCTGGTGATTACAGTTTTCCTGTATCGTCAGCCAGTGTTCGTAGTATGAAAACATCAATGACATTCTTAACGGACGCTCCAGGTATTCAGAGAAGATTGAATTATATGTCCAAATTCAACTTTAACATAGTTCTCTTGGGTATTATGATGTTCTTTGAAAGGTAGTGATTGGAATTGACAATTCCTCGTTTACCTAAGTAGCTTCTCTTTGTAGAGATGATATCGCTAATTACTTCAATTTAAAATGATATTCTTACCTTTATTCCTCCCGTCATTGAAAGTAATATCAGTGGGAAGCCAGTTCGATCTTTTAAAGATGCTGACTTCGCTACTGAAAGCAATAACAGACAATGATATTCAAATATCGTTTCCCTGTGCTAACTCAAACATTTACAGGAACGCTGAAATTTTACTTTTATAAAAAGAAACACACTCCGAAGAAAAATTTATTTCGAACTCGAAAACGGAGATAAGACATTTCCTGTTTTCTCAAAGATTGAGTTCATGATGATTTTTCTTCGGTGTATGTTTCCTAAGTAATGAATTTCACACTTATTGCTGCAATGTTTCGTCTTTTTCGTGTAACAAGATAAATTATTTAACTCATATTCTTTTCTTTTGCTAACCATCAGGTATGGACGACAATGGCGATATCTACGCGGACAAACTAATCATACAAGATGAACTAATCTTGGAACTCAGGCAACAGTATGACGAACTATAAATACTTCAACCAATCGTCAATTTTCCCATCTTCCAGAATGTGAAAGACCTTCTGTCGTATCGTACATATTAGGTTACGAGTGCAGTTCTTGGAGTCTTTAGAAAAATGGAAAATCGACGCCATGGAAAGGGCAAACAGCATTGTGGCGGCAAAGGTATGCTTCAAGACATTTTAAAGAATGAAAGAACTTCTTTATTATTCACGTCATTCTCGCGAGTTGTTTGATGGAGTATGGAAAAAATTCGGATCTTTCATAGACGGGTTCTCGTTTAAGATGGTTGTAGAGTTTTTCAAAGGGTGTTAGAAAGGTGCAAATGTTTAACTTTTTTGGAAAAGTTCAAGTCTTTTGAAAGGATTTCTTTCTCTTCGTCCGTAATAAGGCGGTCGGTTTTTTTGTCAAATCATTTGGTGTAAATGCGTAAGGAGAAAAAGGGGGGAAATGTGATATGAAATGCGAAATCCACGCATAAAACATTTTCAACATATTTCGTCTTGCTGTTCTTTTCTTGGGAATGCAAATATTTGACATGAAAATTTATCTTACAATGCAGGCCGAGGAGCTTAATAGCGAACTGGACTTGCGACTTCATTTGCATAAACCGCGACCGTCACGTGCTGAGCAGGATGTCCACAACGTGAGAGCAGGTAGGCAAATTTCCCTATGTCACATAATATCATATAAGGAAGCAGGGCTGCATAAAATATTTTATTTTTTAAGACTTCAAGACCAACGAGAGTATTTGTGCTAGAAACTGCCTCGTGAATTTTTTTACTAATCCATTTTGAATGGTATATTTGTGTCGCTCACTGCAATTGAATATTGTAGATGAAGAAATGACGTGTAAGAGCTGCAAAGATGACTTTGTCTAACTGTTTTATTACTTTTTTAGTGCTAAGACTTCTTTCTGTGTGTGTATGTATCTGACACTTATTCTTTCTTTCTTTTTTCCCTTTCGATGTCAACGTTTTTCTCTTCTACTTTTAAGTAAATTTTTTTGTGCAAACCTCAAAAATTTTCTGGGACCAGTTGTCCAGCGGTCTGCTAAATTATGCATCCCTGTAAGAGAGTTTTATATGTAAATTTCAAAAAAATGGCAACTGTGTGTGGGTGGGGGAGGGGTGGGGAGGACATTGCTATGGAAAGGAAATATTGTACATTTTTCCATCTTTCTAGCGGAGTTAGTCATTCATCAAGAAAGGGTGGAAAGCCATTCCAAGGGCATCAGTTGCACTTTAAACGAATTTCGAAGTCGCTTTCAAACGATGATCGAAGAACATAACGAGCAGGTGAGAATAGAGAGATGTAAAAATCTTTCTTGAGACTCTATGAAATAACAACAATAAAACGCGTGCGTTGATTGGTCTACAGCTAAGTTTGCATTGGCCTGTGTTATCCGATCTTAGTTCAATCGATTAAATCAATCAAAGAGAATTTGCAAATCAATGTAAAAGGAAAAATTAAAACATATGTTTTTAATTTATCTGTTTTGCATTTTTTTATGATAAAAAGTGTTTCCGCAGATCTGCTCCCGAGTTCTCCCTGATGTTTCCTCGGTTTGAATATGCCTTTTCAAACACAGTAAACATCTTTTGTTTCTTAAATGAAGTGTTTTACTATAGTATTCTAACGCAAAGCAACGCACAAGTTAGACAGCAACTTTTTCTAAAGATTTTGAAATACTGCCTGGCTAGTAAAATCTCATTTCACAGACCGTTAAGTTCAAGAAATCCGTGCAAGAACTGGAGGCAACTTTTACGTCGGCTACGAAAACTCACGAGTAAGCATGACGTCATCGAGTTTTGACACTTTTTTTGACACTGCACAAAAAAACGTCCGGTTTATAAATTGTCTTTTTCAGACTGTTGGCTATTCAAGATCACGTCAGCGGACAAGTGGAAACATACATGAATGAAATAAGAAGTTCATTGCGCAAATTTCGTCACGATTTGGATGGAATGTTATCGTCGCTTAGAAACTCCAATGCAAGATTCAGAAAGTCTTTTAAGTAGGTTCTTTGCACTTCAATGTGTCTTCATTTTGCATTCGTGGGCAAAATATTGCCATCGACGTTTCTCAGTTATGTAAGTGAGCTCTATATTCGTTTATTGAAGTACCTGTGGTAAGGTATGTACAACAAATTAGAGTGATCGAACAGAATGATTTGAACCCAAGAGTATAGTTACATGTTTTAGATGTAGCTTATCCAGATTAGTGCAGTCCAAAGAAGGACTTTTGGTGTCCGTTGCAAGAAGCCTAAATAGCGTTATCCATTGGATAGTAAAATTTTTAAACTTGTAAAAAAAGTGTTTGTATTTTCGTTGCGACGAAGAAATTTTTTATTTTATTTCAGTGACTGCTCGGTTCAAGGCTTAGCTATATTTTTCCTTTTTAAGAAGTTTTTTAAGCGTTTGAAAAAAATTGCCATCCAATTGATAACGCTATCCAGGCTTCGTGCAGCCGGTCCCTGTAGGTGATATCCAACGAGTCTGTATATTTTTCTACATATCTAGAGTGTTTTCAGAAGGAGGTAACTTCTCATTGGAAGAAGTTGAAGAATACAGAAAAAAACTGGTAATATTTTACCATATATATCGTATTGCCAGTCTGAGAAACATTATCGTTCAAATCACGCCAGTTGTAAAAATTGTATCAGTTCTGTGAAAGTTTCTTGCGTAAACGAAAGCACTCATAAATCATAATAGATTAACAAATATTTTTGAGTACGAGTTGTGCGTGCTTTTTATTAGAAATCCAATTCAATTCAGAGCAGTGTCAAGCTCAAATTTAGATGATCAAACCACAAATCGAACATACGTATATCGCAGTCTATTGCAGTGCGGCGATATAAGATCGCTCAAAAGTCATTGAACACTCTCCCTTTTATGAATTTCCCCAGTATTTGGTCACAAGCCTTTGATTTATACTCTAAGTCAGATCGTATACTTGCACAATTTCTTGCAGGAACGGTTGGCAAATAAGATTGACGTTGCAGAAGGGACAATTATGGGTGAACTTGAAGGAATGGAATCAAAGCGTTTAGAAGCTGCACTTGAATACGCTGGCAAGCTAGAAGATAGGTAATGGAGAAGGAAAAATGAGGAGTGCACACCTCTCCTTTCTTTGGATAGATGGGGTACATGAGGGGTGTGAATCGCTCCTAACCTTGGCTAGAGGGATACCGGAGGAGCGTAAGAAGAGTGCACAACTCTCCTAGTCTTGGCTAGAGGGGTGCAAGAAGGATGTGAGAGAAGTGAGCACCTCTCTTAGCCTTGGCTGGAGATGAGCAGGAGGGGTGTGAGAAGAGTGTGCACCTCTCCTTTCTTTGGTTGGATGGGGTGCATGAGGGATGCTGAGGAGTGCGCACCTCTCCTAGCTTTTGGCATGAGGGATGTTGGAGGGGTGTCAGAGGAGTGCGCACCTCTCTTAACCTCGGCTAGAGGTGTGCAGGGGGGATGCTGAGGAGTTCGCACCTCTCCTAGCCATGGCTAGAGGGGTACAAGAGGGATGTTGAAGAGTGCGCGCCTTTCCAAGCCTTGGCTAGAGGGCTACAGGAGGGATGCCAAACAAATTGATGAAAAGCAATTGTGATTAATGTTTGATGCAGCACACTTCCAAAAATCTCTCTGTCATACTAAGAAGATAAGAATTAAAAAAAGTCTAACATGGTCTGGCGAAAAGTAGCCACCGAAATATTATCCAATCTTGCATTTCAGCCCACAAAAAACCCATCGGGTTAATCCATCCTTGGAATTAAAGTTGAATGTAGAAATTCGAAACATCTGATCACATTCAACACGTCACGTACCACCGTAAATTGTTTAAATTCAACACGTCACGTGCCACTGTAATTTTCAAATATTCAACGTGTCACGTGATAACGTAAATTGTGTAAGTTCAACACGTCACGTGCCACCGTAATTTTTCTTAGATTCAAGTATCATCTCTTTGACTTAACGTTCATGGAGAAATTCACGAGGTGGATAACAAACTCACAAGTTAAGATAAAAACAGAGGTATATATAAAGCATTATACTAAAATTTTTATATAAACTTTCGATGGCGTTTTTTTTATTTGCGCATGGATATTTTTTCATCGTGTTGTTTTGTTGTCGGGCAAAATGCTTTGATTAAGAGGATCAATTTTAAAGGAGCGTTGTGATGTTAAAGGAATGTTACATCATGAACGTTCACGAAAAAATTGTATTTGAATTCATCAAATATTTTCTCAATAAAATAGTTCTTTCGCGTTATTTGATAGGTTTCCCAAAGCAATGCCCAATCCAAAAATCTGATTACAAGCCTTGGGAAAGTAGAACGGTATATCGACGCAGTGAGGAATCCAAATTTGGACAAGGAGGTGCGAAACTCTTATGACGTCACGGACGCCATGTCGGTGTTTTAAATAAACTAATATTCTAAAGTCTACCCCCGGATAGATAAGTGTGTCGAACTGTTGTGTGTTTCGATCAATGAACTGGAACCCAGTCTACTGTAGATATCTAACTCCGCCGAAATTCTACAGTTACTAGTGAGGCAAGCCGCCATCTTTAAAGGTGGGAAGACCGACGATATCCTGAGCTAATGGACAGTTGCGAAGTTGATAGTCTAGGTTTGAGTTTTAAAATGCTTGATAGGATTGGGCTTTTTAAACTTTCTTTTAGCTTATTTTTCATTTTGAGTTTTGATTTTGCCACCTTTCAAGATGGCGTCACGGAAGTTAGACATCTAGAGGATTGGGTTCTAAATCATTGGTTTCGAGAGTTACCTGAAGTAAGACGAAATGTTCCTCTACATAATAATTCAACTGTCATAATTTCAACAGGATTGAGATCAAGAATTGCAGGACTTTTCACATTGAATTGAAAACTTTTTAATCGCAAACTGTTGACTCTTAAATTGCTATGTCAATCATTACAATTTCATTTCTTTCAGCAAGTCACGTGTGATGACGTCGTGGATGAATTACGTCAAGTCTTTAGGCAGTTTGTTGATCGTGCAGTGTACTTGGACTGCTTGCTCGTCGATCAAGATGCGTGTTATGCTGCTCTGAAGGACAGAGAACTACCTTATGTGGACGAGGAGCAAGAAAGTAAAGGGAAAAAGAGCAGAAAGGATGGTCGAAGGTTTGAATACATAAGTTATGCTGGCTTTTTATGACGTTTTTTTCAACTGAACTATATAGATCACGACCAGTGTAGCTATATTAGGATGACGTTAGTCATTTTGTTACAAATTACCAGTTGTATACATGTGTAGTACTGTGTAGTACTGTGTAGTACTGTGTAGTACTGTGTAGTAGATGGTTTGATCATACACTTAAAGAAAATAGACCAGTATATGAATACATGATTTCACTTCGTTGAAAATTTGATGCATCATTTCGTTGTATATCTAGATCAAGATCTTTCAGCAAAAGCATCAGACGAAGCTCACAAACTGAAAAATCAAGTGAGTGGAATTTTTGGAATAAGATTCTCAAAAAGTCGTACAAATATCTTATGAACATATATTGATGGATCATGCTGTACTTAAATGAACATGTACTTATTGTTGCGGGGTGCTTATGTGAACATCCACTAATGATCATGCTGTACTCATGTGAACATACACAATAATCATGCTGTGCTCATGTGGACATATACTAATAATCATGAAGTACTCATGTGAACATACAATAATATTATGGTTTACTCTTGTAAGCATGCAGTAAAGTAATGCACTGAGTGCACATGGCATTCTGTTGACGTTTCTATTTAAATACTTTCGTGTATTGTCCGCGTGCGTTTCACGTGCGTACGTAGGTAAAAATAGACTAGGAACCATTGGGACGATTGCACTCGATCGAACGAATGAAGAGATTGAAAGGTCATTGTGGAAGCCAGACTTCTAGCCTGACGTTCAACCTGGAAAGTTTTTTTTATCAAAACTTGAGTGCAAACGAAACTTAAGAAACTAAAACTGTCACAAACCAGGTATTTACTATAAATTTCCTATCTTGCAGCCACTCCCTCGAAACTCCCTGTGATTGAGTCAGATAATCAGTCAGCACCAGATCACACCTCGAACACAATGCCACCAGACATGGAGAAACGGACGTCTTCACAACCAACAACCAAGCAATCGACACAATCAATGAGCCAGCGAAACTTTCGCTCCAAGTATGCGCATGCATGACTTCAAAACAACGTTTACTTCATGTATGCTCGTCAGCTGTTATCGTTTGTTTTCAGCACGATTCGCCGCTCGAGTGTCTTAAAAAAAGATGCTTTTGCAAAATATGAGCGCAAATATATGGTGTTTGGAGAAAAATTTGACAAAGAACCAAAGTAAGCTAAGCCTAGGAAATATGGTGTTGTAGCGCAGATGAATGAGGGATAAGGTAGAGCATGGAAAGGAAGAGTAAATGAAAGTATGACAAAGTAGAGCAGATAAGAGCTTTATAAAGAAGAGTAGATAGCACCTCATGAGGATGAACAGATGAGAGTATGATGAGAAAGAGCAGATAGGAGTTTGTTGGGGTGAGGAAAACACGGAATATAATGGTAAAAAAAGAGCAAAAAATGTATTGGAAAAGCAAAAATAGAAGGGAAAATCGGTTGTTTCTTTAGAAAGGAACTCGAAAATATTATTTTAACTATTTTTGCGTTTCCCAAGAAACTTAAATAAAAGTAAAACTGCGTCGAAATCCTATTCTACGATTTTGATAAAAAAAAGTATCTCGCTTTTTAGAACCGACTTCTTGTCTATAATCCAGCAAATTTTGAAATATTCCTTAGACGGCTTGCTAACAACTGGAGAAGTGAGTACAATGTCAAGCTGATTAGCCAATAGTAATGTACACAAATATCCATATGTAATATACACAAATATCCATATGTAATATACACAAATATCCTTCATTTCACGAAGAGTTCCTTGACGTCCTTATCAAAACTAGTTATTTCACCTCCACCATTGTCTCACGTAGGGGCTGATTACATGAGCCCGCGGGTAGTCGGGATTCAGTCAAGCGTTAAATGATTTTGGCAAATGAAAACGATTCAATACTCATCACCATATAAATCTTCTCTGGCAATTTCACAATATTCCGATTTAATAACTATACGCAAAACATTTAAAAATGAAAACAACCAATTTGGCCTAATTTGAGAGTTGCAACAGGAATGACTTCCGGCGTTTAACGAAAAGTTGTAATTTTTTCGCTTGAAGTTTTTGACTCCTTTTAATGCCTCAAAATCCTTTCACGCCTCACTGAATCTCGGTTAGCTGGGATCGTGTAAACAGCCTCTTAGATGCCACTGCGATTCTAATTGCCTCATTTTTTAAGGCCTACTATCGTCAGAAAGGAACAAGATTAGCCACACGTTCAACAATACTGGACAATTTCGATGTATACGCGCAAACGACAGTACTAAGACTAAAATCGTACAGGACGCAAGCTGAAGAATACCACAATTCTTGCATTCAAGGTCAGTTTGAACGATGAGGTAATTTGTTACTTTCGTATGACGTCATAAGTTGTATTCAAAAGAAAGGAAGCAATATGGTACGCGGTTTTTCATTGCAAGCCTCAATCCAATATATTTTATGCTCTCTTTGGTCACATTCATAGAACTGCGAAGTCAGCTGAAAAGGCTTCAAATGCTTGCAGTTCAAATGGCAGAATTAGCACACCAGACATTGAAAAGAAGGCATATGGAAGAGAATGAAATTTACAAGAAAAAAATGGAGCAGCGCGAAAAAGAGACAGTGGCATCCTTCGAGAATCAAAGAGTAAGTGAAGCTGTTTTTGTTTGTCATCCTCTATTTTATCGTGACAAGCTCTCTTTCGCACAGTGATAGTTTTTGATAGAAGAGCCTTCCTGTAGAATCAGAGCATCTATACGCTTGGCTGGTAAAAACAGATCACAACTACCCAATCAACAACGATCTCGTCGTTTCAATGCATTTTAGTAAATTTTGGTTTTCAAATTGTCTTCTTCAAGTGTCTTTTTTTAGCATATCTTCTTCAACAAGTCTTCTTCGCCATGCCTTCAAAATGTCTCGTGCAACATGTCTTACTCGACAGGTTTCCTTAAGCTAAATATTATTTTTATGTGTCTCTTCAGCAAATCCTCGTTACATGTCGTCTTCAACGTGTCCCTTTCAACATTTTTTTCGTTAAAACATGCCGAAATAAGTCATCAATTCACAACCTTTATAAGAGTATTTCCTGCTTATATATAGAAGGAACACGAACATAGGTTGCGTCCGGCACTTGGCCATCCAAAGAATCGTGAACAACTCGAAGAATTGAAGGATGCCGAGAAAGAGCGAAGTGCTTTGAAATTAAAAGCTTTGAAAGATTACATCGATGAAGTAAAGGTCAGAGTGATTTTCATTGTTTAATGTTGTTTCAATAATTCAACCATTGTTGTTGTTTTAACAAACAGAGCAATGCAATACTACGAGCGAAAACATTTGTTGAAAAAGTGTCGAGAACCGGTGCAGAAATGTCACGATTATTTGATGGATTGGTGACAGTAGATGACGTAAAGATTGCAAGTAAGCCAACCGATATTTAATATCATGACGAAGAATTTCTCTCAACACTTTTTCAAAAGTGTTTCATCTCTTTTTCATCTCTTTTAATTTCTGCATTGGAGACATCGTCTTGAAGATGCCTTTACGTCTACGGCAAGTAACCATCTCTAAAATCTGCTTCTCCAGTGCTTATCATCGAAACATGGTCATCCTCTCTTTCTTTGTTTTGCATAGCTTCTTCACGATGCTTTCTTCAAAATACCCATTTCCTTTAACATGATTTCTTTAAGATGCCTTCTCTAGAATGTTTCCTTCAACAAAGCGTCTTCAAGATATCTTCTTAAAAATGTTCCTCCAACATAACTTCATTAAGATGTCCTCTACAGAACGTCATCTTTGACATAACTTCTTTAAAATGCCTTCAAATGAAATGTTTCTTTCCACGTAACTTTTCCAAATGTCTTCTTCAAAATGATTCCTTCAACATGTCTTACTCAATACATCTTTCACAACGCATCGACATCAACATGACTTCTTTCCTTCAGACACTAGATTTAATAACTAAACAATTTGGTATTACAATACTTTAGAAGTTGGGGACAAACCAAAGAGTACCAAACAAATTTTATTGGAAAGAGCGAAGCCACCAAAGGACGAGCAAGGTAGGACTCCATTCTTCCAATGACAAAAGCTTTCATAAAAACCCTTGCTGGACGTACAAATTTCCCCGAATAGTTTATCACAATTGCTGTTCTTCAGAAAAGATTTATTTTACAGAGAAAGAGTCAGAGTTCTATAGCAAACCTGGTGGAAAGTGGGAAGGCATACCAACAAACGAGCTTCGCTTTTCACCCCAAGATGTTCTTACTAATATCCTTTTACTGAGACATCGTTGTTGTGATTTCAAGGTTTCGATTCAAATACAAAATTAAGCTTGCATTAGGTCATTCACCACAATCGGGACTTCCAATAAGACGCATTTCATCAAACTCACAATCACCGCCTGTAATTGTTGCGTATTGTTGAACGATTTTACATTTCACCCAGCGAGATTTTAGGATTCCCTAAACGACAGTCGTGATTCTCCATTTTCCATAACCTTAGCACACCCATTGCTTGATTCCCTAAACGACAGTCGTGATTCTCCATTTTCCATACCCTTAACACACCCATTGCTTGATTCCCTAAACGACAGTCGTGATTCTCCATTTTCCATACCCTTAGCACACCCATTGTTTGATTCCCTAAACGACAGTCGTGATTCTCCATTTTCCATACCCTTAACACACCCATTGCTTGATTCCCTAAACGACAGTCGTGATTCTCCATTTTCCATACCCTTAGCACACCCATTGTTTGATTCCCTAAACGACAGTCGTGATTCTCCATTTTCCATACCCTTAGCACACCCATTGCTTGATTCCCTAAACGACAGTCGTGATTCTCCATTTCCATACCCTTAGCACACCCATTGTTTGATTCCCTAAACGACAGTCGTGATTCTCCATTTTCCATACCCTTAGCACACCCATTGCTTGATTCCTAAACGACAGTCGTGATTCTCCATTTTCCATACCCTTAGCACACCCATTGTTTGATTCCCTAAACGACAGTCGTGATTCTCCATTTCCATACCCTTAGCACACCATTGTTTGATTCCTAAACGACAGTCGTGATTCTCCATTTTCCATACCCTTAGCACACCCATTGCTTGATTCCCTAAACGACAGTCGTGATTCTCCATTTTCCATACCCTTAGCACACCCATTGCTTGATTCCCTAAACGACAGTCGTGATTCTCCATTTTCCATACCCTTAGCACACCCATTGCTTGATTCAAACGACAGTCGTGATTCTCCATTTTCCATACCCTTAGCACACCCATTGCTTGATTCCCTAAACGACAGTCGTGATTCTCCATTTTCCATACCCTTAGCACACCCATTGCTTGATTCCCTAAACGACAGTCGTGATTCTCCATTTTCCATACCCTTGCCATTCCTTTTTTCTCATTTTCCATACCACACCCATTGCTTGATTCCTCAGTCGTGATTCTCCATTTTCCATACCCTACACACCCATTGTTGATTCCCTAAACGACAGTCGTGATTCTCCATTTTCCATACCCTAGCCACCCATTGCTTGATTCCCTAAACGACAGTCGTGATTCTCCATTTTCCATACCCTTAGCACACCCATTGCTTGATTCCTAAACGACAGTCGTGATTCTCCATTTTCCATACCCTTAGCACACCCATTGCTTGATTCCTAAACGACAGTCGTGATTCTCCATTTTCCATACCCTTAGCACACCCATTGCTTGATTCCCTAAACGACAGTCGTGATTCTCCATTTTCCATACCCTTAGCACACCCATTGTTTGATTCCCTAAACGACAGTCGTGATTCTCCATTTTCCATACCCTTAGCACACCCATTGCTTGATTCCCTAAACGACAGTCGTGATTCTCCATTTTCCATACCCTTAGCACACCCATTGCTTTATTCCCTAAACGACAGTCGTGATTCTCCATTTTCCATACCCTTAGCACACCCATTGCTTGATTCCCTAAACGACAGTCGTGATTCTCCATTTTCCATACCCTTAGCACACCCATTGCTTGATTCCCTAAAAGACAGTCATGACTCTCCATTTTCCATACCCGTAGCACACCAATTGCTTTAAAATTTTGCAATTGATGTTCACAATTAAACAATGCATCAACTTATCAACAAGTGACATTTTCCTTGACCTTCTCTACGGACACCAAGTGTGCTAACTTCCAAAATAACTGCCGCTCACCACTCAGTTTTTAACGCAAGAGACGAGGCTTACAAGGTACACACAAAAAAGAGTTTGGTGCCCATTTAAAATGCTCATCTTTTGTTGTCATACGTAAATGAGCTCCCGCAACAGTAATGGCCTTTCTGTTTTCACGTGATTGCATGTTAACTCTTGAGCTATTGGAGAATTGATAGTCAGTCATTCCGTGTTAACACATTAAGTAGTTTTAATTTATTCTCGGCAATATTAAACATGATGTGGAGATGACAAATTTCTCACTCCACCGAGGTAAAGGGAAACTTGCATTAAAGTTTTTGTGATTCGAAATTTTGTCACAAATTTTTTTGATTGTATCGCAAAGAACATTTAAAATGACCTTGCAACCTTTTCATTGTCGAGATATTTTATTTTATTCATTATGCAAATAAAATCTTCATGACTTCATAGTCTCGTAGACCATCAATTTTTCACATCGAATTTTATGCACAAATACAACAATTTCATGGACATACATGTGTAGATGAATATATTTGTAAATGCGCCAAAGTTATATATTTTATTGCTGACCGTCGACAAGAGCTACAATTTCTCAATGCTAATTATGCAGTGCGATGTCATAACGATGTTATTTGCATTGTGAAAAAAAGGTGAACAACTTCAAAAAGAAATAAAATAACACAGTTGTATTGAAAAATATATTAGGTCACTTTCAATTTTCTTTACATGCAATTAGAAAATTCTATGATAAAATTTGTTGTCATAAACACTTTAAAGTGACACCTTAAACTACATCCTTTTTTTCATGATTACAAAGCACTGTTCTTTGCCCACGCAAATACGACATTTAAAATACACACATTAAACTACATCCTTTTTTTTTCACGGTTACAAAGCACTATTCTTTGCCCACGCAAACACAACACTTGAAATACACATATTAAAGTACATCCTTTTTCTTCAGGATTACAAAGCACCATTATTTGCCCGCGCAAACACGACATTTGAAATACATTAAACTACATCCTTTTTCATGATTACAAAGCACTATTCTTTGCCCACGTAAACACGACACTTGAAATACACATATTAAAGTACATCCTTTTTCTTCAGGATTACAAAGCACCATTATTTGCCCGCGCAAACACGACATTTGAAATACATTAAACTACATCCTTTTTTCATGATTACAAAGCACTATTCTTTGCCCACGTAAACACGACACTTAAAATACACACATTAAACTACATGCTTTTTCTTCAGGATTACAAAGCGCAATTCTTCGCCCACGTCAACGAAATCAATAATTACGGAGAGAACGCTTCTCACGAAGAAGAAAGATGGCAGGAAAAATGGCGCTTTTCGTTACAAAGGATACAGAACTTACATTGAAGTATTTATTTTTATTTCTATTAGTGGTAAAAATGCGTTAAGTATTGTTGGACAAGCCCTTAAACAAATAGCTATCATAAATTTACCTCAAAAGATTATTTTTTTGTCAAATATTTATAATGATAATGGACAATGGTCACCGTCATATTTTTTAAAACAATATTTGTCATCGGAATAATTCGAAATTTCGATATTGCTCGCCGAAATGTTTTTTCAATGCTAAAATCCGTTGCCTTTTTTTTATCAAATCACAGCAAGTGGATAAAATTTATGTGTAAAAAATACTTAAACAATTGCCATATAAAAACAGGATGAAGCAGGAATTGTATTACGGAGAGGGTGCACCATTATTTGCCTACCTGAACCCCGTCCTTTCAAGGATTGGGGGGTGGGGTGCGCACCTCCCAATCCTTGAAAGGACGGGGTTCAGGGAGGTTCAAATCCCCCCACACAAAGTATCAATATACCAACCGATTAAGCTAAAACAACCGTCAAATTACACATTTCCCAAGGTTTCAAGTCAAAACTACAAAAACTATGACATGTGAATGACATAACGACACCCACAAAAGAGAGCCACTGAAATCTAATCTAAACTAGACTGACCAAACAGCATCTTAAAAAAACTAAAGCACCCCCCTGCAAAATTATATTGGATCCATCCCTGGAATAAAGCACAAGAAAATTCTTGACTTAACGTCATCCTTCCTTTCATTTCACAGTAGCATGAGCTTTCCACCTCAGGTTACGAATGTCAAGTAGATATCACAGCTTCATCCCATGGACCGTGTATGTTACTACAAACGAACACAACAAAAGAAACTCGCTCAACAATGACGACGACATTTAGTTTGTTACTACAAACGAACACAACAAAAGAAACTCGCTCAACAATGACGACGACATTTAGTTTGTTACTACAAACGAACACAACAAAAGAAACTCGCTCAACAATGACGACGACATTTAGTTTGTTGGGAATGGACAGCATTTCAATGCTTTCGATTATTGATGAAGCAATTCTAATCATATAGTTGCAGCGAATGAGCGAAAACACTTTTGTTCGGTTACATGCAATGGCTTAACTAGCGCATTTGTTCAGTCTTAAATAAAGGATTATTGATAAGGCCTTCGGGTGCAACACTACAGTAAAACTAAAATTTACTGCAACATTACCGTACAATGTGTAACACTACAGTACGATATGCCACACTACTGTACAATATGCAATAGTACGGTACAATATACAACACTACGCTACAATATACAACACTACGCTACAATATACAACACTACAGTACGATATGCCACACTACTGTACAATATGCAATAGTACGGTACAATATACAACACTACGCTACAATATACAACACTACGCTACAATATACAACACTACGGTACGATATGCCACACTGCTGTACAATATGCAATGGTACGGTACAATATACAACACTACGCTACAATATACAACACTACGCTACAATATACAACACTGCGGTACAATATACAACACTGCGGTACAATATACAACACTGCGGTACAATATATACAACACTACGGTACAATATACAACACTACGGTACAATATACAACACGTATATTATACAACACTACGGTACAATATACAACACTACGGTACAATATACAACACTGCTACAATATACAACACTACGGTACAATATACAATACTACGGTACAATATACAACACTACGCTACAATATACAACACACTACGGTACAATATACAACACTACGGTACAATATACAACACTACGCTACAATATACAACACTGCGGTACAATATACAACACTACGCTACATATACAACACTACGGTACAATATACAACACTACGCTACAATATACAACACACTACGGTACAATATACAATACTACGGTACAATATACAACACTACGGTACAATATACAACACTGCGGTACAATATACAACACTACGGTACAATATACAATACTACGGTACAATATACAACACTACGGTTTATGCAATACGGTTATACAACACTGCGGTACAATATACAACACTACGGTACAATATACAACACTACGCTACAATATACAACACTACGGTACAATATACAACACTACGGTACAATATACAACACTACGGTACAATATACAACACTACGCTACAATATACAACACTACGGTACAATATACAACACTACGGTACAATATACAACACTACGGTACAATATACAACACTACGGTACAATATACAATACTACGGTACAATATACAACACTACGGTACAATATACAACACTACGCTATAATATACAACACTACGCTACAATATACAACACTACGCTACAATATACAACACTACGCTACAATATACAACACTACGGTACAATATACAACACTCCGGTACAATATACAATAATACGGTACATTATGCAACACTACAGTACATTATGCAGCACTACGGTACAATATGCCACACTACGGTACAACATGCCACACTACATTAAGATACGGAATAAACATTGATCTTATTAAACGAATTGTTTGAAAGGTTAGATGCACTCTACATCCACTGCTCTTTTCACGACATTCAACATCACGTGACTTACTCTTTATATCGTTGAAGACGAACGAGCCAATAAGGACACAGGAACATCAGAGCACTTTGTGTAAGCACAAAAAATACACCCGCCAAAAGAGATATGGTCAGAACAGACACAAGAGCTATGAGTAGCAAACTCCAAGTCATGAAAGGTTGGCTGCGGGGGCAAAATGTCTAAAACAGTGAGGAGAGCACACTTATGGAGACGAAGAACGAACTCAGTTATTTTTAACAGTGGTAAAAAACAAAAAATCAATTTAATAATGCTTGCTAAAGCAGTTCATCAATGCTTGTTAAAGCAGCTCATCTCAATGAAATAACTCAGCGTTAACTGGACTAAAATCATTGAATTGATTTGATCTCTACAAACTTAAGATGTTGACACACAAAATCTTTTAGTTCTTTCAAATACCATATCTTTGCAGTGAGAATTGACAAATATTTATGCATTTTGAGGTTATGCATGCAGGCTCTTCGACTATACACGGAATATTTCAAATGGTTGGTCATCAAACTCTTTTTGTATGAGATATTTTACAACTAATTGCAATCGATCTTTCATTAACTTAATAAAGTAAACAACGCAAAAAGAAAATGTACCCTGAACATTCTTCTAACGTACGCATTATGTAGTCCACTTTGGCAAACTCACTTCAACAGAAGTATTGTTAATGAACAAGCAAAAATAAACCAACAACAAGCATTCACCAACCTTTAAAGTTTCACGAAACACAGGAAACAACGCAAATATCTCCACAGCAAGTATAACGGTTACAAAAGCATGCCACGACGACGGAAGTCGCGAAGCAAGACACACAGAACCAAATATCGCTGTATTCAAAGATGCCGCCTTCGATACTCTACAGAAATAAAAACATACTGACGTCAAGACATCGGGAACGAGAAAAAAACAATGATGTACGTAATTAACGCTTCGATTTTTAATCATTTTGTATCTTTTGTTTTCGCGCACTTTCTGATTTTTAATGTTGTCTATGGTAGAGCTCGAGGTCTATTATTTTTTGTGCTAAAGTAGATTCGTCCTATGAAGAGGAATCAATGTTGTCGGATTGCGATACCAGCTCGTGGTCTCCGGATTCCACGCTCTTGGATTCGGATTTCATGCTCGTGAATTCCTGATTCCAAAACTTAAATTTTGCTGGATTCCGGATCATTACTACGTTGATTGACTTGATTCTAGATTTATTAGTTATTACGAATTGAATTCCATGTCAAAGTTTTATTTCCTTCAGCACTGACAAAAAGAAACAGAAACTTCTAAACACGCAAGCCAACATTAAGCTTTCGACCTTTTTTAACATTTGTTTTGTTGTAACATATTCATTTGCTGTAACAAATCAACAGCTAGTGCAGATTTTCATATTTAAAACTTACATGGCTCCACTACCTCCATAATCATGCATTATTAGATTCATTCCAAGCATACAGATCTAAAATAGTGCAAACAATATCTTTCATTTAATGATGTTTGAACTAACTGCATGCCAATACTTGCAGAAGTTTCATTTTACCGTCATGGCATAAATAGTATCCGTGCTAATGGAGTCTGTTAATGTTCTCAATATAGGAGAGAGTCCAAATGAGAATGCAAGAAACAGAACAAAACTCTTGAGATCATCTTGCACTATCAAACACGTTTGAATTTTAAGTAAAAATATAAATTCAATGAGCAAATTAGTATTTTTACTCAGGCAATCATGCAAATGATTGTTGGAGGATATTTTATCAAAGTAAACCAGTGACATATCCCCCTTAAAATATTGTTATGTTTCACATATATTATATATTTTGAATGACAGCTGCAGCCCCCTCCTTCCCTTTTGACTGCCCCCCTTGACAGAATATCCTGGCTACACCACTAAAGTAACCATAAACCATTTATGAGAAAACTAAATAACATCATAGTCAGCATAGGCAGTGAGAGGTGGGAGACTGGAGATGGTTGGTTGGCATAAGGCCCAGTTTTTTTAAAGTAACTTTATCTCAAAGCATTACTCTTCAAAATTATTTTTGTAATAGTTTGATTGCATCGACAGATGATAAATTTTCATAATTACAGATGTGGGTGCTGAAAATTTTAGGACCCACATCTGTACATTTAGAACACATTTTAGAACAAGTTTTGGTGGAGATTTAATTAAGGGTTGAGATTTAATTAAGGGACGGTCAGATAGTTTAGGCATCAAAGGTAGTGTAAAGAGTTGAAACATTGCCTAGAAAAAGTCAGTTTAGCTGTACTTCTAGTTTATTTTGCTAAAAATAGGGCAATTAATATGTTTCTTAGAGGGGAGAACAATTTATTTAGGGGGGTGAAATAGGATGTTTCTAGGGGTGGCACTCCCTGCAACACAAAGAAATTCATTTGTAATTGATTGCGATGACGATGTCCTACCTTTCATCTGTGTTCCTTCCCAACTGATAAACAGGTAAATAAAGTAAGAGATCGAGGTCACCATCACTGACATCAAGAACAGTACAGATGGTGAAATACACTCTTGCTTCATGTAGACAAAACACATCACAAACAGACACAAACTAAAACAACAATTCAATAAAATAGAAATTTAGATGTGGCAAAAACATTGAAGTGTGTAAATTCTTTAACAAAACTTAGACAAAGATGAGATCATTGATTTGGTGTAAATGAAGCAATCTATAAGTACTTTTTTGTCAAAAATGAAAGGAAATAGTTAGATGATAAAACACTACTTTATGACATCGTTTTCTACTCAATGCAAGGCAATGAAAGATAAATTTTCAAGAGATGCACAAGTCCACAAAATTCAATGTTGTTGGCCAAGCCAATTGATATTTGTTGAAGAGTGTATATCTAGCACACTCATTACTTACATATCATTAATTTTTGAAGTATGCTAAAAGAAAGATTTATGCTTGGTGTACTTTAGGTTAAAATGGCAATCAATCTATAAATTGATGGTAGACTACTAAACAGTTGAACTAGCTTATTCATGACGAGAATTAACGAAGAGGATGATAGTCAAAGATAGCCTGATTTTAACCTGCTAAATTGTTGTGAAACTCTTCCAGCTTCATTGGAGACAATCCAGAAATGATAGTTTCTCGTGTATACTAAAAATAATACTTTGTTATACGCATCCAATTCAAATCGTAGGCATAATTATCGATCTTTTACCATTCCTAGATTTCACTCAAATATTTACCATTTTTTTCAGTTCATACAGGAAAGATTCGTCAACATAATTATCTGGGTAATTTTGTTCTTCGTACAAGATTTTTCTCCATGGCTTTTTCACCATTATAAGAAATTTTTTCTTAAAAAATAACAGAGTGTGACTTTGCTTGACAGACAGTCAAGTCATCCCACCTGAGATAGCAAAGGTTATAAGGGTGAAATTAATTACTTTGTATGAAGCATGTATATGTCAAAATGCACATTAGCTCAACCAACATAACAGCATAGTTAAATTTCAAAATTCTTATACAAAACCAATGATTTTTTAACAAAAACTAGGCCATTTCGAAAACCCACCAAACAATGACCAGTTCAAATTAAATGAAGATATGATCTTCGCACTTTGCTGGACAATTTAAGCAATCGTCTCAGGACCTGAAAAAATCAGATGACTCAACGGGATCCCGTTGAGTCATCATGCATAAAAACATTTAATGACCAGTTCATTGTATCCCATCTGTCAGAATCATTGGTCAGAATCGATTGCAAATCGGCAATACCAGGGCAATACCAAGCAATACTATCCATTTAACATTATGTACACTACTTCAGTCTTAAAAATATTACTGATAAGTAGTCGTTATGTTTCAATATAACATATAAAGATCTCAATTATGCCATCACAGTCAATTTGTATTCCTAATGTACAAGAACAAAAAATTTTAAAAATACCGTGTTGGCTAAGAATTTTCTCTATAATTCTGCAACGCAATATACACAATTTACTTCTTTACCGACCAAACCTTGTTCATTTTGATGTTAAAAAGAAGACCAATAATGTTATTTCTTTTTAATCGAGCTGCTTCAAAAAGATGAAAATTTGCTGAAAAACAGGGGAGAGCAGGACCCTGGAACGAGCGGCCGAGCGGGGGAAAAACCTCCACACATCATTACCACTGTCATTGCGATGAATGGGAAGTAGGAATTGTAAGGTTACCAAGAAGAGTTTAGGTGTAGAAAAGCTCTAGAATAGTTTACAACAAAATAGAAGTGCCTGTATTTCCGATATTCGGTGATAATGGCGATGTCTGAAGCGCATCGTGAATTTTTAAGAAAAAACAGGGAATATCTCAAACGAAATCTTGAGGTTGATGCTGTTTGGCCACAAATGACGGACGTTCTGGATCGTAACTGCGAAGACAAAATTCGAGCAGAATCCACCCCTGAAGCTCCTACTTTGGAACTTCTTAATTTGATGCATCGGCGAGGAGATGAAGCATTTATATCCTTTAATAGAGCGACACTTAAAGTTCAAAAATGGGTTGGGGAACACTTGGCTGACTTAGCCGGACTTAATGTGAACCATATACTTCCAAATGCCACGCAAAGTACGACATTTTTTATTTCTTATACTGTTATATATTACGTACTGTGAGCTTGTTTGCCTGTCTATTATTTATTCATTCTGATGATAATAATGAATAAGATAAAATTCTCTAGATGATAAGAATGCGAATATCGACTTCACTTACAGACGTTTTAATGAAGAACCATCTTCTTACATATATACAGAAACATCAGAAAGTTTTAAACCTTTTATTTTACCATTGTCTTACTTAGGAGAAACTGAAGAGCCTGGAATGAAAGAGGTCCATCGTCGAATTCTTGTGAGCCATTTGTCCACATTTAAGCAATCACTTAATGTCGCTGAAATGGTTGAAAGTTTATCCAACAATGTGGCGATCACAAGTAGAAATCCTGGTGTCAACATCAGAACTGTGTTGCAAGAGCCATCTATGGACAAAAAAGTGGAAAAGCTTATATGTGATGTGCTTCCGCGTTTAGGGCCTGATGCATTCGAATGTTTTTTCAAAACCTTAGATAAAAATCAGCCGCAACTTGCCCATGATTTGAGGCAGTCAATAAAAGGTATGTAAAAAATGTAACAATTATTACTCCTTAATTTCGTAAAAGCACTATTGCCAATACACATTTAATATAAACGACAACTTTTTTGAAAATAGACATGTTTCGACATCTCATGATGCCATCTTCAGTATGAGTGGAAAGCAGAGAAACTTTGGATAAACGCCGAGTGAAAGACAATCTTTAAGAAACATAACATCTAGTTCTGCTTTCCGTTGTTTGGTTTGAAGCTTTTCAAACTTCCGCAATTCTTATAAGGAATTTTTTCCTTCGTGTATTTTGCAAGCCGATTCATATTCAAAGGGATCAAGGCTCGGAATTTTTCAATCGGGACTTTAAGAAACTCATGACAGAAGAAAAAATTACATTGTTCAACACGTTTAACGAGACAAAGGCATCGATTGTTAAACGTTTGATACGTACACTGAAAGCAAAAATGTGGCGTTACTTTACCGCAAATAAAACGATGAGATACATCGACATGTTGCCCGATCTGATGTATTCTTATAATCATAGTATGCATCGTAGCATCAAGGAAAAACCGATCAACGTTACAAGTTAAAATGAAGATAGAATCTGGCAAAATCTATACGGAGATAGCAAACTAAATAAACATACACATGTGAAATATAAGTTTGATATTGGCGATCAAGTACTAATAAGTAAGACAAAACGAAAGTTTGAGAAGGGGTATTTACTAAATTTTTCAAAAGAAATTTTCACTGTAATTCAAAAAATACCACGTAATCCTCCTGTATACAGGCTGAAGGATTATGATGGGGAAGAACTTAAAGGAACGTTTTATGAAAAAGAACTTCAAAACGTCATCAAGAAAGACGATGTTTACGACATTGAAAAAATATTTAAGAAACGGAGCAGAGGGAGTAATGTACAATATATTGTAAAGTTGTCAGGTTACCCAAATAAATTTAATTCTTGGATACCTGATTCAGAAATACATGTATAAAACTTAACTGTGTGCTTGATCTCTTTCATTTAACAATTTATATCAAAGATGAGCGGAACACACTTTTATTTGACATTACCTAGTAATGCATCTCTGCCTAAATTTCCAGATAATAAAGTTTCAGGTTATCGTGTAAAATTACCTCACGTTGTGAATTTAAATGGTAATTGGGAAGTAGGATTGTATTAAATTACATATTCTCATACATGGTACACGTTGAAAAAAGGTTTGGATACACATATATATGTAACTTACAAATCAGGTCTACCTACTCCGGTATTTGTACTAGTAAAATCAGTTAATGAGACTCTTGACAAAGAAGTAAAAGACAATATCAAATTGAGCTTTGACCCCCGAACAGAAAAAATTAAAGTGCATGTAAGACAGGGTTACAGAATATCATTTAATCAACGAATGTCGGTCTTACTTGGTTTTGGCGGAAAAGACGTAGAGATTTCAAAAACAACCGAAAGTCCTTATGCTTGTGATTTGCACGGATCCGTCATGATGTATGTATATTGCAACATTGTACAACCGCAAGTTGTTGGAGACGTCAATGTAAAATTACTAAAGGCAGTTGCTATTCAAGGAAAATATGGAGACATTGTTTTAAGAACATTCACTAATATCCAATACTTACCCGTGCAAACAAAATCTTTTGAGGACATCGAAATTCTCTTAAGGGACGAGTTAGGAAATCCCATCGCATTTGAACGAGGGAAGTCGATAGTGACACTTCATTTCAGAAAACAATCCTTATCTTATTTTATATAAGAAAAAAAATATGTGTAGAACAAACCGTTATGTTCAATATTATCTCAATCAGCAAATAGGATACGGATCACAACCTGTCTTTAGGGGAGCATCCTGGCAAAAAGGTTATGGGCAGATGGGTTATGGTCTTGGTGTTTTTTTTGTAGATTGGCTAGAGCTTCAATACCTTTGGCAAAAACCGGCGCAAAAGCTCTAGGTAAAATTGCCCTTAATACAGGTGCAAACGTTTTGGGTGATGTTATCTCAGGGAAAAGTTTTAAAAAGTCTGCAAAATCTCGTGTTAATCAAGCAGCAAAGGAAATAGGGAAAAAAGCTGTAAGCCGTATACAACAGTTTGTTCAAACAGGAAGAGGAAAACCCCAGAAGAAACAGGCAAAAATAACAGCTAAAAAGAGAAAAGCATCGTCTTCTCATGTCGTTTACCATTCAGCCAAGAGACATAAAGCAGCTAAAGAAGCAGAAGATATTTTCGGTTAAATATGGAGTTCGATCATCCAAAATCAGCAAAATGTACAAAAAGTGAACTTGATATATTTTTCGTACCCCCAACGCAAACCAGTTTGGAAAAGGGGCAATGGATAGACCATCCACCTGTCTCCAGTGTATCTGAAAGCGGTCCGATTATCTTTTTAGCGCCAGGTACAGAAGATTATGTTGACTTGTCTAACACAATGTTGATGGTCAGAGCAAAAGTAACAAAAGCTGACGGGGGAAATCTCGACGATGGCGCTAAAGTAGGGCTGGTGAACAATTTCTTGCATAGTTTGTTTAAGGAAGTTGATGTATTTTTGAAAGGGAAGCTAGTAACCCAAGTGACAGGAACTTATCCTTATCGTGCATATGTCGATACACTTTTGAATTATGGTCCATAAGCTAAACAATCCAAGCTGACAGCTGCGTTGTTTTACAAGGAGGACGAAGCTTCAAAAATGGAGGTTGCCGACCCAGCAAACGCCAGTCCAAACAAAGGCTTGAAAACACGAAGTACGTTTACTGCGAGAAGTGCAATTGTCGAAATGGGAGGCCCTATATTTTGTAATGTTTTCTTCGGTGAACGCCTCCTGCTTAGCTATGATGATTTGAAAGTGGTATTGAACCGTACCAGTGATGAGTTTGCCCTAATGGCATCCGAGGACGATGCAGTCTTTAAAGTGAAACTGGTGGATGTTTATCTAAAAGTTCACAAAGTTAAAGTGAATCCTAGTAGAGCTATGTCTAACGAAGTTGCACTGAAAGAAAGTCCAGCCGTTTACCCTGTAAGGCGTGTGGACTGCAAAAGTTTCATCATTCCATCAGGAAACCCATCGTTGCAAAAAGATAACCTTTTCAACGGTTTGGTACCAAAATCACTTGTCGTTGGTCTTGTTGCAAGTGCTGCATTCAATGGTGCTTATAAATTAAACCCATTCAATTTCCAGCATTTCAGCGTTTCCAGGGGCGGATCTAGAGTATGTCAAATCCGTCGCGCGACTAATGTTTGAAACTCAAAAATTACCTATTCATATTAGTTAAAAATTCATTAATTATTCTTACTTATTATCGCATTTACTTCGTTTGAAAACTAATGACTAATCCAATGAATATCTCCTTGGTAACCAGATCAGTTGAATTTTAATTGACCTGGAATAACCGACTGATAAGCGGGTGGCTTGACTGGTTCGACGGATAAAGGAGTCTATGTACGCCAAAAACGCTTATTTCATTGGTCAATAGCCAGATCAGTGGACAGTCTGGAATGGTCTCGACTGATAATAAGGGTGGCCGGACGTATAAGGGAGTCCACTTGCTATCGTGTAATTGGTTCGTTTAAATTTTTGTCTTACTGTGATTGGTTTGACCTATTTCGACTGATAGCCAACTGAACTAACATAGTCAAGCTCACTGTCTGAATTGTATGTTTGATCGTTTCATAGTAATTTTCTAAAGCATGATAGAAACTAAACTACAATCAGATGGAATTTATGGAAATCTTTTACAAATTCATATATTCACATGAATGCTGCTTTCCAAACTGTGAATTTTTTCAAGAGGGCGAAAAATTTATGGATGAATTGTAAATGCTTGGCAAAGACGATCTCGCGAGCGACATTTCAGTCATTGATGTTCAAAAGCAAGCCAACATTGTTTTGAGTTTTATCAGCAGAAATTTACATCCAAAATCGTAAGTAATTGACAACTGAAGTGTATGCATGAATGTAATATATCAAAGTCAATTTATGCGAGTGTGTGATGCGATTTATGTTAATATGGCGTATGGTAAGCAGATAGATGCTTCTAAAATTGTTGTTGCCGAAGGAGTTTTAGTTATGATTTCTTTAGTGCTTGGGGAATCGTGACCGTTATATGGCAGCGAAATCCTAGATTCCTGCAAATATATTTCAATGGACAAAAAATCTGTAGCCATAAGGCGCCATACTATTTACTTTATCATAAACAAATGTTTGGGGCTTTTCAGTTTATGATCATTGATCATTCAATCATTAGACAGTTATACTACATATTGTTTAAGATTTGAGAAAACTAACATTGATTACATGAGAAGCTGTTTACTATAACTTGTGATTTTGAGTCTTCTGATCCATGAAGCTTTTTATTTTGACAATTTGACTGGAATGGTATTAAACCTTAGTATTTCACATACATGAAATGTTGTCCCATGTCACATATTGTCCCCTTTTCTAACTGAACACCTCATGTAGAGATGTAAAGTTGTGTTAATCTACGGTTAATTTCTAAACTAAATTATTTCAGATTTACATTTAAACGAGCTTTGATCATATGAAAAGATATTTATCATAACCAGTAAGCATGACACATGAACCAATTTTAACATTCATGTAATTATATAATTAAAGACATGTTGGTTACATTCTGTTTGTATTTGATAATACAATGCTACTAGTGATTGCTATATAGCACACCTTGCAGAAGATAATAGATAAGTGAAATGCCTAATAAACAATTATGGCATTAAGCTGACCTTAACTGCAAATTTTCACTCTGTTAATTTTTGCTTAATCTTTGGCAGAAAAAAATTTTGAGTTTTTTCTCAAAAGGTGAATTTGCTGGCACTGATGTGGAGATGGGTAAAGGGTTACAATAAACTTGCATGGTTTGAAGTCTGAGCTTTTTTATATCTATGAACTGTCACTTGTAGTACCGAATTTCTAACTTAACTCATTACATAGAGGTTTGAATGGGGGTCTCTATGGGGGGTCTATGCCTGAAAAATTGGTAGAAATTTTTAAAGACTATATCTGTTTTTGAACAGCATTATTTTAAAATAAATCTTACGTTCCTAGACATAGACATGCTAATGAGCCATATATTTGGCATGATAATGAGCCTAAATATTTGGCAAAACATTCAAGTATTGTTCACTTCATTATTTTGTGAAAAAAAACGTAAGCAAAATGTATTGTTTTTACGCAAAAACGATGCCCACAAAATACATTTTGTAATGCTCTAAAACGCTGAAAATGGCATTTTTAAGGCTCTGAAATTCATAATTTCTCAGGGGAGAATGCCTCAGACCCCCCCAGTTGCGGAGCGCCTCCGACGTTTTATGACTAATGTTTGAAAAATCCTAGATCCGCCCTTGAATTCTGTATTTAGTCGATTGTCTTTTTGACAAAATTTACTCCACAAGCTGTTAAGTTATAGCTTAGCCAGTGCTCTTAATCCTGGATTGTAGTCTCTTTTATCATGCCTTAACAGTATTCCCTCGTTTTCATAATAGCCGGCCACATATTTCTGTCTGTCCTCAGGAGTTTGTATACGACTCGGAAATCTTGAACTCTCTTGCTTTATACGGAGAAAATAATTCACATATTCCGAAAACAAATCGGAGCTTGTGTTTTCAAAGTGCCAAATTTCAAAAATTTCAATAATCTTATATCCTTTTTCAATAGCTTTCAACACTTCAACTGTGGTAAAAGTACCCCAAAAAGCACGCTCATTTTCCGAATGAGTACACACTGAAGAGTTTTGTACAACACACTGTTTACATAATGGAAAAAAGAGTTTATCCTTTATTCGTGCAGGTAAAATTGGAAGATACAAATTTCTGGGTGCTAAAACTTTGCATTTTATTAGTCCGAAATAATTCGAAATTGTTTCAAAATTCTCGCGAATTATTGTTGGATGACCTATAGGATAAACTTTTGTTTTGTTAACGTAAGGATACAACGATGTAAAATCAACATATTCAATTGTTTCATCTTGTTGGGCATCCCTAAAAAGCTTAAACCCATTGACTCTTCAAACAAAAAAACGCATCGCGTGATTCAAGATTCGTTATAATGTCATTTGTATCCAAAAAATTTTTCATTTTTATCCGTTTCCTTAAGTTTGCAATAGTCATGTTCCCAAATCGTCTTAACCTCGTAACCCAATTGTAAAAGTCTATTTTGTCGTCTAATTGTTTCATCAAATACGTCAGCCATCTGTTTCTCATTAAAAAAGGGATGATCATTTCTTAAATCGTAACAAGATGGGCATGCATGATAAAGACAGCCATAAAAAGAAAATATAATGCTTGTTTCTTCACAAAAGCCGTCGAAATAGTACACTTTACCTTATTCCGGATCTTCAACTTTTTTTTCTCCGCCATTGAGAGCGTGTTGTATTTTGCAGTTAGTTTGCGCAGATACAAATTCAAGCCACACGATAGCGCTTTGAGAGAAGGGTTTATTTAAATTTCGATACATATTTTTCGGTACGATTCCGATTGTGTTTGGTTGAAGATATTTTGACCGATAAATTGCCATTACGGCTGCTGCAATGGTACAATAACAGAATGGATCAACTTTAGTCTCTTTGAGAAATAAATTCTAAATTGCAAACAACATAAACGCAGTATGGTAACGTCTTGAGAGCAGTATTTAGCCACTTCCTTTTTGAAATCAAAGACAAAGTTATTTTTCTTTCGTTCTTCATGCTACGCAATCAATTTAGTGCGATCTTTTTCGAACTTTGAATCAGGACTGTAATATTTAATATCAGGTATCGGGACAACATAATTTTGATTTTCTATTGTATTAAACAAAAACGGAAAGTCAGCTTTGGAAAATTTTGTTTCATCTAGTCCAAATGTTTTAGGAAATTTAGCTAAAGGCATTTGTAAAAAGTTCAGCGAGTCAATTAAACGGATTTGATAATCTTTCACTGTCAGTTGCATAATTTTCTGTCCCGAATTAATAACATGTATATCAGCAGTCGGTCTGTATTCAATTAACCATCTCTGAATGAAAACACCGTCAAATGCCTTAGCATTATGGGCAATTGCTGTAAAACCTTTATGTTCTCTTGAAAATAAGAAGGAACGAAACTCGTTCAATGCGTTGTAACCCTTGAAAACAAATAATGTACCGTCTAAATATTGTGCAACAGCTAAATTAACCACATGTTCTCCGGTTGAAAAATCTGTCTCAAAATCGTAAAATATTAGACTATCATTCTTGGCTTTTGGTTTTTCCGTTTGCATGAAACATAAATGATCATCAAGTACAAACTTATTGCATATATATAACATACAGTTTCCCCACAGCAATGTTCGTTTTGTCTGTCTTTGTCAACTATAGATGAACACATTTGACATCGAAACGACTTGTCACACATTGATGGCAAGTCAACCCCTTTGGACCGACGCAATTTTTTATGACGATTAAAACATGCAATAGAGCGACAATTCTTGAAACAATTCGAACACATATGTTTTTCATCTGAAATCTCAACGCAGTCTTTTTGTGTGCACGTTTTACAGACATTATAACAAGGGTGATTTAAACAATTTTTGAATAACTGAAAGCATTTGTCACAGTAGAAACGTTCACCGTGCAAAGCCGAAAGTTTCGCAGGGTTAATAACATTGTAGTGGTCACCTTCTTTGTATAAAATAAGCTTTTTATTTCGGCGGGGCCCCTCATAAATGACTGTATTTCAAGCATTAAAATCAATAACCTGAATTTGATAATTTAATAGAACCCCTTGAAACTTCGACAACTCCCAGAGTCCACAAGGTCCATAGGAAATATTGGCCTTCTTCTATAATTTAAAGCTTCTCGCTTCTGAATAGCTTTACTCTGCTTAAATTGTTTGAGTTTTGGATTCTTGTCCGCTATGGCCTTTGCAACAACAAGAGCGCGAGCACAGCAGAAATTATCCTTCTTTCGTATAGTAATAATTAACTTTTTAACTAGGCTGTCTTTGCTATAATCTAATACTTTTAAAGAAGTAGAATGTTTTTTACCGGACCCTGTTGGCTGTCTTACAGCAACAACATCAACAGTAAACGACTGATCCAAAGTGATGTTTTCATCACTCTGCAAAACTTTCGTTATTTCGGACATCACTCGGTTTGAAGTCATTTGAATTGCTGGCAACAGTTGCGTGCTTATGGGGGAGTTGAGTTCACTGGAGCGGATCATGATTCGCATTCTGTCTTCTAGAGTTGTGACTAAATCACACGCCTTCTTTACCTGCGTGCAAAAAAAGAACATTTTCTTGATTTAAGCTATGTGAGGGAAAAGCATGAAAATACAGAAGTATTTTCTTATACATGATCAATTGTATTAGCAAAAAGTTCGTTTAATTCCTTAAAAATTTCTTTAATCTTGTACACTTTATCATCTCTAGGTCTTTCCATCGTACCACTGAAAACACACCCAAATGCACCAAACTTTTTCACGTGTTTTTTTGATATCTTCTCCATATTGAAGTGTATTGTGTCTTGGAGACATCAGCCAAACGGTCATCTATTTTTTTCAACAGCTTGAACTTTTGTTCTAGTAGCTTGGCAGTTTTTTTTTGCCAACGTAAGATTTTGCGTAAGTCCGATTTTGGTTTAGCCAATTCTTTCTAGATTTTTCTTACAAGACGTTTTGCCTTCGCATTTTTACGCTCAGCACGTTTCTTCAAACGCAGGTCATATGAATCCATATCAAAACAAATTAAGAAACTACTAATGATCACTCTTGGTAAAGCTAACCTGATGTAAAATAGATCCAACCTTCCCCTTTTCTTATAGTACTTTGCCCCATACAGAGATCGTCATTGCGCATGTCATGATGTAATAAGCAAAAAATAGTTTTGAAATTTAAATTCATACATAGATTATATTGTAAACACATCAAGATTATATGGAATTTAAAAATTTAAAGTTTGTAAATTATGTCTTTGGACATCAGTTTTCTTCATCATCGGATGAATTTTCAACAATTATTTTGGAGCGCTTTGATTCTTCAACTTTTTGTACCATGGTGCTCGACTCTCTTTTGGGCGATGATGGTTTCCAATGCCTTTCATCGATTCGTCAGCCCAATGAAAGAATTAACATTTCTTTTCACTTGCCATATACTTACAGTGAAAGTAAGGTCGGTCAGGATTGTTGGCCGAGTTCGATACTCACAGACATGCAAACACTTGGCACTCGCAGAGTGGAAAACGGTTCGGCTTGAATTCCTTCAGCACATTCTTATCGCACACGTCTATAAGCTGCAAGTACTTTTCTTCGGGCGTGAATAAATTAAATTTTTCTTTGGCGCACTTTAGGAAGATGCGGCCCTAGTTGGAAGTAAAACGTTTCAGACCGCCGTTTTTGCAAAAGCATCTGTGCTTTTCAATAGAAACCATTTTTTTCCTTGGTTCTTTTTTTCTATCTCTAGCTGCAAAAAGTTTGACGAATTAATACAAATGATCTGCAGTGCTTGAGGTTTTATGGCACAATGACTCTATTTTGTCGGCATTTTTTAATTATTTGATTAAGGCTTCTTTTAATCATATTTCCGTCAAAATTTTTTCCCAAGAAAAATACCAAAATAGTAAACCTACAGCTTCGTAAATATGTTGCTCTAGCAGTGCTATTTGATTATAATTACCTCAAGGATTAAGTTTTGTCTGCATTTTTCAACTGTTTGATTAAGGTTATTTTTTATCACATCTCCATCAAAATCCTTTCTCCATATTAACGACACGAAATAGGAATTATTTAACTTTGCAATGCGCAGGTTCTGGCTATGTTTAAGGCTTTGTCCACACTTAGCCGGGTATTTTTCAAAAAACGAGGGTTTTTTTCTGTTTTGGCCTTCCGTCCATAGGTAACGCACGTTTTCCATGACAAATACGTGTGATTGTCTTTACTGTTTATTCTCTCTAAGGTTTGTTTTTTCTGCCAGTTTAAGCTGTTTAAAGATAATTTTGTGTTTGTGTGTAACGATTGCTGTTATCATTCCGATGAATATTTTTTTGCTGTGTTAAGCATCATGAATCCGATTATAAATGTTGCAATGAATCCATTTTGCCGGCATTTTTCAATTGTTTGATTAAGGCTTCTTTTTATCATATTTCCGTCAAAACTTTTTTCCATGAAAAATACCAAAATAGTAAGCCTACAGTTTCATAAATATGTGGACTCTAGCTGTGCTAGCCGATTATAATTACCTCAAGGTTTAAGTTTTGTCTGCATTTTTTAATTGTTTGATTAAGGCTTCTTTTAATCATATTTTCGTCAAAATTCTTTCTCCACACGAATGATGAAAAATTTCTTCTTGCTTGTTTTCATAGTATAATGACAAGCTAAAAATTGCAGAGATAATAATTGTTAAGACTCATAGCTATAACTTTTAAGACAGTTATGATAAATAATATTTTTTCCAAACCAAAACTGACAGTGACCTTGAACGTTATTTCACAATCTTAATTGATGGTGCTTGAAATACATTAGGCCTGCAGACATACGATGTAAATTACTGTTTTAATACATTAATGCCGTCATTCAATCTGAAACGCACGCATGCCAAGGAAATAATCGATCCATTGGAAAATTACTGCTAACAAAAGAGCCTATGTCAATATTGTGCATGTAAAAGCACTCACGCCAAAGTCTCAGGCAAAGTCTTCAGTAAACGGCGAGTCTCTACCATCTAGAATGGCTACA